TTGCAATGAAGAGGACTTGTTCCAATATTCTTGAAGTATTTCCACGATTTCAGGAAGATAGTTTCTGATGTGTTGCCGCACGATGCTCACCAACGTCGCCAGCTGGTTAAAGTACGACTCCAGACGCGTAGGGGGGGATGATCGAATTACAAGCAGGAACGCAGGAACGATTCTATCCAGGAATGAAACACATTCTAATCCCAAAGTCCTGAAGATATTCATAATGGCTTCAATAACGGCGGCATGATGCTGTGCCAGGGAGTGGTCCTTGAGAATCTGCAAAAGGGCATTGATGACGACCGTGGGGAAGTACTCCTTGTTGGACGGTGTTAATCCAGTCATCATTAATGATATGTCTGTCAACTGGTTTGACTCAGAACGTCGCTGCATTTCAGGTGTTTTCTCCTCAACCTGCTGCATTTAGCCATTAGTAAATTCAGTGTCCATTTCATTCCTGATACATGTTGTTTGAAAAGCAGTGCGACAACCGGGAAGAAAGGGGGTCAAGCAGCTCACCTGGTGCTTATAAGGATCTAATGCACCCAATATACCCATTAATTTGATCGTCTCCTGCCGCAAGGGCCCTCTCTGGTCTTCTGTCCTGATAATGGCTTGCAAGATTTCTAATAGCTGGGGATACTCTAGGTAAGGTGTAATGACATATCCAGAATTGCTGGCCAGCTGGCCAAGAGAGTGGAGAGCCGCCTCTCGCTTGATATTTGAGCTCTGGTCTTGCAGGGCATCGATGATCAGGGGCATCAGGCGATCTTTGTATGGTAGCATGTCTTCTCCGCCAACGGTGGCCAGCTCTCCGATGGCTTTCAGAATGGTAGCAGCGACCGTGGGGCTGGGATCGCTAGCCTTGGGAAGAAGGACTGAGATCATCGGATCGACGTACGGCTTAATGAGAGACTGTGCGTTTTGGACTAAGAGACTCAGCAACTTGGCACTCTCTTCTTTGTTTCGAGCCACGTCTGAGAATTCGAGCTCAGTGAGCATCTGGATGAGAGTCTTTCGCAGTGATGGAATAACATATGCAGGGTTATATCTAGCAAGGCGGCCGATAATAGAAATAGCCACTTCTCTGATGGAGAACACTTCGTCATTTAGGGCAAAGAATAGGATACGAATGTTTTCTGCTTTGGCCAAGTGACGATCGAAACGTTCGTCAAGAGCAGCCAGCACGGTCCGTCGAATATTTGGCTCTGGATCTGAGATACCGACAGTAAGTAGCTTTTCAATGACATCACCAACTACTTGGAGGGCGTGGTAACTGGTCTGGTTGACAATCGGGTCCCGAACGTAGAGCTGGCAACACGTAAGAGCCGCTGCTTCTCTGATTTCGGGATCTTCATCTTCAACGTATTTGATGGCCACATCTCGAACAAATTCGTTGAGAACATGGCCAGAGAAATCAAAACTCCCGAGAGTGTTGAGGGCAAGCTTAATCTCCGTCTTGCGATTTTCATAGGCCTGTGGATCTTTGGCATCCTTGACAATGGTGGGCACTGAGGTTAAGGTGTTTGGCTGCGGCGCGCCGAGAGGCTTGAAAGGTTCACCGCACAGAACAACGCTCAACATATCGAGCAGCCTTTCCTGAATAATAGGCTTGACAGGTGGGATATAAAAGGCCATGTCAACAAGGGCCTGTGTCAGCTTAGGCGTTAAATCGCAGGCAAAGATGGGGTCAAGCAGAGCCTCCATGTATTTGCTCAGGGTCTGGCCGACAGCCACTGCAAGACGGCTGATGCAGTCAAATACTGGGTCAACAGAGCCCCTCTTGCGAGATTGTACACTGAGGCCTTCTCTCACATAGATGAGAACGCCGTCGAGGTACGGAGCAATGGCACTCTTGACGGAATTCGCAATGTTTCCAATGGCGAGGAAAGCATCGTTACGCTCTTTGTCCTTCTTCAACATGCCAGAGAGATAGACCATAAATTTGTGAAGCCAAGTATGAGCGAACTCAGCTGGGGAGTAGCTTGCCAAATCCGGTATCAGCAGTACGACCGTCTTGCGAGTGGTTGGGTCCCGATGGTCCTTGTGCTTAAAGACGATATCGCAGGCTTCCTGGTAATGGTCTTGCATGTACATTCCTCCTTGCTCAAGAAGCTCCTTCAATACAAGCAGGGATGCGTGGATGGATTCGACGGTGTTGACCTTTAAGCCCTGTCTTGCCTCGTTATAGATCTTGCTCATCCATATCTGCTTCATCTCCTGATCTCGTTCACGAATGATTCGGAAACATGCGCTAACAGTCTCGGCTGAGGTTTCGCGGATGAGCTGCCTTGGGTCACGAAGGCCAACCCAGATCCAGTCAAAGATGGTTGGGATATACTGGTACATGAGGGTGGGGGCATTTCGCGCAAGCTCCCTGAGAACAAGAACAGCGCTATAGCGACGTTCCTCCACCCGATCATTCTGCAGCCATTCGAGAGCCGTATTTACTTCTGAATCGACCAACTCAGAAATCATGGCTCCTCCCGGGCGGCAAAGTTTTCCAAGGGCAATTGCAGCGTGCCGCATAGGCATGGTGTCCTTGCCACGAAGGATGGTTTTCAGGTTCTGAGTAAACCGGGTATATTTTGCCGCCACATCCACTCCCTCAAAATCGACGAGAGAGTCCAGGGCATAAATGCCGCCCAGCCTCTCTGCGGAGTCGCTGCCATGTGTGATGAGTTGGGTGATTTTGTTGTTGACGTTGTTGTAGAATGAGAGAAACTGCTCGGGGCTGAGATCTGCGAAGCTGTTAATTGAGCGGTCCCCCAGATGCGGGACGAGGAACACGGCGTCGCCTCACCTCGATGGCATACTACCACCAGCTCTCGAAGCTGGATTGCCGATCGCTTGCGCACATCGTCGTTGGCTCTGAGGATAGACAAGTCAGCCAACTGCTGCGTCATTCAAGTAATTCCCCCACCATGGCGGCTCACCTTGACCGCAATCCCTTTGTAATGTACTCGAGTCGCTCGAGGGCGAGCTGCTGTGCCTGCGCCATCGTCCCCAAGTCGAGCTAGAGCTTCAATGGAAGCACCACATGTAACCGCACCGAGGTTGAGGATCGTGGAGGCTCGGCTCGACTGCGAGGTCGAAACCGCACCAGGTAAACAGGATGACGCGCGACGGACGCCGAGGATATTGCGTAAGGAAAATTCGGAAATTGTCGTCGCAGAATAGTAAATATGAAGAATGTAACACAAACAAAGGAATGCCTCGCTGGCAACCTACGGTCACGCTGTCATGGCGCCCCCGACAGAGTGCTTTGATGGAGTTATGAGGTTGGGTAGGACAAGAAGGGCATGTTAAGCCTCACGTATGGCTGCGCGTTTGTCGGCACTGTACCTGTGCTGCTTTTCTATGGGGGCAGAGCTACTGGTACAGTGCGTAGGCTTTGGTGCCGGCACTGACAGCGGCACATGAGTCGCGGAAAGCTGCTATCGATAGGCCCCAGCAGTGACCCGCGGGTGAGCTCCCATGCCAGCAGAGCCTGGCACTAAGAGCAGCGCCACATCGTCGATACTTTCCGGCGCTTTCTCCGTTGGGAATTCTCACATGCAACGCCACACTTTCCCATGACTTCTGAATGACACATAATCGCCAAACTCTGTGAATCCTTTCAACAGAAATTCTACAACCGCTACCGCACGACGTCACGAGTCACTAGCAGCCATGGGCAACGATGGCGGATCCATCCCCAAGCGCCGCGAGCTTGTGAAGAACGCAGCGCGCGCACCGACGATTTCGGAACTGAAGGCGACGGCCCTCGAGTCTCTCGCCCACGCATGGGCGCACTGCGCCCTCAGCGACGCGCCCATCGACCTGGAAGCAGTCGTTTCGGACTGGCGAGGCCGACTCTACAACTACGAAGCAATTCTCCAGGGCCTAATGCCTTCGGATGACCCTAACGAAGTGACGCCAGCAGCCCTGGGCATCCGCTCGCTACGCGATGTGGCGAAACTGAAATTCTCCAAGATGGGCGACAAGTGGGCTTGCCCAATATCCATGAAGGAGATGGGACCGACAACAAAATCCGTCTATCTGGTGCCATGCGGCCATGTATTTGCAGAGGTTGCCATCACGGAGATCAAAGAAGAGGCCTGCCCGGAGTGTGGCGAAGCCTTCACCCAAGAGAACGTGATAGCCATTCTCCCAACTGCTGAGAAAGACTTAGACAGGTTACAGAAGCGGATCGAAGATTTACAAGCAAACGGCCTCTCACACACGCTGAAGAAGGGCAAGTCGGAAAAGAAGAAGAAGCGCAAGGCCGGAGAAGCAGAAGAGGAGGCAAACGGGGAAAAGAAGGACGAGACATCCAAGAAGAACGATGCCAGCCGAGCAAAGAAGGAAACAGACTCGAGAATCAAGGGCATCAACAACTCGATGGCGGCGACGTTGACGGCCCGCGTCTTGGCCGAACAAGACGAGAGGAACAAACGCAGGAAGCTGGCCGCCCAGGTGGCTTCATGATCCACACTCTCGTACAAGTAAATGCTCGACCATGATTTGCCGCCGGCTGGATGATGGCGTTGTCTCGTTGTAACCCGTAGAAATTGACGTACTACTCCACAAAGTACTAGTATTACTCAGTAGCTATTAATCAAGATACCCCCTTTTCAACCTACATGTCTTGACACTATCGAAGTAAGGTGCTTACGATTAGTCTCAGGATACGCCGAGACGGTGGTGGGGATCTTGTCACCACTCGAGAGGGGCATGGTAGTTGCAGACCAGAATGAGGCTCAAGTCGCTGTTCTAGAAGGACATGGCACATGTATTGTGTGCCTAATAATACACGCACTATTGCTGCTGCTAGGTAGTAGCAGTGCTACTCTGCTACTGCTCCATACTGCTAATAATAACGGTTCCCGCAACCGTAGACTCAAGAACGCGCCCATCACTGCATCTGCATCTACACATGGCGACTCAGCGCCAATCCTTGCTAGCCAGCACCCTTCCAGGTGTAACGCCGAGCAGCGTGACACGATATCCATCATAACTAATTCGTATACACCATTACTCCGCGCTGTGTGATCCATGATTTGTTGGCTTCGGCAATTCTGCTCCATGCCAAGTAAACGCTCGTCCCTCCGACAGACAAGTCCGGCCTCATCTCCCAGTCGTCCTGCCTGCTTGCGAATTTGCAGTTGCTGTTGCATCTGCATTACTCGTGCTTTGCGCCATGTAATACTCCAGCTCAGATGCGCTAGCTTCATGCCCGTTTGGGCGGTTTTGAGTCGCAGCATTAAACGATCTCGCTACTAGGCGATCTGGCAAGCCGGTTCTGTCATACAGGAACCTGGAGAGCATGGCCGGGTTCTGGGCGGCTGTGCTGCTGTAGCATTGTTGTGTTAGCGGACATAGCCGAGCATGGCGACTGTTAGTGGCTGTCTTAGAGGGTGCCGATCTGCCAGTGGGAGAATGGGGCATAGTCTCACTTGTTAGACGGAGATCGGTTGGAGGCTGAGTTGCCGTTGCGAGGTTGCTGAGAACTCATGATGGCCGGAAGGGGAAACACGACTGAATAGTTGTTGGTTGTGATAGTGTCGAGACTTTAGGGCTGAGACTCGAACGATTTTGCAAACAAATGCAGGACTTTGGGAAGTGAAATTGAATTCTGTTGATTGTACTGTCCTCTTCTCAAGTAGACAAGTTCTCTCTTGTCTTCTTATAAACCAGCAGCTTCAAATCATACTATTACATGCCCACCTCTCATCTACTAATACAACCATCTACGAGGCACTGTCCTCGCTCTAAGCCCTAGGCTTTTGAAACTTAGCAACCTCACAAAGACGTTATCACCACCATCGTCATCAGGCCACGACTGTCTACGCGCAAAACTCAGCCAAGAGCCAAACTGCCCTCCATGTAGGTCTACTTCGTAACTCGGCCCCGTAGTAGGGCTATTATAGAATGATGCCACTTCTGAAAGACAAGGCACACTCAGAGCACCGGCGATGTACCAGTTTGTCTCCATGAACCAACGAGAGGACAGAATTGGGTTGTGAATGACCAGATAAACGAGAACTGGACATGGGACACTAAATCTATGGCCACCGCCATCAACTATCTACCGTCACGCCGGTTGTTTTTCCGTCGTCGAACGATATTTTTAACCGGTATCGCTGCTTCAGGTCGTGTTTTTTGGGATCAACTGACACAAATGAAATTAGGATAAACAGCAACATGCTCTTCTTTGGTATTTCCTGCCTCCATAGGCGCTGTGCTAATGCGAGCCGTCCCGCCGGATCAGAGATTTAAGGCACAACCTTCCAGGGGGGCTCCCCTTGGCTCAATGAGACGATGACGGACATTCAGCTGGCGCTTACTGAAGCCCCAAATCGGATGCGCTGTGGTCGCCCATGTCGCCTCAGGCAGGGAAAAAGAGGTTGTCTCTCCATCCCTCCACTTCCAGACCCTTCTTCGTCTGCGAGTACCGCGTCTGGCGGCGTTGACAGGCAGCGAGGCCATATCAGGATGGTGCCAGATCACGGACCAGACGCGACCACTTAGTCCAGGCCTCGTCTCGATGCGAACCATAGGGCTGCCTCGACAGATCGTCTCTGCCTGCGTCAGCAGCGCTCCCCATGTAACAGCCGCCACCATGAGCGAATCAGAGGCGCAGCACCGGCTGCTGTCCCCACGAAGGATGCCTCTTTCTGGCCCATCTAGGCAAAGACGAGCCCCAGCGCGAGACACTAGACAGTCTGGCCAGTAGGCAAAAACCCAGGGCCGGAGTCCAGAGGGCGTCCAGGCTGGCAATTTTAGCACTTCGCAAGGCACTCCCAGCGCCGTTATCTGGGGATGCGGCTTGGAGGGAGGGTCGGCGCTGGTGATACTAAATACAAAGGATCCTGCACCTATCAACGACGAGGCATTCTGGAGAGGCAACCTCCCTTTTCCGGCAATTCTCTTTTATTTTTCCTTTCGTCCCTTCGTTTTCCATCTCAGTTTTTAGTATACTATAATTTTAATGTAGGTTTGGCGTTGTTCTCCCTCCGTTATTCCTTTTGCTCTTCTAAAATAAACACCATTTTCTACAATGGCGCTGACAGGTGGACACAGTCTGCTGGTGTATTCGTGAGCCAGAACGGCTTTCGTTTAATACAAGAGCACGCTGCCGCACTCAATGACCGTTAGGCGAGCGAGTTTCTCCGCGGCTCATTCCATGGCCGATAATTCAATCGATCAGGGAGATCGCACACCAGGCATCGCCGTCAACCATATCCCGCTTCACCTGCGACAGGACTCGCGATCCAAGGACTCACTCAGCGACAAGGCTCCCACCACGCCCCGGTCCAGCATCGAGAGCCAGGGCGTCGCCGCCCCCTTTGCCCAGCGCAAGCAGTTCCCTGAAAATCTGCATTTTGCTCCTCATTCATTCCGCCTGCGCTCAAGGACCGCCTCGACAAGGAGCAGCATCTCCTCGGCCAACGTGCCCGACTCTGCCACCACTTATTCACACTCGACGCTGGCCAGTCCCATCAGCACCAGCTACGCCAGTGACCTCAGCGACTTCTGCGGCCATTCTATCGATACATCACGTCCAGCCAGCCGAGTCTTCCATCGGCGGCACCGCTCTTCCACGGGATCTCTTTGTTCAGCACACGCCAACGACGATGACGACGCTTTTTCTTTTGCAGGATACCCGGACCTCAGCGCTAGGCTACTGGAGATTCACGTAGCCTCCCCAGTCACTCCTGTTCCCTTAAGTGATAGTGACTATCTGGATCCATCTACAAGGCAAGCACAGAAGATCTCTTGAGGCAGCTCATGAGCTCGTGATATTGACTTCTCCTGCTAGCTCGTCCAAGGTCTCTCCTATCAAAGAAGAAGAGGAAAGTTTGACTCCAAGTGACTCCTATCAATGGCCGCCGCTTGAGACCACTACTACTGAGCCGTCTCTCTCGCCCAAGTGGGACACAGCATCGTCCGCTTCAGACGACGTGTCTTCCCAGGACACAGATGCTATTCTAAATTACACCCTTCAATTAGTTTTCGGGGTAGACCTTCAAGAAGAGTCATCTAAAGTGACGCCGGCGGTACGACGCCTTGTATCCAAGTTTGTTGGTGATGTTGGGAGCTCTTTTTGGACCTCGCTATCAGACGCTGATATGACACAAGTCATGTCATCTTCAAGCAACTCCTCGACTCCCTCGCAAGGCGGTAGCTCACAAGGTGGTAGCGGAGGCGGTGACTCCTCGTCCGCAGGCAAGAGAAAGAAGCAAACCCGAGGGGATGAAGATGATGGGGAATTCACCGATGGCGAGGGCTTGGGGTACAATCCTCTCAAGAAGCTGCGCCCAAATCCCAAGGATGACGAGAACTTACGCCTGAGCTGCCCATACAGAAAGAGGAATCCATCGCGTTTTAATGTCAGGGACCATCATTCCTGTGCCATGACATATTTTCCCAAGTTTGCAGAGCTGAGGTAAATACTGTCCAACCACATACGATGTATATACATATGAGACTGCTGCTGACACGCGTCCATAGACAGCACATTGTCAAACAGCACAAGCGAGATGACCCATCTGCCTTCGTTTGCGATAGATGCAACCGTGATTTCCATACTCGAAAAGAGCTTCGTGACCATCAGCGTCTGCCCAAAGAGGAAATGTGCGACATATTGGATCACGATCCAGAGTCAGGGGTCGATGGAACCACCTCGATCAAGCTCCTGTCTCGTAAGAGAGCCAGTGGAGCCTCTCCCGAGGCTCAGTGGAAAGAAATCTGGAATATTCTGTTCCCAGATGATGAAGACCACCAGATTCACCCATACAGTATGCATTCCATCTCTGAAAGCGAAGACAAGATAGAAAATATTGTACGCTCGCTAATTTCATTTGAACAGATTTTACTCCCGTCATCGAGCATTTCGAGCTTTCCAATTACTACATGTCATCTTTCGAAGTCCTACACTCTTCTCTTCGCGACAAGATCTCAAATCCTGCAACGCTTGAGACTTTGACCTCCAAATTCCAACAATGCTTCATGGAGGCCGTAGAGCGATGCATAGGCGCCGCACAGAGCATGCCCTACACAAATCGCAGCAACAAGAGAAACGAGCCTTCTCGCGTGCAGAGCTTCCAAAATCTTATCCCACGAAAGGGAAGGGAAATACTCCCCCGCCCTGACTCTGGCGTTGTCATGATGGATGAATGTTCTGAAGAGAGCGGCAGTATCAAGAACTCTGTTTACGGCCCCCGAGACAGCGTTCGAACCATTGTCAAGGACAGTGGGCAAAGGCGCGGCAGCAATTTGGCTCCCGAACCGTCGACAACGGAACCTACGCCAGCGGCGATGAACATGCTGGATCAGAGCTTTTCGGGACACATGCCATTCATGGCACCCATGGCCGCCACCAACCCGATGGATCCTATGGCTGTTCAGTCTTGGAACAATGGCGTTTCAGATCCTAATGACGGAGACATTGCCAACAGTTTCCCAATGACTGACCAATTCTATGCTCCGGGAGAGCTCACGCCGCACGGAGACCTAGGAAGCTGGGGAGGCGACTATTATCAGTCCGCATTTCAGGGGCTTAATGACCACCATTTCAACCCCTTTAACGACGGGATGAGCTAAATGAAGCTGTAGACATGTGCTGGTTCTATATACAAGATTCCATGCATGAAGAATTATTGTCAATTCTGTATTACTAGATGTACTAATACTCTTATTTTGCTTTTGATTGCTTGAATAATGCTATCGAGCTAATGGCTGCTACATGCAGCTAATATATATATATATATACTATAATACAGTGCCATCCTACGACACTTCTAGTCTCGGGAATCGCCCGGATCGGAGACGCGCCACATCAAATGGCACCAATGGAAGTAAGCCCGATTGATACACAACAAACACATATTACTTTTCTTCCTTCTGCAATTCCATTCTTTACAGCTGGGTCTCTCTTCCGGCACACCAATGAGGATATCCTCCTTGCTTCTGCTAGTCAAACGTGAGACTATACTTTCGTCACTGATTTTGGTTCCAGAACCAGGGAGACTCGTAGCCCATCATCATCCCTTGGCATGGTGGGATCATTGCCCTTATTGGTGGGCGAGGAGCGATTCCCATCTCATTCTGCGCAACCTAAGAAACTGTCGTCGGTTCTCATTTGTTCCATTACCCCTTGAACGAGGGCTCGAGCAAGCATTCCCCAACAGAGGTACCACCTGAATGCTATGGCGGCACAGTAGTACTGGTTCTTTAAAAATGATTTGAGATGCAAGAGATATTGTGCGATAGTGTCTATCGAGGAGGTCTGGAAGTTGGTGAACTTGATGATTTATTCAGTGTGTGTATGTGTGACTGTGACTGTATGACTATGGGGAAAGTAAAAAGCTGGTAACATAGGCTAGTTGGGCTTGATAAATACAGGCAGGACCACGCAACCACTCAACACAGTCATCTGTATTCTGTATTGTCCAGGATTGCTGGCCTTTCCAGGCAGTGTAGACCGGATAGTGTTGGCCATATTTCCAAGAGAAGCGTTATGCCATTTCATGAGCTTCTTTTCAGGAGCAGCAGCAGTTTCTATCATCGCGCGTGCGAGATGATTGTCGTTGTTGATTCAGCATTGCGTGTAGTCGATATTTATGACCAGCTTGGCGATAATCTAGTAAGCGTGGTCCAACCTAACGATGTCTTTCGTGTAATAGCGCATTCTTCCCTTCCAAAAATTCGACGTACCGTCTTTGATTGTGTGGCATTCATCGTGAATGACCAGATATGGTGCAATCGGCATGGAGAATGGCAGCTTGTAAGGCGCTGTTCGACCCAATACTCCGATTTTCACCTTGTGAAATAGATCGGATGGCACGACCCAAGCGTACCGGTTGAACGGTTGGTGAAAGCAAACTTCATCATCGTAAACATCATAACCCCTCTAACTGTCACCGTTATCCACTCCGGTAGTCGATTTCAGCTGACAGCTGTCGTGACCATTTGGTTAGGAGAACTCGTTCCTGGTGGTCATGGGAGGATTCTTTCACTCTCGAGTTGTGACATGTTACTGCCTATTTCTGGCCCAATCTTTCATGCCTTCATTTAGCATCTCCGCTTCGTGAAGATTAGTTGCCGTAAAATTCTCGATTATGCCATATTTGCCCCTTAGGAGATCAACGAGTCCAGCCATAGGGCCATGCCCGGACCGATAAAATATCACGTTCTGGTTGATGAGTATTATAAGATTATAAGCGCGCGTGATATCCATGCCAAATTGTTCGGCGTCGAAAGAAAGACCGGTCGTCTGAAAGATGAATGCCGCAGATGATGACTTTCACTTCATAGTGGGACATGAAGGCATCCTCAACTCGGCGCACCAAATCTCTAACAGGAATGTTGGATGAAACCCCCGCAACTCAGCTTGAACTCGTTTCATTCATGATGCCCGCTATGACAGCAGCCTTGTGTAATGTGTTCTTATAGACGTAGCGAAGGTGCAGCAAGCGCCTCCACCTCCTGGTCGGTTAAGCCCAGTACTCGCCCAAAAGCTTCCTGTGTAGGCTCTGCCATCAGGTCGGACACGGAAGAGGTTATGATGAGGCTGTTCATGCGCGGTTTTGTCTCGAAATTCATGTCTGTCGGAGATTGGAACCCTCTAATAAAAAAAAAGATGTCGCCTGTGTTGAATAACCCATGCGCAGATCGTTTTGATGCTTCCCAGATTCCCCCTGAGTGAAGCAGTTGATGTACATGTATTTTGATGTATAGATTCTAACTTGATATTGCATGATAGTAAATGAGAGGTGTTCTGTGAAGGTCCGGGTGGGCTTTCATAATGAAAGTTTCCAACCCGGCGCTATTATCATATTTCTATAGTTTCTGCAGGTGGTCTCGCCAACTATCGGGCCGTAGCGACGATCGAGCACTATCAGCTTGGCCAGACCATATGCTCCCGCCGCAAGAGCTTGGTTGAAAATATGGCATTCTGGTGGGCGATTACATATGTACCTGATATCCGAAGTGAACTCTCAGAATGCCGCATGAGGTGAGCAGGCGGTGCTGTCCTCTCAGTTATCCAAGGTCTGATCTTCTGCGGTTAGTATGTTTATCTGCTTCGCAAGCAGCTTCGACTCCGGGTAAGAGCCGCAAGAGTCATTCGTCAAGAGCATATGCCTGGGCTCTGTTTGGGTGAGCCCAGCTAGCACAGCCGTCCGATTGCCTGCTATGCCGTGTTACAATTCGAGGCAGCTCCAAGGTTTTTCCATTGTTGCAGTTGGTCTGATAATTGACGCCAAATATCGTCGGGACATGGATTTTACCATCCTTGTGTCGCAAAGAGTAGAATTTTTGGCACAAATTCTCTTTTTAAATGAGCCTGAAAAGAAGAAACTAGCGATAGCTGTTCCCATAGCTCTCGTATAAGCTGAAATATATTGGCAATTGCCTGTCTTGGTTTTTTAGAAATGTATAGCAGGAATTGAGTGGTAGAAATAACTCACTCCTAAATGGTAAGTCCGGTTGCCAGGCAGTTATAATATTTTTAGATGAATTGTATAATTGAAACTTGAGAGGCAGCAAAATGCCACTCTTATACGTATGTCTCTGAGCTGAACACTCCTGTCAATATAAGTTTGAAAGAGTTCATGTGTTGACTTCCATAAATTGTAGTTGAAGGAAAGCATAATACTGTATGCCTGTAAGGATCTGGCAATAAAAGTTCCATGGGCGTGGGAGAGTTATGAGCAGGTATAAATAGCAAATACAGACAGGCCAAATGAACTAATAGTCCTACAAATTTCAAGGCCGATTAACGGAGTGAATTCGGTCATATGTAACATGTGGTGATGGGAACATGCTTAAGCACGGATAACTCCACGGATAATGGCAGCCTTATCGTAAGAGTTGACAAGTCATTCACATAGTCACGTCACAGCGCATGCTATATCCATTTAGTACGTATTTCATATACGCCCAAGAAAATATGGGCCAGTTGTAGCGGAAAATGTGAAAAGTTTGGCATAACATTCATCAATCTACATGTACTCAGTATCTCCACTGGAAAGCCGGATGCTTCCAGTCCAAATTCTCAATCTGTTCCTGAGTCAGGCCGCTCAACTCTGCGTCAATATCTTTGCTTCCCCGTTTCTTATTGTCACGAATCATCCACAGCAGTGTCAGCGTAGCCAGAACCAAGACGGTTCCCGACGTGGCCAAGTTCAGTCCATTTCCGATGTGGTAATTCGGTGCGTCAAAAGGAAGAAACGCCCATCCGCTGATCAATCCGCCGACGCTGCCCATCATGGCGTTGGTGCCTATTGCTGCGCTGCGAGCCGTGTCACCGACAACATTTGCGGCAACTTGCGCATTGGTAAGGGGCCCCAGAGCGAACGCGGAGGACGCGATAAGGAATGTTGCGCCGTAGCGGACCTTTTGATCCGTTGAGCCAAGGAACATTGCATATCCAACCATGACCATAGGAGCAGAGAGGATGATGAAAATCTGCCGCCTGTCGAGGCGCCAACTCAGGAGCGGGAACAAGACGGTGAAGAACCCACCAACAACATACGGTGGCACAGTCAGCAGTTGCTGTTGAGTGGTCGTCTTTCCCTTGAACAGAGTGGCAACGATTGTCGGGGCGAAGAACGCCAGTCCTTGGACTGTGATGTTGTTTAAGAGGAATATAAGAGATGTACTGATTGTCACGGGGTTAAAGATTCCTCTCTTAATCCTAACCTTGTCCATGCTATCCAGGATAGTAGTGGTACCAATTCTCTCAGACTTGATACGCGCAATAGCTAGGTCTTTCTCTTCCTGAGACAGCCAGCGCGCCGTTTCTGGGCGATCGGTCAAGGTCAGAAAGCCGAGAAGGCCAAGGCCAATGGTGATGATGCCTTCGACAACGAAAATCATCCGCCATTTATGAACACCTCCAACGTGGTCAAGATTTAGGATGGCAGATGCGAGCAAGCCTCCGAAAGCTCCAGCCAGCGGCGACATGACAATGTATAAAGACAGTCTAAAAGCCAGTTCGGAGCGGCGATACCAGCGAGATAGGTAGTAGGCGATTCCAGGCATCATACCAGCCTCAAAAATACCGAGCAAGAATCGGACAGCGGCCGCCTGGCCCATGGTATTGACATACGCGGTTGATAGCGAGCACACGCCAAACAAAACCGTTATCAGGGGAAGAAACCAGCCTGGTCCTATGTATTTGCAGGCCAAGTTCGCAGGGATCTCGAAAATGATGTAGGAGATGAAGAAGACAGAGATGACGGCATTGTAGTCATATCCTTCCAGTTTGAGGTCACTCGCGAGGCCGGCGATTTTTGCGTTGCCTATGCATCATTTAACCGTTAGAGCGAAACAACGAAACAAATATCAATCAATATCACAGCATCGACCTACCAATGTTTGCGCGATCAATAAAGCAAAAGAGGTACAGCAGCGACACCGTTGGGACGATGTACAAGTCAATTTTTAGCCGCAGCCTGCGCTCGGTTGCAGGATTGTATGCCACGAGAGCTGCGCCATATCTAGATCATCGCAGATATCATCAGCATAACTCATGTTTTTTTTTTCTCATTCTTGTTTCATGCTTCAGGTAGCGGGGAGAGAAAAGACGTCTCTTTACAGCCCGCGCGCCTCTGTTGTGCTCACCTGTCCGTAGCAACCTGGCCAATTTCAGCTGCCTGGTGCACATCATGCGTTGACACTTGGACTTTCTCTTCCGTCTTGAGTGACATTTTAATGTATTATGGCTGCTGGAGGACACTGCCAGGCAAGCAGACAACGACAGAAAATTTCAGAGGGCAGAAAAAAAAAGCTCCTGCGCAGGATCCAAGATAAGTGGAAACCCCATTACATATACGTATCAGCAAGCTGTCTATCGCAGATCACATTCTCTCCAGCTACATAGGAGGCAAGCCAAAATACAACCCTGTCGGGCTTCTTTTCACCACTACCCATCTCCAACTACCCAGGGAGGGGATACGACGCCGGCTCGCATGTGGCCGGCCTTGGCTGAATGCAACCCAGCAGAGTCGCTATTGGTGAGGATCGGGATGCATCTAGAATATAGGCTATCTAGCACCACAACCAGTCACAAGCCCTTGAGACTCGGCAGTGGAAAGCGGCTGTTGGGCATCTCCTCCACGGGAAGGGCACCTTTAGAACGCATTTGTCACGTTTGCATCCCATCCAGGCCTTGGGTCAACAATCCTTGGGCCTAGCTGGGGTCGCTAATGCGGTCCGAGACAAACGGGGGCGGCTATTTTATGCTTCCCCAGAAACTGCTAACCTTAAAATGGTGCTACTGTACCTTGATCTCATTTCAATCGTGTCCCAGCATGCAAGAATGGCATTAGTCAGTGATGACTATGTCCACTGTCGTTCTGGCTTGGGATGGACGCGTGAGGAAGCCATCGTCGTTGTCCGAGCGTATGCCTCTCGTTTCGGTTTAGGGGCAGGGTGTGTGACAGCTCAGGCGGATGAATACGCAAGTCGGTTCTATAGGTTCTAAAAAGCGATATGTGCATCTTTCACGGCATCCCTTATCAGCATTACAACTCCTCCGAGGTTGCCTGCTGCTCAATAGAAACAGTTCCAAGATTCGGCGGTATAAGCGGCGAAGACTTAGCGCACTTTGTATCATAACATCAATCTTCAACAACTCACATGCCTATTAATGGCGCTTTCATCCACGGGTAACTTACACTTTTATCCGTTCCCTCTCGCCACCAAAAAAAGAAAGAAAGAAAGAAAGAAAGAAAGAAAGAAAGTAATATAGCCTCTTATATTCGGACCCGCCATGTAAAGAAAGCATCTCTCAACTTCCGCCGTAGTCAACGATTTATCCAATGCTGTCTTCGCTTTTATAGGGTAGCTCCATACTCAGCTCAACCGTGCTCCATCGTAATGGTCCAGTATCCTAGCCACAAACCATTTAGCAACATTAGAATAGGCACCACGTAATCTTACAAAGAGAGAGAACCAAAAACGAACGATTTGCAATCATCGAGCCACGTAAATGGCTGGTTAGCGCATCTTTCGCATGTTTAGAGAGGCCGCCTCCTGGGCTGCGAGCATATGCTTCGAAATACACCACCTCTGATTGGCCAACCAACTCGCCCCATCTGAGCAGCCAATCAGAATCACTGCAATCTGACCCAAAACCAGTGTCATCAGCCCAGCGGCGTTGAGGCTGAGTGGACCGAGCATCAGGTACAAAAGACGTCACTGTCCGGCCAAGCAAGCATCAAGACATCTCTATCAACTCCTATCCGTGTCTGCATCTACTTCTACAACTCGCATTCAATTCTACACTTACTCACACGCAAAATCCTCTTCTTCAACAAATACCACAATCACCACCATCATCAAAATGACTGTCAAGGCCACCACCTGCTGCCGCCAGGGCACCGACGCCGAGTGTGCTTGTGGTGAGTTTCGTCACTTATACTCTGACTCAAAAACAACGGTGTTCTAACAAGCAATCTTCACAAACAGCCCAGAAAGCCACCTGCTCATGCGGCGAGCAATCTGCTCTTCACTGCACCTGTGCTAAGGCCAACACCGAGAATGTCCTCGAGGGCCCACGCTGCTCATGCCGTGCTCGTCCTGCCGGCCAGTGCACCTGTGACCGAGCCTCTACGGAGAATGCGCCCGTCTCAGGCTCAACCTGCCAGTGCGGTGCTCGACCAGCCAGTAAGTGTTACTCGCCATACCTACGCTTTGCGACTTGGATGCTGACTTTTGGATGTTTTAGCTGGCTGCACTTGCGAGAAAGCCACCGATGGCGGCTACAACCCTTCCAACGAGATCGACTTCACCAACTTCTCCAAATAAATGAAGAGAGCGACTTACGAGATGCGCACTTGAAAAACGCTTGCATAGATCCTCTTTCTTTTCTATAATTTTTTTCTCATCTTATTTCCCTCCCTTTTGGTCCGAGGTGGCGTTTAGGGCGGCATTGGAATGCGGAATCACGGGTTCATAACTTTGGCTGCAGGCTTGCAGCTGCATACATTTTACGAGAGGTTGCATGCACATGCACATATGAATTGGCAGGCCGGCAATCGCCTAATCTGCGGGCGCGTTGCTACATCGGGTCTGGATCTGGGTCTGTCCCGTTGTTATTGTTGTCCCGTACAACACGGCTGGGAAATGGCGTTTGGTGGTCCAAGATATCCTCCCTCGCGAGGCATTTAGATAATAACAATAAATGAAATAAATCAATATAAACATAATAAGCTAAGAATTAGCGCATTGTCTTCAATTTGAAAGGGATTGCGATTCGCTGTCGTTTTTTTTTTTTCTGTTATTCCTCCCTGCCTATTGTCAATGCGAGGTGGCTCATATCACTTTTATTCAATGTCAGCACATCAGCTCACACAAGCGCATTCTTGTCTCTGCTTGTCGTCTTATTAATGGCCGGCTGCGATTCACCGCTCGCGCGAGACGCCAAACAATGAGCTAATTGGCTATTGAAGTTTATACTGCCGGACAATCCAAGAGCGGTCAGCCTCTTCGGGTAGGAGCTATGGTAAAGTTCCTACCTTGTGTGGGGCCGCTTCTCTGTGCCACCCACCAGGGCTGGGCAAAAAATCTCACCTGGTCGCGTCCTGCCATCATCAAGCCACTCCTATATCTATCCCGCAGACCACCTCACATCGCGCTCAGTTTCTTCATCTGTCAGAGAAAAAACTACTTTTGGGTCGTTTGAAAGCATTGCATAGCGTTTGCCTCTGCAATTGAAGCTTTTTCTCTCCCTCGCGCTGATTGAATTCATCCTGTATTCGCGCCCTTTTTGGCTTATCAAAGCAAAAGCAACAGCATCAACAACCCTATAAAACAGCGCGTCACAATGCCTCCCAAGGCCGCCAAGGCTGCTGCCTCCAAGGCAGCTTCAGATGCTAAGAAGCCCGCTGCGACAAAGGCCAGCGCAAAGGCGACTTCCAAGAGTGCCGCTGCTACCAAGGCGACAACGAGCAAGGCCGCCGCCAAGGCTGTCAAGAAGGATGAGAAGCCAGCCAGCGCCCGCGCGAAATCCGCCGAGAAAACTGCAGACGAGCCCTTGACGAATGGCGCCCCGTCAAGCAAGCGCAAGGCTTCAGAGACAGAGAGCGAGCATGATGAAGATGTCGTCATGGAAGAGCCCCAGGCCAAGAAGACCAAGATCGAAGAAGCCCCCGTGCGCGCGGCACCTGTCAAGGCTAAGAAGACCGCCCATGTCGCAATCGGAAAGAAGATCAATGATGCTCCTACGCAAGTCTTTGATGTCTACGTCTTTGGTGAGGGCACATCCGGTGAACTCGGACTGGGAAGCAAGCGCGTCAATGGCAAGAAGCCAATCGACGTTAAGCGTCCTCGATTAAACGACAACCTTTCAGCCAAGACAGTTGGCGTTGTGCAAATTGCCTGCGGCGGTATGCACGTCGTTGCGCTCACCCGCGATAACAAGATTCTCACCTGGGGCGTGAACGATCAAGGTGCTTTGGGCCGAGACACAAACTGGGATGGTGGATTACGCGATGCCGACAAGGCTGAAGATTCAGATTCGGAAGATGAGGACGATACTGGCATCAACCCGAAGGAAAGTACACCTACTGCTCTGTCCGAGGAAGACTTTGCCCCCGGTACCAAGTTTGTTCAGGTTGAGGCAAGCGACAGCGCCTCCTTCGTGCTGACTGAAGACGGACGTGTGTACGGATGGGGAACCTTCCGTTCCAGCGATGGCATCCTAGGCTTTACAGAGACTGTTCGGATTCAGTCACGGCCTGTTCTCCTCCCCGCCCTGAAAAACATCAAGGCTCTCGCTTCCGGAGCCAACCACATTCTTGCTCTCGACCACAAGGGCAATGTTGTCGCCTGGGGATGCGGCCAGCAGAACCAGCTCGGCCGACGTATTATTGAGCGTAACAAGATGTCGTCTCTGATTCCCCAGGGTGTTGGCCTGCCACGAGGCAAGATCGCCAAGATTGCCTGTGGCTCGTATCACAGCTTCGCCATTGACAAGAACGGAGCCGTCTGGGGCTGGGGCTTGAACAACTTTGGTGAGATTGGTGTCGAGAACAGCGCTGGTGAGGATGATGCCGTCATCCTCAAGCCCGTCAAGATTAGCTTCCTTGAGGACCACACAATCACAGATATTGCAGGTGGTATCCACCACTCTCTGGCCTGCTCTTCTAAGGGAGAGCTGTTTGCTTGGGGCCGTATCGATGGATACCAGGTTGGCTTTGAGGCTGAGGCGGTGGAAAAGGTCGACGAGGAGTATGTCATTCGTGACGAGAAGGGCACTGCTAGAATCCTGATCAAGCCCACCAAACATGAAGGCAAGTAGCATTTTTTTCGTCCGTGATTTGCGTTATACTAACATTTTCTTTAGGTGTTTCTGATATTGTGGCTGTCTCTGCCGGCACTGACAACAGCTTTGCCATCAGCAAAGATGGCAAGGTGTACTCATGGGGCTTTTCTAGCAACTACCAGACTGGCCAGGGCACTCTTGACGACATCCACGTTCCTACTTTGATTGACAACTCTGCCATCAGGGGCAAGAAGATCATCGCTGCTGGAGCTGGCGGACAGTTCTCGGTCCTCATTGGCGTACCCGAAGAGGCGGCCACCACGAACGGCGAGGTCAACTAAATCGCCAGCCCTTTTCAACAAATATTATATGTAAAAAGGGGGGGGATAAGTGGCATCTGAAGGGATGCTTTAACACGGTATTTCAAGCTACATAAGCCCATATATCCAAGATTGATGGGGCTTGTTGGCTACTTTAATAATACGAAGGGCTCGGCTCGAAGAGTTTCTGCCATGCATTGTTCATTGTTTCCTCCATTGCCTCACAGAGGAGGCTATAAAACCTGCAAATGGACGGACGGACGGACTTCTCTCTGTAATATAATGACGTGATGGATTTGGTTCTGCAAATGGTGGACTTATATATGGAGCTTTTCGTGTTTGTATAGCCTACTGCTTTGATGACATTGCGCATTGGCGTTGGTACTAGTTGATTTTTGGAATTATATTCATCAAGACCATTCAAAGGGCTTCTCTCGTGAATAACAGTGGCGTGTTCTTTCCAGACATGTACATTTGGAATGCGATATAATCCGGTGTAGGTTAAGCGCGGACTAATGCCACGAACATCCCGTGGACTAGACTGACGGATTGGCCTTTGCGGTATGCATAACTTATTGCCATTCATGGCTTCTAACTCATTCGTCGAGCTGGAATGGCTGTTCCAAATGCAGCATTTCTTGAGAAACGCTAATCCTATGGAGATGAAGCCATATACAAGCCAGTACACATTCTATTTTAAAGCTGACAGGAGTCATTTCCAGCCGATGATTCCGATATACTTTGTGGCATAGCAGTAATACGCTCAACAAAGCTTATTCACTGGTCAAAAAGTTGGCAGACATAACTCGATTCCTTCTCCTCAAAGCCTAAGGCAATTGGGTTCTTGCAAAAAAAACGAAGACCCAACTCGAAGCGAGAGTCGCTCTTCTCTCCCCATGCACGCCAAGGGTGCTAGTAACACTGGAAAGACAACAAACTACGGAGTAGCGAGATTACGTCCAATTTAAACAAGCCAAGAGAGTAGTTAATTTTTTTTCTTCTTCTTGTTTTTCCGTTTTCAAATTTGAGGAGATCTGGATCTTGCCCAGAAAAGGGTGGTGTTGGGTATGGGTCGAATAAGCTTTTTTTTTTTTTCTGGGCATGCAGTAAGGGGGACGGACGGAGGTGGAGAGATGAAGATCCAACGGAGAGAGATGACTTTTGATGGAGGCGAGGTCTTGACCGCTTTGGAGAGTGAACGAGCGGGTGGGCGTTTGACCGCTTTGGAGATGGAGATGTGATGTGCAAGCAGGACACTTAGGACGTGTCTTGATAAGAACCCATTTAGGAGAGTGCCAGCGTTCGATATCGAAGCACAGAAGCGGTATCACAGGCCGATCTCTGGACCGTCTTCCTCGCTTACAGCTAGATTCTCCGCCATGGAAAAATCTCGAACTTGCAAAAAATACTGGGGGAGCACACCGCTGCCAGCACATACAGTAGTCTAGAATGGAGAAACGGAAGGGGGAGGAGACAGCAGTGGAGATTTGCAAAGAGAAAGGAAAAAAAAAAAGGGTCGATTCCAGATTCCAGAAAAGAAGCTCCTCCAGCTGGGATTTGATGGAGCCTGCGGGCAGGGCTTGCAGCCAGCGCTGGATTACGGCCGAGCCGAGTGCCCGCAAGGGGGGGTGTAAAAGGGCCAACATGCACGGTATATACGGTACGTTACTGTTTGCTCCAGCAGTAGAAGATTCAAGGCAAAAAAAAAAAAAAAAACAATAAGCTGGATTTCGTTCTTGATTGCCTTGTGCTGCAGTGAGCAAGGGCGGCCAGGGGAGCCGAGATTTGGGCGAGCGCTGGAGCTGTCTGCGAGCAATGCGGGTGGATTATTGCGCCCGGCTGCCACGGAAAAGGACGTGGATGGAGCCTTGTACCTGCAGCAATCCAGGGGCAAAGATACTTTTTTCTTTTTTCTTTTTTTCTTTTTTTTTTTTTCTCTCTTCTAGCTGGTCGGCGCACGAGCTTCTGGAGCTTGGCATAGGGCCTGGGTCCCCCTCCCCTGATGCGCGCTGTGTGTGCACGGCCAGCAAGGGCCTAAATGCGGGTAAATAGAAAACAGCAGAGCAAACTTGCAGCTAAAAGTGAGGGCTGCGTTTCAATAGTATAACGTTTGAAGTTCAATAAATCGTTCCGATCAAGCCAATAGCGCCCTTTGGTTAGGGCGCTGTTAGCTGAGGCGGCACCCGGGTTTTAGCGCTGGCTGCTGCCGAGAGTCCGTCGGCAAAGAAGGCGTCGAATGGCCTGAAACCTGGAAAAATGGAGAGAGAGTGAGCTCCAAGCAGCGTACAGTACAGTATATTTGCCCCAAACGTGTACTGGGAAACCACATCTGCAAAACGGCCGTTAGAATTGGAACCCATAATATTAGTAGTATGTATACATGTATACCTGTTAGTACCTATGTATACAATGTACTCGGAGGAACACATTGAAAAAAAAAAACACCTCAATAATAGTTTCTTGACTCGGCTCGAGCACCTCCTTGTTGCAGAAGGTAAACGAGGGAAATTAATTAATTAATTACTTCCGACTCGTGGTGGTCGTAGCAGTAAGCAGAAAATCCAAAACACAAAAAAGTGAGCCGGGAATTGCTATACTTTGTAATTAGAGAGGCTGTGTCTACACTATTGGCTGCCAGCTATTGTTGATCTGTAACATTCATTTCAATGGAGCGAATGTAATGTGGGCGTTGGTGCTGCCTCTCCAAAACTTTACGGGCATTATTGTTCTATTTTTTGACACACACACGGGATCCGGTTATTTCGCCTCCTGCTCTCCTTGCAGATCGTGTCGGGGATTTTGGCCGTTGCAACTTTGTGATTTGACTGAGTTGATAGCAACACGAGTGCGGTGGCAATATAGCAGCTGTTTATCAAACTCGTACCTTGCATATTGTGGCGCGGTGATCTGTCGGAGAAATTGCCAATGAAATGGCCATCTCCAACGGTTAATCATTTCCATTTATTTCTATTTTAACATTTTTTGGCTAGTGGACACAGTATGTACATACAGTAGTAATTTCAATTCAATGCGAAAAAGAAGGCAGCCGTTTCCGATGCATCGCGATCTTCAAATTTCGCTCCCTCTCCATTGAAACGCTCGGCACGGTTTCACCACAAAGGTAATATGGAGCGCGAGCGTGTGACGTGACATGTCGCTGCTAGTAATACGACTTGTTTATCTATTCGCGTTCTTTTTTCTTTTTTGTACTCTCGGAGTCTTACATGCGCTCTATAACCAGCTTCAGCTAGTGGTGAGGTCTGTGTACATGCACTAGCTGAGCAAATGCGGCAGTTGGTAGATGTGCCGCTAACTAGGCCTGAAAAGAAACAAAAAAAAGAAGAAAAAAAAAAAAAAAAAAGAAACCACACGCAGTTCAATGATTGATGCTGACTGTAATTCCAGCTCATCTACCAACCACTGGGCCAGCTGCAGCTTCGTCCAAGTGCATCAAATCCCGCCCATGTCATGGCCCGGCCATCCACGCGAGGCCCAATGCCAAGTTCCAAGGCAGGGGCAGGGAGAAATGGGGGAAGAGGCTCCTCTTCGCGGCCACAGTGGAAGCCAAGCTTTCCCGAGCCATGATCCCAGATCGGCAGACGCACGGCGGTTTGAGGAGATCCACCGTTATATGGAGCGCTTCTCCACTGCTAATCTTCTGGTCTCCTTTAAGCCAGCTTGGCCAACCCTGGCAAATTTACCTTGAAAGGAGAACCGGCTGCGTGCGTTTCAACGGAGGGCAGAGGGAAAAAAGCGGCAAATATGGGACTGCTAGCAGCAAATAGGCCGGAGAGCAGGAAAAACGGTATGCCGGGGTGAAGCAGGGAAGACGAAGTGATAGCTACTACATAGTAGTACATACTACCACCACAAGTAGTACCGTATGTATGTACAAAAGTATGTGCCATATGAACCTGGAAATGGTAAATTTCGACTGGTATCGTCGACGGCTAATTAATGTAAACATACCTAGCACATGCTGTATTGATCCTAGCAATCCTGCTGCTGCTGCCGGTCTATACGACATGTTACACTACAACGCTGCGAGGTGACGGGCAACAAAAAACGCTGATGCTCGCAAGAACAGGCATCCAGCATTGGCCAAATCTCCTCCTCCTCCCCAGTCACGCCATCACCAGGGCCCAATCGCTATCAATGCACCCGCCACGAGCATATCGGATGGGACGGTGCGCTCCCAGTGCCTCTTGTATCGCTTGTATCTCTTTTTTTTGCGCGCGCGCCCACTTTTCTGCCCAGTTTCGAAAAAATTCCCGCCCTTTTATTTTCTCGTAGGTAGTGATGACGCGTATGCCTTTCTTCCCACATCCCAGAAGGGAAAAGAGGAGCCTGAGCGTCGGGTTTGCTGAGCTCGCTCGCTTCGTCCACCCACCAACTCGACGAAAATATTGGATATGGAATGTCGCAGCGGTGGAGCAAGCTCGAAAAAAAGCGTGGGACACAGGTGGGCTCTGGTTTGCTGATCGGTGGTCGGTGGCTTGAGAGGGCGGTGGCTTGCCCCCAGCCCCAGGCTCCGGTACGGAGAGTCAGCTTCGTTCTGCTTGGCTGTTGGTGGCAGCTTATGCTCTGCTCTGCCAACTGCTGCTTCGCTTCGCTTCGCCTCTTGTTTCTCGTCTGTTCCTCAGCAGGCGTGTGGCTTGCGGTGGAGCGGGACGCCCCCAATTAGTGCTACGCTGCTGGATGTGGCACATTGATAATGCCCATTTGGTCACTTGCTGGGCCTAGCTGGAGCGAGTCGAGATAACGCAAAGCTGCTGAGTGGCTAGTGACGGCACTGGCATGCTAGCCGCCGGCCATGGGGAACCAAAAAACCAAGGCAGAGGATGTGACAGAGATACGGAGCACGTCCAGAGATAAGGCTACCATTCTGGAGTGGTGTGGTAATCTATGGGCTGTACTTCATGCGGGCCGGTACTTATCGCGCAGCACAAGCGTCTCACACCCACAGAGTGACGAGACGTCGACATGGACACTGCTGGTACATCATTGGCCCTCTTTTTTTTTTTTTTCTTTCTCTTTGTTTCCTGCTGCTCTGCTCTCCATCTGATTCATTCCCTTTTTTGTGATTCAGCATAACTCTAATCTCGCTCGTGCCTGTCATCATCTCGAATCTGCGTTATGCAGGAGGCGAAATCTTGTACGGAAAAAGACTTGGCCGGCATACTGTCAACACTCGTTTATACACCCGTATTAGGTACTCAGTAACGCTATCCAAGCTTAAACAGAAAGGAACGTGGCACGGCTAAAGTCAATGGCAGTCCGCCCTATCTCGTACTATGTACTTGGTGGCATTGGATTGGCCTAATTCATCCGGGTGGCACAAACAGGCAGCCCGAAACTGAAAGATCACAAAGCATAAAAAATGAAGTGGTCGGGGCTTCCGGCCACCGCTCTCTCTCAAAGAGAATGGGACAGAAGAGGGCTTGCGTAACTTTTGTCATCAAGGTACCTCGCCGTACACGGCATGGCGAGCGTGTACTTGTGCGCTCCAAGGTCCGGTCTCCGATGGCGAGGAGGTTGTACAAGATAGCAGTACTCGTTACATTTTGAGTGGTACGAGGTGTGGCACAAGCTTAGGTAGTTGTACGAAAGCTACTCGCGGTACTGTAATCTGCCTTGTTCTATATATATACCTACCTCTTATATAAGTAGGATATCGAAATAGCACGTATCCGTAGGCTATGACATGGGGGCTATGTGCATATGTGCATTGGCACAAACGCTGTTAGCGGCATAAGGCAATGAGAAATGACCCATCTCATTCCACATCCACAGCCCCAGTAATCAGGAAATGGGCGAGCCTGCAAGAGAGGGCAAACAGCAGGTATGATGGCTGAGCGCACCATACTCAGAGCAGCTTCAGCGTGGTGGCTTCACTTGGGTATACAATCTATACAACATGCACTATCGTCACCCATCAAGGCAAGGCAAAGTGGCGATACATATGACGCGATAACCAGCCTCCAGCACAGAACGGCCATGACTAACGTGGGATCTGCTGGGATCACGTCCCGACCCACCAGCCCCCTGGAGCCTCCCATACAAGGGGTGGGATAGACAGGGGCGTGGGCGTTTGCAGGTGTTGTGTGTGTGTGTGGGTGGGCTCCTTTTTTTACTCTGGAGCCATGTCATGGAACCGATGGAGCCCACCGTCCATCATCCCATCAGAACAAGATATAAAGGAAGCCAGGCTTTCGCCCTCAGCTGCTTCTCTTTTTTCCTCCTTCTTTATCAACCCAACTTGCAATCTTGAACTCTTCAAGCTTCAACTACATTCGTTAATACCACTCCAACAAACCTTCACCTTCAAACCCAAACCACAAAAACCCCAAACCCCAAAACCATCAAAATGCGTGCTGCCGCTTTCGTCGCTATCTTCGCTGCCACCGCCATGGCCCAGACCGGCGGTCACGCCTCTCCCACCAACGGCACCAACGTCACCAGCACTGGCAAGCCCACCTCTGCTCCCACCAACGCCGCCAACTCCCTGAGCCAGAACGTCCTCCTCGGCGTCGGCGCTGCTGCCGTCCTCGCTGCCGCCCTCTAAGCGACTGGCAGTCAATTTTTTTTTTCCATACTAATGGTTTCCGACGCCTCGAGGACCTAAAAGGGCGTGCTGTGAACTTTTCGGGACCGGGAGGAAAGAGAACCAAAATGAGGGAAACGATGGTGAAGATGCGAAAAAGACATTGAAGTCGCCGGCAATACGCTTTTCTAGAGCGATACCTTCTTTTTTTTTTTACGACCACACTCAATTGGGCGGAAGAGAGAGAGAGCCTCATTTAGAAGAGAGACAATCTACCCTTTTTTGTTGTTTCTTCCCTCTCCGGAGCCGGCGAGCCCGGGGCCGCAACATTTCGGGTCCTCCGCCAACTTTAATTTATATACCACGGCTGGCTCGGGGGAAGGAAATAATAATTCAAGGCGCGGCACAAAAAGACGTTTCTTTGTTTTTTTTAGACCATTTTTCTTTTCAACTTTTATAATCTTTTTGCTTATTTCTCGACTTTTGCATAAAGTGCAGCTACAATACCCATCTATAGATGTGTGTGTGTTTGCTTGCCCCGGGAAAGATGGCGTTTTCTCTACATTTTTGGAATTGGAAATAATTTGTGTGTTTATTTTTATTTTTACTATTGTGATGCGCCGGGCAGATGTGATACGAAACAATTCTTCATTTTCTGGCTTCGGACCTTTTTTTGGATGGGAGTGTGCGAGAAGTTGGTTCGCAAATGCTTTTTTTTCTTTTTTCTTTGGATAGCCGGATACAGATAATAGTAATTAATGCAAAAGGCAATTCCCTAGAAAAAAAATCTTTGAGTTTTTCGTGTGCGCCCAAAAAGAAATGAGAAAAAAAAAGATAGTAATCGTGACACCGTATTTCTCTTAGTGTGATATGTGACGGGCTTCGAAAAGACGTGATTGTTCAATGCCACTGGAATGAATGGGGGCAACCTAACCAGCTATTGGAACTAGGGGGGTGTGTGCGAGGTGAGATGATAACAATCCCTGTTATTATTGAAAAAAAAAAGTTGTCTAGAACATAAAAAGTGTTTAATGAAATAATTTTAAGCTGGATTCAACGTTACCGCCTTGATACGAGGGATCCATTTTCGCCATCATACTTGTAGCTTTGCGTGTATTATTTAGTCTTTTTTTTTTTCTCCCTTTGCTAGCTGCCTTCCAACCTTTGGCTTACCGCTTATATCTTGTCGCCATTATCCTTGTACACTCGACAAACCTGTCAAAATCGCGCACCAAGCCCGGAAAGTCCTGGATAAGCTCCAACGTCCGAGCCTTGAGCTCTGCGGCCTCGGGGTCCGTCTCAGGCTCAGGCCCAGGCACAGAGGCCGGATCCACGGCGTCACAAGTGGCAGCAGCAGTTGCAATAGGCGAGTCTTTGGCATCGCTGGCAGCCGCCACAGCAGCTGTGTTTGCTCCATCGCCCTCGCCGGTGCCGCGGGAGCCGACGTCAACGATGCTGTCGTCACTTCCAGCGCCAATAGCAGTGGTTTTCCCTCTGTGGCTTTTGTACCAGTGTGTGTTCATGGCCGATAGGCGAAGCTGGAATTCATCCCAGTCGACTTTGCGTAGCGTCTCCTGATTGTCCGGGGAGGGGAAGCGCCGGAACAGTTTAACACCACATCAGCCTCTTTTATTTTTACATTTGATTTAGATTCCGCTGACAGAAGGAAGCGAGAGGAGGGAAGAGGAGTAAAAGAGTATCGCTTGATACGTGTAGGTACCCGGCAGGGCAGTTGAAAACTGAGTCATCATAAAAGACCACCCCAGTAAACATGCAATGAACGGCAGCAAAACTCGTAATCGACGGACAGCTATGCTGTTCATCACATGTTAAAAAACAAATAACAGACGGCCATCTTTTTGTGGCTCATGCATTGATCTTCCCTCGTCGCCAAGGTGAGCGGTGGAATGATCATCACATCAGTCATGGCCCGGATGCGGCAAAACCATTAACTCTCTCGCAAGAGCCCAAAAATGCAAAATGCGTCAGGCGCACGTGTTTGTTTGTTCTGGCCGGGCTTACTCGGTGGAGCAGCAGCCGCACAGCTGATGGGAAAAAAACAATATTATGGAGAACGGGCGTTTTTATGGTTATGATGAAGGGGACGAGTAAAAGCGACGGGGAGAGGCGGATGAAAATGGGGCAATGTGGTAGTGCCAAAAGCATGAACGAGGAGGAAAAAAAAATACTCGTAAATGAGGTCATAACATACCTTGGCCAACGCACCGTAGCGCATCATGAAGAGCATGCTGTCATCTGCGTAGCCGGGGACATTGAGCATGGCGCTGTTGATCTCCGAAGCTCGCTGAGAAGCTCCCGTGCTGCCGCTGGGAGAGCTCATTCTCGCAGGTTTTTCCTGTCCCTTGCCTTCCCTTGTGGTGTCTTTCCTCAGCTGAATTGGGGAAAAAGATATTTATAGCTCGTCTGCTTTGGTTATGGCGGGGCGTGTAAGTTGCTGAGTGTGTGAGTATCGGCGTGGAGGAGGGATGAAAGAGTGTGATGTAATCTTCGTGCGTAGGACAGACAGCTGGCCTAAAACGAAATGCCTTTTCTCGAGGGAGGAGTGGCTGCTGTCTTAGGTACATGTACATGTAGTGTGGCCCATCAGCCGCATGAGCCTCGCTGAGGCGCCCTGGCAGGTCGGTGACTGTAGGAGGAAAAGAGCAAGGTGAGCAGCCCTAAATGATGACTTGGCTTTGCATCTAGAATGTGACCATGGCTATACTAGAGTTGCCTGGCAGCAGTAGCTCCAGTCTTATGCACGCATCTCATCCGGCACAGCCTTGTGACGCCACGTGGGGCGGTGCTCTTGATGTCTGAGTGCTGCTCGGAGATGTCTCAAAATAGCCACCAGCCTCTCATCATTATTCAAGCTGCCCGTTTGTGGGCATTGAGCAGAGAATAGAGCAAGTTCTACAGTACGCAGAGGTGACCTAGCTGAGCCTAACTGCTGCCTGCCAAGAATCAGCATTCTACAAGGCTGCCTGACGCTGACAGCTAATGCGAAGCTGCAGATGGTCTCTTCTCTGCGGCTTTTTATTGGATAGAGATCCGCCAGTAAGGATAGAGTGTGCTTCCTCTTAGCCTCACATTATTGTTGGTAGCTACCAAGTCTCCCTAAAGGAGGCTCTTGCGCTTTTCCAGTAGAAATAAGAGAAGATGAGCGAATTCTAGTCATCTATACCAGCGTCTATATTAATAGCGATATGCTCCGCAAACGATGTCTCTATTCTCGAAGGTAAATGAATCGTATTGATAAGGAGTATATATAAATAATTCCAAGAGAACATTAGTATTTTGTCAAGCTCTAGCAGAACTTCTGATCAAGTTGTACGCAAACTTGGATTGGACGCTATTTCATAAGGGATAGCAACTACGTGGAAGAGTATCCATTCTTCTGACAAGGTCAGATTTAAGCATATCTAAAGCATCAAGGAACATAGAAAACAAATGCCTAAAGGGGAAGAAATGCTGTAATTGATGAGCCACAGCGTTCGGTGAGCAAATTCCTTCACAGCATTTTTAATCCTCTCCCATCCTCTGTTTTATATATCTCAAGTGAAAGACAAACTGTAAGCGATGAGTCTCAAGTGGTACAACATCAAACGAGCTCTCAGCATTTTTAATCGTCTCCCGCCCTCTGTCTCTATAAGCCTCATTTTGTCCCGTTTCAGCCATATTTTTCGATAAGATATATAAAAAAGAGCCCCGTGGGAAAAACTAAAGTTGCTATGAAACTGAAAGATAATTTGTTTATGTGAACTCTGAGCAGGCTTTGATAATGAGGATGAAAGACGCGTCGGAGAGGATTAAAAATGCTGTGAAGAAAAAAATTTCAATGTATTATAAGGGGGGCACATGCATACATGGGAAGGCCTCAGTGACAATAAAAATTGCTGTGAAGTAGTAATTGAGGGTAAATGGAACCCTTGAAGAATTTTTAGTATTATGACAGGTATATGCATGCATGAGAATGACCTCGGGGAGGGTTAAAAATGCTGTGAAGGTTTTTTTTTTTTCAATGTATTATGAGGGGGGTACATGCATACATGGGAAGGCATCAGTGACAATAAAAATTGCTGTGAAAACTGGGGGTAATAGAAACCTTGAAGAATTCTTAGTATTATGACAGGTACATGCAAGCATGAGAATGGCCTTGAGGAGGGTTAAAAATGCTGTGAAGCTTCTCTTAGCTCCTCGGATCCTTGATCAAGCACCCCATCTCAAAACATAGGGCTCTTATTGGTGAGTCTGCGTGATGATCAAGCAGCATGTAAAATTGGTTGGCACTATTCCCAATGTTGTAATATAGAATCCTTCTGTAGCCTAAAGCGAATTGAAAATTGTATGACATTTGTTGAGTTGATGGTTTCGGCATGATGTTTAGTTTCATCCCATGCCACTTGAATGCTAAGCTCATGGCTTGTAGCGTCACGAAACTGCGGCCCTCTCGAGAAAGATAGCTCTCTACTTCCATGAAACAAATAAAATCAAGTGAATTCATTATCCGTATACGCTGGCAGTAATAAATCTTATCTCCTTATCTTTATATCATGTCTCATTAAATAGAACCTCCTTCAAAGATAGCTTTATCGACAACTGCGCCATATCTACACTCTCCTAAGGATTGAGAGGTTTCCTCCCAATGATAAACCGGTAGCTAGTAATGAGCCGGAGGTCTCGATTTCGAAACTCGCTCTTGACACCCTCCATGAGGACATTGGTTTGGTCTCTGGAATAGTTCAATGCGCGAGTGAACAGAGCTGGCGTGTGTGAGTCTACAGCCATTTGCATGTGGGTAAGCTCGAGTCTGCCCAGCTCTTTTAGAGTAGGGTCTTTGGCCCATGGTCCAATTGGTATCTTTCCATAGTGGTTGGTGGTTAGTATCCAAAGCTTCTTTTATCCAAGAGGAAGTGAGTATTTACGTACCCTGTATATCCTCTCCTCAACATCTTCGAACCCGGCATCTATCATCCACTGTTTCTGGAACTGTGCAACATTAATCTGCTTGCCGTACAGCTTACTGGCAGCCTCCAGCTTGTCGACCCATCCCATAGTCCACGGAGCGCGGTCACAGCTATCGTCATCGCTGAATATCCACGCGTCATACTCCTGCATCTCGATCCATCCACCCGGCTTGAGGTGCTCCATGACCTGGCTGTAGAACCGCGGCCAGTCACCGGATGTGCCGCAGAGGGCTCGTCCATGTATGTAATCGAATTTCTCGTCCTCTCGGAATGCCCACTGATCTTCGTAATCGTCTACATGGAAATGACAGTTATTCGGCACCCATTCGGGCTGGATTGGCGACAGGTCGATGCCATAGACAGATGAATTTGGACGCTCGTCTGCCATGTCGATAGCCCAAATGCCTGTGCCGGTACCCAAATCGAGAATGCGCAGCCCATCATCGCCCTCGGGCGACGCCAACGGTGCCGTGAAGAGTTGGCCGCCTAATAACAGCCGCCATATGTGATGCTGAAGATCTAATCGTCCTTGCTCCTCCTGATCATTGGGTAGCACGTACTGACCCTTTCTGTAAGCGTGATAGCGACGGCCGTTTTCGTATTGGTAGTTGGAGGTGGAAGAGGCGATAGAGTTAGCATATATAGAGTCCTGATCAGAGCCGTAAGCTGAGTCGAAATCTTCCGGATCGTCTTTGTATGCTTCAGTCTGCTCCCGGATAATTTGTAAGTGATTGTATCATGATGCTTTATACATGGCGTATTCTTTGTTTTTCTTTTCCTTTCTTCCGGTGTCTCTTATTTTCCTCGTATGCTCCGTAGTAATGAGAGTTTATGTGGTAGCATTCATTCATTCATTCATTCATTCGTTCATTGGGAAAAACATGCACTCAATTGAGGGATAACTGTGGGTGATTTTCGCGACTCACATCGACTTGGACAGGAACTGGATTCTCAGCATCGCCAGCCACGGGGCCTGCTAGCGGAGTTGCTACGCCAGCAGATGGAGATGGAGTCTGGTGTGGAGATCTGGACGGAGACACTCCGTTGCCTTTGAGAGACGCCATACTAGGGGTCTATCTTAGCAATATGGTATGAAAAGGGAAACTGCTTGTTTCGGCGGTGCTTCTTTGGCGGCAGCCAGATGAGACCCGTAACTTGTTTCCAAGGTCAGGAGTGCTGGAGGGAACAGGCGGGCGCGCAGCTTCCAGTGCTTTTCCCTCCTTCTGTTGCTCCTTAGTTGGAGCTGCGGGACGCGCATTTTCGGAGCATCTTAGCGGCCGAGGGACGGCAGTTGTTGCGGCACGAATCACGGAGCAGAGATGGACAAACGAGCGGGGAGGTGGCTCAACACGTCTACGATGAGCCGTTCGGGCTCGGGAGGGCTAAGACACAAGAGAACTAGCAGGAACATATAGCGATGTGGGATAAGAAGGTTATTATTACTCCGAATGGAGCATAAGGATTGGCACTATGAATGAATGAGTTTGGTGATCTGGTATTGATGAGGCATGGTATGTATACATGTAGCTACGTGTAAGCCCGGGGTCAGTGGTGTGGGAGCGGATGCCCTCGCAGAACTGCCGTTGCGGCCTTGCATACATGAGCTAGTCTTTGACATAAGGCTTGGTGTAACCCTCTCTTTCGCTTTTGATTTGACTCGAGCTGCATCCGCAGAGGCCGTTACGGCGCTGGCTCTGCGAGCACACACCGAAGCGGTTGCTGCCAGGCACGATGTAGCCGGGCATTTCCATCCAACTCTCCGACTTCTCATCCTCGGTCGCGTTCCGCTCTCACGCCATGCCAAGCACTCGCTACTCGTAGGATTGCGCCCATCTCAATAACTGCAGCCAACCAGGTTAAATCGGAGTTATGGCTCGCCGCGGAGGAGGTTCCGCGGCCGTGATAGGCTGGCGAAGCTCTATGGGATGAATCGAAGATCCACATAACTCTTCAACCCCCTGACCTTGCAGAATCAGAATCATGCCGCACGTGGTTTTAGCCGTCTAATCTCCTGCTTGGGCGTTGTAGCATACGGGGACTGGCCCTTGTAAGAAGCCGAGTTTGAACGAAGACCAGCTGCATTAAATAATAGTAGTATTGCAAATATCTAGATACTATAGGTACCATCTACAGTCGCGTTGGCTCCTCCTAATTGAGGTGCAAGCGCATGTTATGCTGTCGATTGCCCGTCTCGATCCCCTCTCGTGCCGTTGACTGGGCGTATTAATCGTAGTAAAAAGGTTTTAGGCAAAGCTACTATTGCTGGTGTTATAGCCTCTTCTTTGACCGCAGATGTCTCTAAGACTACTTCGCCTTATAATTCTAGTATTTGGTGATATACTGATGCCTTGTTTCTTATAGGAGTTGGAGATTCATTACAATCACGCATCATGACGAACTTGCATGGCTTCACCGTCTCTCTCTGCTCTGTTGCCATTCCCCTACTGGTTCACACGTCAAACTAGGGTCTGAATTTTGCTGCAATGTAGCTTGAATTTCACATTGACTCTTCTCAGTTCTGCTGTCCCGCGCATAGTGTGAACAAGGAACCTCCTGATTAAGCGCTTCCAGCCCCTTGGTGAAATGCTATCTGTATAAGACCTCTTCGTCGAATCAAAGCATGATGCGATTTACTCATCTACGTGCCATATCTTACACTCAACAGCCACAATGGGTTCTCAAGGAGGGAAGCTTATAGCATCAACGGAATCCGTGGAAGAACCACAGTCGGTGATGCCGGAAGTTATGCATCATAACGCCAATTTGGTGGATACCTCTAGTGCTAGGAATAGGGAAACTCAAACTCATTTAGATACTCATTTGCCACAAATTGACAATGAACCAAAAGGGACACGTGTGAATCGAATTATCTGTTGATTCCGCGATTTTGAGCCTGAGATCTTTCGCTCACCAATATTCATTGTAATTCACCGCTCCCGGCCAATCGTAGTCACCTTATCGCTTTATATTTTTTTTTCGCTGAGTAAGCCAGCCCGATAAGCGATACGCGCAACCACATTTTGATTTTGGCCGTATCGCTGATCAACTTCAATCGCCCAACTTTACAAGCGCGGCGCAGCGCATCGTTTCCTGTCTTCCTTTGTGCTATTATTGATCTAAAATTTTGCGGCGCTGAAATCAATCATGGTGCGAAACAAGCCGCAGCGGCGGAATGATGACCGCGGACGGAATGGCTACGGCGATGATAGAAATCACCATGGCTTCCGACGCTCACCACCGCGCTTTACTCCATCCCGCGATAGGTCCTATCGCGACTCTGACAACTGGCGACCTGGCGACGGTCGGAGGCCAGATTCGAATTCACGACCCTACAGCGATGATCGCCGTGGAGGGGGCGCCGATTCATACCGGCCGCATGTCCCTCAGGGCGACTTCACTTTCCGCATGGACAAGCCGGCTGGCATCTCCAACTACGTGCCCAACGGCCAGCCGCCGCAAAGGCGCCCCCCGCGAAGAGATGGACGTGGAGGTGGCCCTCGCAGGCCCGGCAGGCCTCGTTGGCAGCCGCCTCCCCACCCCTCTGAACGAGCGTTGATATCGGGCGTCACCACAGGCCTCCCCGAGGAGAGTGTGCATACTGGCGAAGGCGCAAAGTTTCGTGATCTAGACGAGCTTTCGGACGATGACGAGCTTGACATGGACATATCGTCACGATCGTCTCTGTCTGATACCGAAGAACCCTCCAAGAAGCGAGTGCGCACAGCCGTAGCTGACGAGTCTGCTAATGCGGCCCCCAAGTGGTCCAATCCAGACCCGTATACAGCACTGCCGTGCCCAGATGATGCTACGCGCAAGAAGCGGGATGTTGTGAAACTTATTCGCAAGGCTAGATTGGAAGATAACTCAAACAAGCCGCTCGTGTCCACAGAAGCTGAAGATTTCCTCTCATTCGATCTCAGTGACGAGGAAGGTGAGAATGAAAGTGATATCAAAGTTATTAAAGCCTCAGAGCTACCGCCGCCACCACCGCCGCCCAGTGAATTACCACCCCCACCGCCTCCTCCACCAGCTTCTGTAAACTATAACAACAACAACAACAACAACAACAACAACAACAACATTGAACCTTTGGGCAGAGGCATCCATTCTCTACCAAACAAACCAGCTGCACCACAAGATAGATCAGATCCTCTCGGTTCTCGCAAGCGCACTCACGACGACGAGATCATTCAACCACCAAATTACAAGCAGTTTAAGAAGCCCAATATGAGACCCTCAAAAGGAACTCTGGTGCCAAACTGGACGCCGAAACCAAATGAAGAGCCTTGTCCATGGGCAACTGTCGACCACTCTGCAACGACCAATATGGCATTTCGGTAAGCTCCATCTATCTCGTCTTTGGCCAACCTTTCAGGATATGTCATGCGCTAACCACTCATGGTCAGACTGCACAAAGAAGTCATGGACTTCTATGAATTCGTTAAGCCATGTGACTTTGAGCAGACGATTCGCAACAATCTGGTTGAAAACTTGAAAAAGGCCATGAAGAGGGACGACAGAAATTTTGCCAACGCCCAGCTTTTCCCGTTTGGTTCATTCATGTCTGGACTATATCTTCCAACGGCTGATATGGATTTGGTTGTTTGCTCTGCCAGCTTCATGCGAGGCGGTCCACCTACCTACTTAAGCGCTAAAAGCTGGCTGTATAAGTTCCGAAAGTTTCTGGTCGCCCAACGAATTGCAGAGCAAGAATCGATCGAGGTTATTGCCCACGCTCGAATCCCGCTGGTAAAATTCATTGATAGGGTTACTGGGCTGAGAGTGGATGTGTCGTTTGAAAACCTCGGCGGAGTCAAGGCCATCGACACATTTTTGCGTTGGAAGGAGGAGTATCCGGCAATGCCTATCCTTGTCACTGTGATTAAGCATTTTCTTCTGATGAGAGGCTTGAACGAACCTGTCAACGGAGGCCTGGGCGGATTTTCAGTCATTTGTTTGGTCGTCAGCATGCTTCAACTCATGCCACAGGTCCAGAGCCGTAGCCTTGTCCCAGAACACCATCTCGGAGAGATGCTCCTTGAATTCTTTGAGCTATACGGGCGGAACTTTGACTATGAAGTGAATGCCATTTCGCTCACCAGCCCTATTGGATATGTCCGCAAGGTAAGCGTTTTCCAAATCGCGGAAGACGGTCTCTGAAGATAGCCCGCGATCACTTTTTCTCCTTTATTTGCTGACACCCTGCTCTAGAGCCAAGTATCAAGCTTCACATACAAGAAGACGGACCGCCTCTCAATCATTGATCCGAACAACCCTGCTAATGACATCTCTGGCTCTTCGTCTAATACAGAAGGCGTTCTGTCTCGCTTCCATGATGCTTACCTTACTCTACGAGACCGTATGCAACAAGTTGGTAACGATCCTAAATGCGGTGGCATTCTTGATGTGCTTTTCAAGGGCGATTACTCCTCCTTCAGGATGCAGCGGACTTTCCTCCAGCATATCTATGAAAAGCGTGGTTAATCGTGTTCTGGCCGAAGGGATATAAGTTGTTTTATGGCTATTAATGAAGTATTGGCGTTTACGGATACCTAAGACTACGAATAGTTGCATTTGGACGGAATGGAGGCTTATAAAAGTGACTGTTTCTGTGGCGCGTGGAAAGAAGGATTCAAGTGTTTTTTTTTCTCTTCTATTTTCTTCTTTCTTTTTTACAGCCCCCTTTTTTGTACACTTATCTGTAACGTCCTGGATCACTGCTGAAGTACGGATTATGGGGATTGGCTTTTCTTAACTTTGCTTGATTTAGGAAATTGTTGGTGGCTGCCAACTAATGGATTGATCAGGACTTGCGACAATTTGAACCTACCTGTTACCTACGCTTTCTATCGGCGCGATCGACCGCTATTACTACTAACAGGGCTGTACAGTGATATGAAGAGATGATGGAATTTTTTGACAGCTAACTATAGAGCATAGAGAGATTCTCCGCCTCAGCGACGAAGCTGCCAGGAATGAGGGCTTATTCCTGGTAACCTTTATCACTGGTGGCTGGGATTGGAGTTCACGGTGACTCTGCTCACCATTTTTCTCACTGCAGACTCTGCTTTACGCGGGACTGTGGAGAGGGAAAGCCCCCAGTTTACAGAATACGGTTCTCCGGCTTGAATGGCTTGGAAGCTACGAAAGAACTCTGCTAGCAGGCGGAACAAACTTTTCAAGGTTGCCGAGCAACAAAAACTGTACCTGGTTGTTCTTCCTTTGCTGTGTGATTCGGGGCTGCCTGAAGCGCGATGAGCTTAGCGAAAGTATTTTTGCAAGAAACGATCCGGTTATTAGCTTGCCGCTCTCAGCATCACATCATCTGCTCGATTTCTCTATACCCGTTTGTTTCGCTCTGTAGAGCATAGCTGGGCTGTTATCTTACCTTTTTTTTTTAGCTTGTTTTTTTCTTTCTTGGTAGGTAAACAATATGCCGTCACTCCATATGTACGAAGTGAAAGCTCTTTCAAACATATGCTGTATTGCCGGCATCGGTAAGTTTCATCACTCATCTGTCTATGGACAGAGGAAGAGAGGGATCGTTTTCTTGCTCCTCAGCGAACATTTCTAAACGAGCTGCCATCTAGGCGGCGCCCTCATCGGCTTCGACATCTCGTCCATGCCCGGCATCCTGGGTATGCAAGCCTACTAGGAGCGCTTTGGCGTCCCCGAGCCGTTTGTGAAGGGAATAATCACTGCCATGATGCCCATCGGCTCGATGTTTGGCGCGCTCTGGTCCTGGTATCTGGTCAAGGCGATGACCGCAAAGTGGGCTTTGGTATATGTGTGCTGTATATGGAATTTTGGATGCATTCTTCAGGTCGCCTTGCCGCTCAACTCGATGCTTTATATTGCGAGATTTATTGCCGGAATGGGAGCTGGGGTTATAAGTGCTGTCGTGCCAGTATATCTGGTATGTCTGCCCTTACTCTTGTGGTTGCGAAATCTGGATGATGCTGCGCAAATGGCGGCAACGTCACTAAGTTGGAGCAGGCTGAAGTTGCGCCATGGAAGACTCGGGGACGGATTATTGGGTATGCACTTTTCATTGTTCTTGGCCATGAGAAGGAGCGTATTTGAGCAATGTCTGACCTGCGTTGACAGTATCTATCAATTGGGCATCGCTTGGGGCGTTTGCGCGCAATATCTCATCCAATATGCCGCGGTAAGATTTTCACATAGGCACAAGGATTTTTCTGACCGGCAGGATTTTGCTCTTCGATTGTCATTTGGCATCCAACTAGTCCCTGGAGTTACGTTTCTTTTAGGCCTCCTTATCCTTCCTCACAGCCCGCGTTGTTATGCCATGCATGGCCTCTGGGGGTCCGCCGTCGGCCTGATTGCAGATATTCATGCAAAAGGGGATATGAACCATCCCGAAGTCATGGCGCAGTACCGAGAAATGGACGAGGAACTTCGGATTGAGCGCGAAAGGGGCAGTCCCTCGTTCCGAATGTTGCTGCGAAAGCCCCTGGCCAAGAGGCTTCTCCTGGGAATGAGTGTCCAAGCATGGAGTCAACTGTGTGGCATAAACATCATGATGTGTTTGTCTGCCACGCGTCTCTGAAACCCAAGCTTGTTGCTGACACCTAGTTCTACAAACATAGACCACGTTTTATACGTCTTGGCTGGAGCCGGAGCTGCTTCGCCGTTTGTGATGGCTTCAGTCCAGTACCTCCTCAGCTATGTCTGCACTGTACCAGCCATATACTTGGTGGACAGGGTAGGCCGAAGACGAGCGATGCTGGCTGGTTCTTTCGTGATGATGACATGTCTCTTGTTCACCGGTGATTATTGCGCTTTATCCCTTGCCATGTTTTACCTGGGGATTCATATGAGGGCTAACTGCTTGAAAGGATTTCTCCAGCAGTACAATGGCCAACCCAGCGTGGGAGAATCAATAAGCGGCAATTTTCATCTCTCCTGGATGATCAACAGAAATAAACATGTCACTAGTGCTATAATATCCTTTTCTTGCATCTTTGTGACTGCGTTTGCTCTGACCTGGGGACCGATTTCGTGGATATACCCAGCAGAGATATTTCCGACTCAAATTCGTGCCAGGGCCGTTGCTTTGTGCACGGCATCGCGTTGGGGTTGCAATGTGGCCGTGGCTTTGGCTGTGCCACATCTGTGTAAGTGGAAAACACACCCTCTAAATATTCTCCTTGAAAGGAGAAGCTCGGCTGATATGGTGCTGTTTATAGTATGGACTATCAAGTAGGGAACCCTTTTACGATTTTGAATGATAGCTTACTGACATGGGGGCTCTGAAAGCTACAACACGTATTATCTCTTTGGCGCCTGTACGTTCTCTGTGTAGTAATTTGATACGCTGTGATACTTGACTGATGGATTCTTTTTTAGTCAACGGGCTTGCGCTAATGCATATTTATTATGCCGCCTACGAGACCAAAGGATATACACTGGAGGAAATGCACGAAGCCTTTGACTCGAGGCTGCCCCCATGGAAATTTCGTCAAGGGGAAAGTAGGGTAGAGGCGCTGGCATTACGTATTCGGCAACAACAACGGCAGCAGCAACGAGCCAGTATCAGGAGCAGCAGAGGAACAGGGGCCATTGCTGTTGAAGAAGAAGAAGGATGGCCATTCAGAAGGAGGTCGTCAGTGCAGGCTTGATAAACTGCTAGACATAAAATGGGACGTGGGGACTCTCTCTTGGTGATCCGCTGCTTAGTCAATGGGCTTGCCTCTTTACGAAAGGAATTGAGATGATAGAGATTATAACATTGAACTGAAATATTGGTACTTTTATTTGCACAAGCTTGGCCACGTGGAGAAAGACTGGCTAGATAAGCTGTGTCTTTGGCTTTGTGAAGGTCATACGGAAGAGGCTGAGGCCGTAGCTGTCCCCCAAATTGTATAAATCGCTATCGCCATTGCCATCCATTCAATCCCGCGTTATGACCCCCACTGACCAGTAGCAGCATACTTCTTCTCTAGTTTTAGTGATGAAGAGCCACCTCCGCTGTGGGGGAACCGACTCGCAGCCATGGATTGGGGCTAGAAGTCAGACTGTGGAACGTTAGAATGAGGGGCAAATATGGATGAGGGGCAGAGGCTACTATGAGATGAGGTAGATGTAGCAAGCTAGAGAAAAACAATTCATCTTGGATCAGCTGAATCGCAGTCATCCGATGTCGCAGTAAGATCCAAGAAGATTACCTGTATCTATATTCTTCTCTGCTGTAAGCATCCAGCTAATAGCAACAAATTGGGCATCGGGCAAAGCTTTGGAACTAAAGGGGAAAAAAAAACAACCAAAAGGAACCTCTTCACAACTCCAATTCTTTGCGGAGAAGCTTCGACAAAAAAAAAAAAAAAGGACACAATGTCTTCGCTCATCTTCTATCCCACCTCGCCCAAGGAGGCGCTGGTCAAGGAGTTTGTGGGCAAGTCAATCGCCGACGTGCCCACGCCGGCGGCGGTGATGAACGTTGCGGCGGCGAGGCGCAATTGCGAGCGGATGCTGGAGGCTGCGAAGAAGCTTGATTTGGGGTGGAGGGCGCATGTGAAGACGCACAAGGTGAGGAATTTTTCTTTTTTCTCTTCTTCAAATTCATGGAGGGGATGAGTATGGGGATTGTGCTAATTGCTGTCTTGTGTGTATAGACTGTTGAGCTTACGAGGCTTCAAGTTGGAGAGGATCCGTCGAGGCCGGCGAATTTGATTGTTTCGACGTTGTCGGAGGCGGAGTTTGTTTTGCCTCTGTTGGAGGAGTATAAGAAGAAGGGGAGGCGGGTAAACGTAAGTATGAGGGGGACTACTGGAAGAAGAAGAAGAAGAAGGTGAATGGTGTTTGTTTGTTTTTTTTGGCTAACGAGCGGAATGATAGTTTGTCTACGGCCTACCTATTTCCAAAGGGGCAGTGCCTCGGTTGGCAGAAGTCGTCAAAGTTCTCGGCGAGGGCAGTATATCTATTCTCCTGGATGACCCTGCACAGCTGGCCGCTGCTGCGGAGCTGAAGAAGCAGTCTGGCGTTGCGCCGCTGGCTCACATCAAGATTGATATGGGAGGACGCCGGGCGGGCGTTGTCGAGAGCAGCGAGCGGTTTGTGGAGGTTGCCAATGCGGCGCTGGAGGCACACAAGGCCGGATCGTTGATTCTGTCTGGGCTGTATTCACATGCTGGGCACTCTTACGGAGGAGACAGCCGTGTGGCGGCCATCAAGATGCTGTATGCGGAGATTGATGCCATGCTGCGAGGCGCAGACCGGCTCTCCCAGAAGGCAAAGGAGCTGGGGGTCCAGATCCCGACGCTGGTGGTGTCTGCGGGAGCTTCTCCTACGGCGCTGTCCGTGCAGAATCTCCTTGGTGGACAGGACGAGGCTCGGGATAGCGAGACGGGCACGCCGGAGCTGAAAGCCGCAGTGACTGAACTCTCAGAGCTCTTCAAGACGGTCAAGAGCAAGGGGCACGCAGTCGAGATCCACGCCGGCGTCTACCCAACCCTCGATCTGCAGCAGCTCGCCGCACACAGCCTCAGCTCGTCGACGCTGTCATGGCGCGACATCGCCCTCACCGTCGTGGCCGAAGTGCACAGCGTCTATCCCGGGCGCGGCGAGAACGGCACCGACGAGGCCCTCATCGGCGCGGGCGGCCTGGCGCTGGGCCGCGAGTTCTGCAAGGCCTACGACGGCATGGCGATGGTGACGCCGTGGGGGCGCCAGGGCGTGGAGATGCCGGCCTGCGATGTGGAAGACCACGAGGGCTGGACCGTGGGCAGGTTCTCGCAGGAGCACGGCATCTTGACATGGGCGGCCGGCAAGGGACGACGCGAGAAGACGAAGGAGGGAGCGCTGGGGAAGCCAACGGATGCGGTGGAGGCGGGACAGAAGGTGAGGCTGTGGCCGAATCATGCGTGTATCACGAGCAGCCATTTTGGGTGGTATTTTGTGGTGGATGAAGACAGAGCAGGTCATGAGGACGAGATTGTGGATGTTTGGATCAAGGCCAGGGGGTGGTAAGACGGATTTTTGGGTAGCATAGCATGGCTGAGACACGGTTTGATATGGATTCCGGAGTAGGTACTGTATTGCATACTATGTAACTATATGCGGAATGGATTTGGATTCAAAAGTTTGTCACAAACTGCGTCTCTGATGTAGCGAGATTCATCAATGCTGTCAAAGAGGATGACCATATCAACTTTTGACATCAGTCATCACTCATATTCTGCACTATTGGAGTGATGAACAGTAGACGAGTTATCTGAGAGGGCTGTATGCTGTATCATCGTGGAGAGGGAGCAACTCTAGGCAACGTCAAAGACCCCCACCGATGAAGCAAGGGGGAAGAGAGAACCGCCGGGCTCCTCTCGGAAGACCCTGGGAAATGCAGAGCCAAAGAATTCCAATAGGTTGGTTATAGAGTAGAGCCACACTTCGTATATGCCGGCAATTGCAAAGCTGGCACGTTTTGAAGGGGATCAAAGCATTCCCTCTCGGGAAAATACAAGAATGTCAAGCTGCTTAAGTCTGCAAACTGCTGCAAGGTCCCGAAGGAGGAGAAATAGGTTGGCAATGCGTTAGCAGCTAGTGCTGGGGTTCTTGAGTCAAACTTGGACTAGAACCGGTGGAGCCAAAGATGGGGAGAGAGCAAGACGGAAGAGCCAAAATTCCCCCACATGTTGCTTGTCTTTATTCCCCCCAAAAAGGACGGGTCACTTTGAAATGTGGCGCCGAGTAAGAAACTCGTGCTGAGCACGGCGTTTGTTCCCCTTGTGGCCAGCGGGAAAGAAGAGTTACTTGTGTGTAAGTTGAGCTAGTGGAATGTGGGATGAAGGAGTTGTTTGCGAGGCAAATATGGAGAATTGCTACTCCAATTTCAGTCTCCGAGATCAGCTGCTCTCTCTCCTGTGATTTGCTTCCCTCTTGCTTTATGGAGAGCGTGGGGGTACCGGCTTTTCTCTAGGCGTTATTGTGTCCTTTTTGGCCGTGCCATGGGAGCACAACATGGCAAATGCGTGCCACTGCTATTGGGATTATGCTTCGGCAAATGAACGTAGCATGGGGATAGAATACCACGGACATCGGAGCTGGCCATGGAGCTGCTAATGTAGGTACCGGAATATCATGTGCCATTCGGGCCCGACTTTCCTGTCTCTCTTCTTCCTTCTTATTTCCCGGGTTCTCTGTTTGTTGTCTCTATAGCTTTTTCTTCTTCTTATGTTGATTTGTCTGTGTGAAGCATTCTGTTGAACTTGAGGCTTGAGAACGAACCAACCAACCCTCTCTCTCTCTTCTCTCATCTTTACCCATCCACACATCTCCTCCATATCACCTTGGTGTTCTCATCATCTCAAAACAAATAAGAGAATCACAGCCGTTACATACCAATAAAGAAACGCCATGTCTCCTTCTGCGGATTCATCTGCTGCGGCGGCCCAAATTGGTGACCGTGCCACACGACCTCTCATCCGAGGAATCTACGTGCCCACTGTAGCCTTTTTCGACAGCGAGACAGATGAGCTGGACATCAAGACCGTATCACGGCACGCCGTCCGCCTCGCAAAGGCTGGTGTATCTGGCCTTGCCGTCCAGGGATCCAACGGAGAAGCAGTCCACCTGGCACTGGACGAGCGCTCAGCCATCACGCGAACCACCAGAGCCGCCCTCGATGCCGCGGGCTTCACATCCATGCCGCTGATTGTCGGCTGCGGCGCCCAGTCCATCATCGAGGCCGTGAAGCTGTGCCGAGACGCAGCGGCCAATGGCGGCGACTACGCGCTGGTGCTGCCGCCGAGCTACTACGCCGGCCTGTTCGACAGCTCCACGGTCGAGAGCTACTTTGTCGGCGTGGCGGATGCCTCGCCCATCCCCATCATCATCTACAACTACCCCGGCGCCACGCCCGGCATCGACATCAACTCGGACACGCTGATCCGGCTGAGCCGCCACGCCAACATCGTTGGCTGCAAGTTCACCTGCGGCAACACGGGCAAGCTGGGCCGTGTGGCGGCCGCGGTCAAGGCTTCAGGAGCCAACTTCCAGTGCTTCGCCGGCAGCTCCGACTTCTTGCTGGCGTCGATGGCCAACGGCGCGGCCGGCGTCATCGGCGGCCTGGCCAATGTTTCTCCCCGGGCCAACGTGCGGCTCTTCAAGCTGGCCGAAGCCGGTGCCGAGAAGGCGGCCGAGGCCTCGGCGCTCCAGGCCGTTTTGGCGGCGGGAGACTGGGTTGCGATCCAGACGGGAGTGGTTGGCGTCAAGGCGGCGCTGCAGGCCTACTTTGGATACGGAGGCTTTGCTCGAAGACCGCTGCCGAGGCCGGATGAGGTCAAGGTCAAGGGCATTGCGGACGGCATGAAGGAGATGATGGAGGTGGAAAATGCGCTGCCAGATGCCGCGTAGAATGATGGATGAAAGACGAAAGCGATGGACAGAATGAGGGGCTCTGAGTACATGTATTGATGACGACTTGCTGCATTTGGAATATATCACGAGGCGTATATACACATTTATGGGATACACGAAATTCACTGCATTTTTATATTACACTGACAATGGTTTGGCCGTGATTGCGACTGCCTATGCATGTGCAAGAACAGATACTTGCCTTTCATTCCATCACCGGAGCATTAGTTTACGGTTGTTGATAACTTCTAACTGAGTGGCATGAGACGAATCAATTGTAAATCACTACAGTACACACAGATGAACAGATAATTTTATAGAAGCGCCCAAAGTTTTATTTTTATTCATAATTGAGCTAATTTCCTTTTGCCAATTCCCATTTTCGCCTTTTTTTTTTATTGGTATCTCTATGAATATGCATGTATCATTTACAGAAGAGCAGTGCACTCAATCTCGACGTCGGTGTTCAGGGGCAGAGTCTTGACGGCGACACATCTGAGAAACACGCACCGTTAGCTTAATCCTTTTTATTCGAACATGCCAAGAGCAACCGCAGCGGATCTGCAAGCAAAGCAATACGTGACGTGACTATGATTTTTTTTCTGTCACAGACCCCCACCACAATGTTGCATCCGATAGCGGGGCGCTTATGTGTATGAGGGGTAGTCGATTCAACAGGATGAGGGGACCTGATGTTTTGACAAAAAAGATGACAAGAAAGAAGCAAGACTTACGTTCGGCAGGGCTTGACGTCGCCCCAGTAGGTGCTGTAGACCTCGTTCATCTTGGCAAAGTCGGCCATGTCGGCGAGGAAGACGTTGACCTTGACGACCTTCTCGAGGGTGGTGCCGGCGGCCTCGAGGATGGCAGACAGGTTCTTGATGCATTGGTGCTGTGAATCATGTTAGTTCTTGAACCGCCCTTGGAATTGATGCCTCGAGAATGGGCAGAATTCAACGTACGGTGTGAGCCTGGATGTCACCGGGAATGAGCTCCATGGTGACGGGGTCCATGGGCACGGCTCCAGAGACAAAGACCAGGCCATTGGCCTTGATGGCCTGGCTGTAGATGCCGGGGAGGGGCTTGGGAGCGTTGGAGGTGAGGACGGGGACCTTTTCAGACATTTTGGTTGTGGTTGATTTAGAGGGAGGTGGTGACGGATGAGAAGTTGGAGGTTGATTGAGACAGAAGAGAAAGAGAAAGAGAGAGAGAGAGAGAGAAATAGTAAAGAAATAGAATTACGCTCGGAGCTAACAAGCTATATATTCACAGTTTGCTGGCATCTTGCTTCCCACTACAATTACTTCATACATACTAGGCCCGGTTGCTATTTACTCCATACTTAGGCATGATCGGGTAAAGCTGGAAAGCAATGGGATTGAAATAGTACAGACGAGGCTCTAAACTCGTGAGAGAGCTCTCCACTATGTAGCGGAAAGTGGAGCAAAAAGTTGTAGCAGAAAGCAGAGCCACGACTCTTTTGGGAACAACGACCTCCATGAGCTGTTTGGGAATACGGCCATCAAGGGCTCAGAATTCAAAACGTTTTGGGAATACGGTCTAGATTGCCATGGAAATTTCCAACATCGAGAATCTCAGCGTTCGCCCCCCTCTATCTTCGGCAATAATAGGATTCTCCATGGAGATGGCAATGGCATATACAAGCGCGGCTGGCACTAAGATCACGACCACGACCGAGCTACACAATGACGGTTATTAGTCATTCTCCAAATCTCCTCACCAGCATTCAATACCATGTGGCCTCCCAGTTGACCCCCCCTTTCCACGATCCCCCCAACTCAATATTGGTGGACAGAGGGAGCGAGGGTCCGTAGATAGTCATTAACCACGGACAGCTAAGCGCCAAAACCCTGACCCCCGTGTAGACTGTATACCTCCAGCTGTGTTCGTATCTGTAAGTTCAATATCCATCCCCCACGATGATGTTCCCCCACTGAAAGGCGGTCAGATATGGTATTTGGCCGAGAAGTGGCTTTCGTGGCGGCGAGGGCCCAGTTCCTGGAAGGCGAGATTGTTGTTTGAGCGGCAAATCAAGTCTCCATTATGCTCCACTGATTGCACAAACGAGAGCCACGCAGTATCTCATCCGTCTACTGCGCAGATGATCAAGATAACATCTGTGCTCCATTGCAACACAGGCTCCGCAGATCCGAAGATATAGACAGAGTGCTTTGCGGCATGCGTTCCACACCTTGGCAGCGGCGTTTTGCTGCTCACCACCCATCCATTCAATCAATACAATTCCCCTCACCCGGTTAGTCTCCGGATTACCCCCCACCTGGGCCTAAACAGATGGATAATGGCGGGCTAGCGACTCGCCAAAGGCGTCTAGGATTGGAGATGCCGCGGTCCTTGGGGTCAGCCTCTCCTTTCGCGCCGCCCTCCCTTCTGTCAATGCAACGCACGCGCACAAAACCTTATACGTACCTTCATTTGTGCTAGTAGTACGGAATACTCCGTATATGAAGAGAGAAACGAAAAAGTGTGGGGTAAACTGGCCGGCTGGCTTCTCCAGGTTTTTCGTCTCTTCCCCACGGAGAGGATTTCGTGGAGAAGGGGAGACCAGAGGCTTGGGCCTGGGGAAATCCGTGCGCCATCTTGACTCGTTTCGAGAAAGAAGAAAAGAATTCATCCCGCTCAGAGGCTGATGTCCGGCTGACCGAGATGGCTGCATAGCCAAGACGCCGGAGAGATTCGCAGCAGTCCCTATCTCTAGATACCCATCTCTCTCGCCTTCTCTGTTTTCTGGCGGGGATCTAGAAAGAGATAGAGAGATAAGATATTTGGGGGGTTGGTGGATACGGCGCCTTCTAGTGGCCCAGGATTCGTCTCTGCCTTGGGACGAGGTACCTGCTCGCTCAGTGCTAGAGACAGCATCTCAGGGTATTTGGGCAATGTGTGTTACCCAATCTTTCCACATCTCCGGGACTCTCTCTCTAATGGTGGCACCGACTATTACTGGTGAGTCCTCACACGGCCTGTCTTATCCGAGCAGTTTGGGGGAAGCAGCCATTGGAGGGGGTCATATTGTCTTTTCCGACTCACATGCAGAGAGAGAGAGAGAGAGCAACGGTTTAAGCCAGGGGACTAGATCATCAGCTAAACAGCTCTTGACGATGACGGGGACCGCCTATCTCTCTTTCTCTTCTTGCAACCACCCCTGATGGCTTGAGTCCTTCATGCATTCTTGTAAACTAACTAACCTGTGCCTGGGCCGGCCATCTACAGTTACATTATCATAAAAAGCGCCTGTCGCCCACCCCCTGCTGCCGAGTTTCCCATCAGCCAGGACGCTCGGGCGCATTCTTTTTTCATCTCTAGCTGTTTGCCCTGTCAGCCTTCACCTGTTAGCATTGCGCTTAGCTTGGAAAAGCAACTACTAGCTGGTTCTTGGGGCGGTCTTAGCATCCTGGTCGGTGTGAGAGAGAGTTGCTATACATCAGCTTTTTTATAAGAACCTCCGGCCTGCGACCCAAACTTGGCAACTGTTTGCCTCTGCCGATCTACTTCCTCTTCCTCTTCCTCCTCCTCCTCCTCTCTTCATCACAGACGACCATCGTCTTGAACACTTGATTACTTCTTTATACTTCTTTTACACCTCTCACGCTATAAATTGCAGACAAGAGAAGAAGAAAAGCATATAGGAGAAACAGAACATTCGTCGCCATCATGGGTGTTCAAGACGACAACACCGTGTCCAAGGACATGGGCACCAACGACCATCTCGACCGAGTGGAAAGCCAAAAGGATGGCTTCATGGAAGAGACGGCGCGCGTCGTCGACCATCCTGCCGAGCGCGCTCTGTGCTTCAAATTTGATATCCGGATCCTGCCCGTCCTGGCCCTCATGTGTAAGTCGGCGTTTGCTTCTCATAGAATTGCTTGACGCGTTCCAATCGAGATGGGAGAAAGCAAGACAAGCTTCCATCTCTCTTTCTAGAGAGAACACCATCATTGTCATCAAAATCTGTGATTGCTAACTTCTCTTTTATTACAGACCTTTTCAATGCTCTCGACAAAGGAAACTTGGGTAACGCTCAGACCAAAGGCCTCAGCACCGGTACGCATCTCACATACACTCTCTCACCCCCTATCTTGTGCTACTAGTATCAGACTATGAGAAAAACATCAAACTAACGCCATAGCCTCATCCTTCTAGATCTTCACTTCAAGCCCAACCAGTACAACCTCGTCGTCTCCATCTTCTTCGTCCCCTACGTCATTTTCGCTCCCCCCTTCGCCATGCTTGCCAAGAAATTCGGAGCCTCTCGCGCCCTGCCCGTCATGATGCTCACCTTCGGCACCATGACCCTCTGCACGGCTGCCACGCAAAACTTTGGCGGCATCTTTGCCGTTCGCTGGTTCTTGGGAATGGCCGAATCCGCCTTCTTCCCCACCGTCATCTACTACCTGACCACCTTCTACCGCCGTGGAGAGCTCGCCCGCCGTCTGGCCATCTTCTACGCCGCGTCCAACATCGCCAACGCCTTCTCCGGCCTGCTCGCCTTTGGCGTCTTCCACATCAAGGACAGCAGGATCTTCGTCTGGCGGTACCTCTTCATCATCGAGGGCGGCGTCACTTTCCTCTTTGCCATCTTCGCCTACTTCTACCTCCCGCGCAGCGCCTCCGAGGCAAAGTTCCTCTCCGAAGAGGAGCGCTCCCTCGCCTTCCACCGCATCCAGGTCGATTCATCCTCCGAGGTTTCCGAGAAATTCGACTTCAAGGACGCCATCAAGATCTTCACCAAGCCCTGGGCCTATGGCTTCCTTCTCATCGAAATCTGCCTCGGCGTGCCCATCCAATCGGTCTCGCTCTTCTTGCCCCAGATCATCTCGCGACTCCAGTATTCCACCGTCAAGACCAACTTGTACACCGTTGCCCCTAATGTCACCGGCGCCGTCATGCTTCTCATCTTGGCCTTTGCTTCGGATTTCACGCGCCTGCGTTTCCCCTTTATCGTCCTCGGCTTCATGCTGTCCTTTATCGGCTTCATCATCTATGCATCCATCGACGACGTTACCAAGCAGCTGCACGTCGCCTACTTTGCCACATTTATGATGTGCTGGGGTACTTCAGCTCCCTCCGTCCTCCTCTCGACCTGGTACAACAACAACATTGCCCATGAAGGCCGTCGTATCACCCTCACCTCTGTCGGTGTGCCTCTCGCCAACGTCATGGGTCTTGTCTCCAGTAACATCTTCCGCACCCAGGACGCCCCCCGATACGAGCCTGCACTCATCACTACGGCTTGCTTTGGTGCTGCTGGTGCTCTCATTGCTCTCAGCATGGGTCTTTTCATGATTTGGGACAACAAGAGACGTGATCGCCGTGCGGGTGTCAAGATTGACCCTCGTGATATCCCAACTTCACGATTGAGGGATGGCCCCAGCTCTCCCGAATTCAGGTGGTTTTTGTAATGGAAATTTGAAGTTTTGTTTTTAACATTTCTTTTTGTTCTTTTTTGGTCTAGTTGAATGAATGCCGCAGTCTGGCTGAGCGTTACGAGTTTTGGATGAGCATGGATTTTCAAAGTTATGAATATGTATAGTGGCTGTAGCGTGTTGCTATGTCCTCAGGCAGTTGGCCTGGCTCTAATAAAGATATGAATATGAATATATTTCCACACATTAAAGTACTATTTCTAAACATCCACCTTTTGGCCATAGTATGTTTTTCAGTTGCATCATCGCCACCTATTTGGGGTATCACAATGGTCTTTCCATTAAATTCGACCCATTCCCTGCTTGAGAGAAATCTTCCCCCTGTAAAAACAGCTGCAAATCGCTTAACCCATCATCTCCCTGACTAATGAGATTAAAGTACTGTTCCTGGAATTCCTCCACCGCCAAGTAATGCCCTGGTCCGAGATTTGGTATGGTAATATCATAAGCTGCTGCAGAGTCGTAGTCAGCGTGGGGGCTTGAGCGCAGATTCGCGTCTGCAGCTGGTGTGTCTATCGCTGTGCTGGATTTTAGGTCGGTTGCATCTCTACTAGTAGCACTTGGTAAAGGGGGGACTGGAGCATCAGGCTGCATCCCATGCAGTCTAGCGGCGATGGAGCGGTCGAGGTACTGTAAAAAGAGATCGAGTGTGTTATTGTTGATTCGCCAGTACTTTTGGACCTCTTTCAAGCAAAGAAGGCAAGTCTCAGCGCGATGTTCGGCAAGACGCCTTGTAAGGCCTGTGCCTCGGCGGATTGTAATGGTGTGGATACAAAGAGCGGAAAATATGCTTGTGATGCTGTTCCAACATTGTTAAAAATTGAAAAGATTGTCTCGCAAAATGACACATCAAACTTACAGATGCATTTGCCCATAACGGAGTGTTCCTTGAGTACACATGTCTTCGGCGATGCGGCTGATACGGCAAGCTGCTTTGAGGACAATTTGTGAGCCAGGGGTGGTGGATTCAAGGCGCAGGAAGCTATTCCTGTGGATCAAGATCTTGAGATGGCTTTACATAATTCAGTTAGTAAGATGAATCTGACGAAACACGCGGAAGGCAAATATTTATTACTTATATGCGAGGTGAAGGAGACATGTCCATACAGAATCTGAGCCTTCTTCTGGGGAGTATTTGATGTGTTCCGGAAGGCTTGTCCTCCAGGCTTCGAGAGAATTGTTGAGATCTCGGAGAGTATTTGAAGAAGTCACAGATAGTGAAGCGTTACCAGGAACAAAGTGAACATCGATGATTTTACCCACTGAAAAAAAAAAAAAAAATTGTCAGTCAGCCAAAATATTCTTCCATCATCTAGGAGAAGAAAATAAAGGGACAAGGTAAAATAGTGTGCTCACGTAGCTTGGCAATCTCCACCATCTTGATCGCGTACGTAACGTGCTCCGGTAGACACGAGCCAAAGGGAGAGTCGGGGCCACTGTTATCCGTTTCCCAATCTGATGGGCTGAGCGGCTCAATATCACAGTCTTCGTCTCTGATTCTGCTGGGAAGTCCCAAAGACGCAGCCGCTTGCCGCTCCCTTACGTAGATTGACCACCATATCCTTCGTCTCATTCGAGCTGTGTGTGAATCTTTTGACATGGAACGGGATCTTTTAATGATATGAATATTAGTATTCCATCTTCATCAACGAGATGTAAAGTGACACTCACGAGCGATGGAACCCGTACGACTCAGCAAGCGTAATCGCAATTCCAAGCCAGTACCGCACATCTCTCACATCCGTCGGTGTTCCTCTCCAGAAGCTCATCAAGAATAGCGACTGAATCAGCACTGTTTCGTCCTTCTCCCAATCGGTGTGAAAGAGCATCCTGGTTCTCGTGTAAAATGTAGTCTTTGCCTGATATCTGTCCTCGAATCCCATGGCCCGAATTGTTGCTGCGTCGCAGTATGTCGCTCCGATGAAGAGCATTGCCTGCAGCAACATCCGGGACATGTCGACTGAAGAGAACGAGGTGGCATTTGCCAGTCGTCGTGCTATCTGCGCCCTGTCCAAGAGGGGCCAACTTGGATGGAACCAAGTAAAGTACGCCTCCAAAGCTGGTAAACAGCTACGAAGATCCGGGAGAGTTAGGGCACCCTCGTTGCGCAGATAACGCATTGTTCCGGCGCTGATATCAGTACGGCCCTCTGTGGTCTGAGAAGTAGACTGTGGCGTGGCCGGCATGGGGAATGTGAACCGCTGCTTTTGGCTATTGGCGTTGTTGCCTCTTGAGGTGTGAGATCGACTTGAAAAGTCCTCCTCGTCGCTAGGAACCAGAGTGAGAAAGTTTGACTCGCCGTAGAAACGAGTACCCGGCACTGGACTCGGTGAAGATTCCTCAACTTCTTGGTCCTGAGAGTCCTGAGATTCCTGGGGCGCATGGTCTCGCGGATTCGAAGCGTCTGGCCGCACATCTCTATGAGGCGGTACATCAAAAGGAGTTGGATACGCCTTGAGAGAGCCGACAGCTTCACCTGGCGGATGGATGTGCTGTAATAGCCGGCGAGACCTCCGAGGGTATCTTGACGAGTGGCGCCAGTTAGTATATTCAATCTGTCCACAGTTACAGAGTAATGAAATAAATAAGAATTGAGATGGGAAAAATGAGTAAATAAATCAAATTCAATTAATCATACCTTCCTCTGCGCGATGGCAGGATTTCGCAGTTCGCCCCGGCGGCCAGACAATTCGAGCACGGCTGCTTTTCCGTCACATCGCAGCGCACTCGGCGGATGTTGCATTCGCGACATGCGTGCTTGGCCCGCGACTTTTTGCCGTCTACTTTGGCTGGAGATGGTGATGGAGTGAGTTTAGAGGAGCCCATGGTGAAAAGAAGCGGTTGCGAGGCATGTGGGATCTGGAATATCGCCGTGCTGCTCTTGCGAGAATTGTGTTAGTTTTAGGAGTTGCCGAGCCCGGCTACGGGGTGGTGGAGGATATAAACGGCGTCGGGCGTAGTGGGGCTTTCGATGCTTGTTCCCGGCCGATGAGCTCCTGTTCTAGTAGTAGATGCCAATTGCTGCTTTTCCTTTGCGAATGAGTCATTTTAGAGTGCTGTTTGTCAATATTGGCAACTTGTAGAATACATGTATACAACTAAACTTTAGTTCTAATTAAGAGCTGGCTAAAAAGCAGCAGTTGAACTCGGAGAATGGCACTCTCGTGCGTCTTCCCTCTAATACAACTCTACATACGCGGAAATCCGCAGATTTGTTTATATAGACTTTAGAGTACATATTTTGCCTTTACTAATACGTTAAATTTCACATCTAATAGCTCTTTGGTAGCCCAAGAGCCTTCTCTCCAACATAATTCAAAATCATCTCTCTACTCACCGGCGCAAGTCGCGGCACCAGACACTCTCTAAACCACCGCTCTACATCGTACTCAGCAGCATATCCCATGCCCCCATGGGCCAACACTGCTCTCTCGCACGCCAAAAAGGCAGCCTCTGCGGCCAGATATTTGGCACTATTGGCTGCTACGCCGATGGCCTTCTGTGTGATGGACAAGTCTGTTTTGCTCGCGTCATACAACCTCGCTGCATGGTACGTCGCCAGTTTCGCTGCCTCGAGGTGCATATACGCATCTGCCAAGGGGTGCGCAACACCTTGATTCATGCCGATAGGGCGCTGAAAGACGATCCTTTCGCGGGCATACGACGCGGCTCGAGTTAATGCAGCGTATCCTAGGCCGAGGGCCTCTCCAGCAAGGAGACACCGCTCAGCATTCATGCCGTGAAGAACAATCTTGAAGCCGTGGCCTTCTTTTCCAATGAGGGTATTGGCGGGGATACGGTAGCTGTCGAAGAAGACTTCGTTGGCATCGACAGCCCTGCCGCCCATCTTCTTGATCTTCCGCATTGATAAGCTTGGCTGTGTACGATCCAAGTCGATGCAGAAGAGTGAAAGGCCCTCACTGGGTTTCTGCGCCTCTTCATACGGAGTAGTCCGGGCCAAGAGTATCATCTTGGATGCCACTTGTCCGCACGTTGTCCATATCTTTTGCCCCGAAACCACATACTCGTCGCCCTCTCGCTTCGCCGTGGTGGACAACCGCAGCGTATCCAGTCCGGCATTCGGCTCCGTTACGCCAAAGCACGTCCGCCATTTCCCCGAAATGATTCCCGGAATTGTCTCTCGTAGCTGCTCGTCCGTGCCAAATTTGGCCAGAGGCTGCGTTGCATAGACGTTGGCGTGGACAGCCTGCGCACCAGCCATTCCAGCACCAGACTCGGCAACTGTCTGCATCATCATTGTGGCTTCAGAGATGCCCAGGCCAGAACCTCCGAGATTTTCTGGGAGCGCAATGCCTAGCCATCCCCCGCGTGCAAGAGCCGCATGGAATTCCTTGGGATCTTGCTCATTTTGATCGTGCTCGCGCCAGTATGTATTGGGGAAGTTGGAGCAGACTTCACTGACTGCGTGGCGGACGGTAAGCTGAGTCTCGGTGAAGCCCGCTGTTTCCATGAGACGATAATGGCATGTCGATGAGAAGGATCTGTGACTGGCTCTGGTATTATCGGCAGCGATGGCACGACACGTAGTAGCTTTATAAGAGCTGGTTAACCAGCGTCTTAGCGGCCAATATCGTGCGTTTACAGAACAGGCCATGATGAGTTTGAGCCAGTCAAGTTAACGCCAGCATTAACTCGATTGGCATCTTTAAATACCACGCAGGTCTCTGCAAACGTCTTGGCTCATCTTATAGATGGAATTATAACATAAACATGTATCGCATCATAATAGTCCGAGGGCTTAGTGACGGTGGTGGTGGTTCTCGGCTAATTGAATCTGGTTTCAGTGGAGTCGTCGCATCATATAGCCGACTTGATTTTTGGAGCTTCATGTACATGTATACAACGACTTGAGATTCGGCCGGACAACCGATCGTAATTGATAATAGCGCGTCTTTTTTATGCATGTGGATATAAAAAGATACTATTACTAGCTACTACCGATCATACTTGTACATACACCTCGATGGATATGGGAGAGCGCTGAACCTGTGATTGCATAGCCAAGTTATGGTAAGCGACTACGCGCACTAACATCATAAGCACATTAACTTAAAGCACCTTCATCTTATCCAAAATGAGACGTATTTAAACATAGTTTCATCATATTATGTATTTAAAATTATGCTACGCTCCCATATTGACTAACATGGCGAGCTGTGAGATCGTCCATCATGCCAATTAAGCAACCGGTGTGTCATGGATACTCTTCCTCCGCTGCATCTGTCCCTGGAACACCTTGCGGAAACGGAGGCTGCAAAGATCCCCTACGGTCTCCTTGACGCCAGCCCAGTTCTCACTCACAATTTCTCTCGTGGGACGAGAGAAGACAGCGTCAATCTCCTCGAGCGTCTTGTCCTTTGTCTCGGGCATGAAGAAGATTTGGTAAATCTCGCCGATGAAGGCGATGCCTCCGTAGAAGCCCAGTGTAAGTCCGGTGCGAGTCATGGCATCCTCCATGGCAGTGAAGTTGTATGTTACAACAAAGGAGGCGAGGAAGAGGAGGGCATCGGAAGTGGTCATGCCGTAACTTCGGAGATAGGTGGGGTATACTTCAGATGGGACAACTGCGAGGAATGTTAGTAAACTGTTATTCGTGCTGGTGGATACAATGATGAGAAGCTCGACTTACCCCATGTCAGACAGGCGTACGAGCCAAAGAACATCATATAGATGATCAGACCGCTGAGGTAAAGACCCTCTGCAGCTTGGAGATGGGTATCGATAGGGATGTGATACGCGATTCCAATCAAAACCAGACCGACGAAGAATCCGGGAAGCATTGTAATGGCCCAGAATCGCCTGCCGCATGTCTCCATGAGGAAAATAGCAGGAATGGTTCCGATCAGCAGAGATCCACCTCCAACAAGAGACATGTATGTAGCCTTCTCGTCGTCGAAGCCAATCTGGTTCATCAGGACAGACATGTAGTACATGATGGCATTTACACCAGTCAACTGTCCGAGAAGAATCATGATGTTTGCATAAACAAGAGCTCGGCGGGCGCGAGGAACACTACCAATTTAGTTAGCAAAGACAGACAGGACAAGGGTTATTTCATTCTAGTTGAGCATCATCACTTACGTGAAAAAGTCCATCCAAGGGAAGCGTGAGTTCTTGGCACCTTCGTTTACAACAACGTCCTCCTGCTTAACGGAATTGGCCATGATGTAGAATTCTTCGCGAGACTCGGGAGATTCTGTGCCGCGGATGCGCTTCCAGACTTTGTAGGAATCGAGGATTCGGCCCTTGTGCATGTACCAACGAGGACTCTCTGGCAGGAACAGCATACTTTATATAAAGATTCATCGTCAGAATAACTATTTAATAAAACAGTTGATTTCATATCAGAGGTGCAACTTACCCAGCGAACATAATGGTAGAGAATAGGAGCGATGAGCCCAAGATGAAGCGCCAGTTGCCAGGAACTTTGAGGAAGATGGCGGCAATAGCATAGCCAAGGACTTCACCAAGGGCAATGTTGAACTGATACAATGACACGAGATTGCCTCGAATGCGGCGTTCGACCGTCTCGGCGACATAAACAGGGACTGTGCCACCCTCGAGACCGACACCAAGTCCCAGAATAACACGACCGGCAACAATCATGCCTATAAAAGCACAACATGGTCAGTGTAAGCCCACAAATAGATGTGTGTTTGGCAGAGAAACCATAGGCTCGAACTCACCAAAACTAATAGCACCAGCTTCCAGCGCGGCACCAACAGTGTAGAGGAGAATAGAAATGATAATGGCCCATTTACGTCCACAGTACTCGTTGGCAGGTGACAGCAACAGCGCGCCTCCCACCGCGCCCAGCGGCATGCCCGAGTTCACCAAACTGTTCTGCCTCGAGTCCAGGCCCAAGTCTTTGGGCAAGAAGAGGTTGGCACCAGAAATCAAGCTCTGGTCCAGGCCAGAGAGAAGACCACCCATACTGGCAAACGCGACGAGCAGCCACGTAAAGTGCCGCGGGTCGCGGAACTTGATGTTGAACATGCTTGTCTCGAGACCTCCAGCGGCCTCGAGCTGGGCCTCCATCTCGTCAATAAAGACATTGATGTCTTGGACGTCTGGGGTGATGGGCGCAAAGTCCACATGTCCCTCGATCCCTGCCTTCTCGTCGTGACCGTCGTCCGACATGTTGAACGAGGTACACCTTTCAGGTGTGTGATAAAGTGTAAAAGAAAAAAAGAAATGAAAAGTGATGAAGCTTCCTTCAGCAGACGCGCAGAAGAGAGTGAAACTATGAGGAGGAGAAGATGCAAGACATGCAGGCCCCAAAGGGAGTACCGATCGGCGAGTTTAATGATACCCTCGCACGACCTTATCGCTATTTATACAAATTATACCAGAATGCTAGTCTGCTTCTCTTACACACCACTCTCTCTCTCCTCACCTCGCCCGTCATTCATCGCAAACCTGGTCCATCTCCATATTCCCCCCCACACGCCGATGCTGAAGCAATACGACCGTGACCGGAGCCCCATGGGCCTCCATTCAAGCTTCATGCAAGCATCCCCATCGGAATGGAGATGTGGAGGGGCAAAAAAAAAAAAGGTGTCTCCCCCATGTCGATCACGTTGGGGAGTTGGATGGGTCGGACAACTCCGCGCAACCACACATAGGATTTACATGCGGGAGGAGATAACGTTTGGGGAAATGCAACGCCATCCAATGATCATGAAAAGCATTAGTCTTCTAGAACGCAAACTCATACAAATTCATATCAAGAGAGCATCGTCTTTGCCTGCCGATATCCGCGTCCTATCGCGCGCTATCCCGCCAAGCGTTGGCTGGTGAAGGGAAGATCATCTTAGTCCGGCAAATGAGAAGCCAAGAGCAATAGCCGGACCACACCATCCAGCGGCAGTTTTGCCGTATGCAATACACCATCGCAGGGGGTCTAGCTGAGACGCCGTGTCCTTCTAGAAGACAGGCGATGGCCAAGGCTAGGGGCAGATCTCGGCCCTGCTCAGCTAGTCCTCCCAATAGCCTTACGCATCAAAACCTGGATGCATCTCGCTTCCATGGCTGCGATATGTCATCTGCTATGCATGGTTGGCGTTTGCCTCCCCAGCCTCGCGTCGAGAGCCGCCGTGCAAAGCTCCTATCTGCGAGGCTTGCTCCCGCGTCGCGCCTCCCGCAGGCTTGAATCATGTCCCCCTCACAGCTGGATATACAAACATCCGGACTCTGCCCGTCCAGACTCCACCACACCGGCACCAGCAAGAAGCTAACGACTCCCCGGGCCTGGGGCCCCATTCTTTTGCGCAACGAGCTTGGATAGCTCCGAGGAGAGTGGCGTTCGCGGTACTGGCAATGGATGCCGTGCTCCGTAGTGCCTCGTGCAGTGCAGTAGTGAGTAGTGGTTGGTAGGAACACTAGACGACTAGTTCCGGTAGTGGTGATATGATCTACTCGATGAATAGACGCTCTATTCTCTGTTCCTTGGCCAGAAAATCTCTCTTCGAACCAGCGCGCTACCTCTTTGAGTAACACTCGGCGTCACTAGCAATGGGTTGCGTTTCCGCCATTGATTGCACTGCAGCAGCTCGCCTGTTCCTTCGTCCAACCAGCCAATCACACTCGAGGGAAGCCGTCCGTCTTGGGAGACTCGCATCTCATGCCACGCTGCCCATGGCATGGCATGAACTGACCTGTGCCAATGCTTGAGTCATTTTTTTTTCTCCAGCGTTGGTCGAGTCCTCGAATAATCTCTCGCCCGCCAAGTCACCCGTTCGCTGCTCTCTAAAGGCCCGGATGACGTTATAAATTCCACAGTTTACTTCCCGGCCTGTGGAGATTTGAACATTCTGATTGACGGTTGCCTGCTTCACCCCTGCTAGCGAGGTAGCAGCAGCTTATAAGTGCTTACCTAACGCAGAATGCCGTCCAATGTTTGATTCAGTTTCAAGAAGAGTAAAATTCAAGCTCAAAAGACTAAGGTATCTAGACAATACGCCCCTCTCTGTACTCCATATTTACCCCGAGATGCATCCATCATATAGTAAGTTTCGTTTTGATACCACCAGATAATTCCGACATATGGCCCCACCAATATTCCAGTGAATAATATAGTAATAAGAAAAATAATGTCATGTCCCATATTCCAATGACTTTTATACAGAGCGGGTCGAGGCGGAGCACTCGCCCAGAGATTCGGTTTGCGTGCGTATCTCCCTGTCCTTGTGTTGTTGTTTCTCGGTTAATATCTGCTTCTTCTTGTCGTCGCCGTCAAATATATACGCGAGTTCTTCCAACGTCGGTCCCGAGGTCTCCACAAAGAAGAAATATACAAAAACAAAGATAAACGCCACCCAAATGCAGTAATAGATGTAAAATTTCCAGCCAATGTTTTGTAGCGCAATTGGATTAACGTAGTTCCCAAAGATGGTGGCCACTTGGATTGTTAGCAGGACAAAGGCCCACGTCTTGGCTCGCATTTGGTATGTCACCAACTCAAGAGGATATGTCACTACCAAGTTTGTCCAGGCCATTGTGTAAAAAGCTTGAAAGATGAAGATACATGCGAGAACAAGCCGGCCAGCCGGGATAGAACCATGGTCAAGATATTGTTGAGCCCCAATAGTCCAGGCAATAAATGTGAGCGAAACACCTCCAGAACCAATGAGGAAAAATTTGCGTCGTTTAAATTTGTTGATGCAGACTGTGACGGCTAGCGCCACGATATACTGCCAAAGCGACACCATGCCGTTGACAAGAGTGATATCCTTTTGAGACTTTACACCAGTATCTTTCAATATCTGCGTCAGATAGTTTGACACGAGCAGATTACCAGAGCTCTGGCTAAAGACTGCCGTTGCGAAGCAAAGAGATATTCGCTTCAGATTCGGAATAGATGAGAAAAAGTCCACCCAGGTCATGTTATTCGCAGCTTCTTTTGCCAGGACTTGTTCAATCTCAGCGCATTCGACGTTGACAATCTCAGAATTTGGGTCGCATTCGCCGTGATATTTGACCAAAATCTTGCGTGCCTCCTTCATCCGGCCTTTCGCAATCAGCCATCGAGGAGACTCGGGGCAAAAGAATATGAGGCTGAGCTGGTAGGCTGAGGGTATTATTTGAATCAATGTTGGCAGCCTCCAAGACCATGATCCAGGGATGCGAAAGCAGCCGTAGGTTGCCCATGCGCCAATGACATATCCAAGGACGATTGATGTATTATAGAAAGTGGTGATTTGTACTCTTTCTTTCGGATGACTTAATTCTGTGACCAGGACCGGGGCGCCCATTTGGATCAACGAGGACCCAACGCCAAGCACAATCTTGCCTCCGATGTACATGTGAAGCGAGGTAGCGAAGAATTCGAGAAAAACGCCCGCGATGATGACAATGGACCCGAGGGCGGTGGGAATTCGACGCCCGCACTTGTCGCTGATCCAGCCGAGGAATATGAACGGTATGACGCCGCCGATGGAGCTCGATGCGCCGAAGAAGCCCAGGCTTGAGCCTTGTGGATGTCCGAACTGATCTTGCCACGTTGGAAGTACCTGCATTCCATTCGTCATTGACTGTGGAAGTTTCCATGTTAGCCCAAGTTTCCGACAGCTCATTGAGGTAATAACCCACTCCGTCAATACCGAGCGCCGCGCTGGCAAGCAGCGACGATGTAAGTAGAAAGTAGAGCAAGATGCCATTCTTGCGCCGCCAAAACGGTGGTATTAATGTGAGGTCAATTGGCGATGAAATGCCATCGGCCGTGTGTGCCGCAGATGGAGCCATGATCTGGCCTCTTCCCTCTCTGCCCAGGCTGCGTCGCAGTGGTGAGGCGAAATTTCAGCCCGGGCTCAGCTCGGACGCTCGATCAGATGGTAGTCGCGCCATTGTTCCCAAGAAGGTTCACCGAGCGCAAAAAAAAAAAGCGACCGGCACCGCCCTGCTTAGTCAACCGGTGGCCATTGTCGGTGTAGGGTGCGCAGCCACGGCGACGGCTCTGGACAGCTGCCATTGCGCCAGCCTCGACATGAAGCAATTCGACGTCTCGATCGTGAACTGCCTCCTCGGATCACGGATGGCAGTCGCCAGATTGATAAAGCTAGGGCTGCAGGGCGATCAGTAAGCGCGCGTGCGTCGTGCAGAAAGACCCTTCCCCACGGGGGGATTAGATCGGTATCTAAATCGGCGATTCGGAGAAATCAGCATCCGTGGTACAGCCAGAAGCCAACCAGAAGCGCTAGCCAAGCAGACTTTGACGAGGCGGATAATTCGACAAAGCCGGCAAAATCCGCATGGCCAATCACTGCGAGGCTGGAGAGCGAGATGCTCGTCCTTATTTCCCCATCGGGGTGTCTCCGTCGCGACGGGCACGGGGTATTGGGGCTCGGGGCACGGTTTTGACGGCCCTGCAGCAGTTTCCCCAGCTCATCTCCCACGTTGGTATATGGGGGACAGCGTACGAATCTCAAGGCTGATGGTCATCTGGAACGTGTTGCTGGGCCTTGGGTGGGTTTTGTTTGCCACGGGGTGCAGGAACCGTTCGTGACGGAACAATGACTCCCGAGTCAAGGGCTCTATGTGTGGGTATAAATGCGTTCCCCCGAGGAGGCCGCTGACTACTGCTGCCATTCTCCCACGATGAGCCTCACCGGGTCGGTCCGTTTCAGTAACGGGCTCTTGTTCCTCCTGTACACTATTAGCCGGCGTGAGGTACTATTCGTGCCGCTGCCCCCGTCCGGATTCTAGCAGACACATACGCACCTACAACAACACAGCCAGGAACAAGCAAAAGTTCAGCCACCAGATTTCTCGAGAATAAGCCAAAATGACCGAGTCGCTAGCTTTGCCGAACGATTTTGAATGGGGCTTTGCTACGGCAGCCTACCAGATCGAAGGAGCTGTCAAGGAGGGCGGCCGCGGGCCTTCCATCTGGGACACGTACTGCCACTTGGAGCCCTCGCGCACAAATGGCGCCAACGGTGATGTTGCTTGTGATCACTATCACCGCTACGACGAGGACTTTGATCTTTTGACCAAGTACGGTGCCAAGGCCTACCGTTTCTCTCTATCTTGGTCTCGTATTATCCCTCTTGGCGGGAGATTAGATCCCGTCAACGAGGAAGGAATAGAGTTTTACAGCAACTTGATCGATGCCTTGTTGAGGAGGGGAATCACGCCTTGGGTGACTCTGTACCACTGGGATCTGCCTCAGGCGCTTCACGATAGGTATGGAGGTTGGTTGAATGTGGAGGAGGTGCAGCTAGACTTCGAGCGGTATGCTCGGCTGTGCTTTGAGCGATTTGGAGACCGAGTGAAAAACTGGATCACCATCAACGAGCCATGGATCCAGTCCATCTATGTGAGTCTTTAAAAGCCCATGTTCGATTCCCTCAGTTTTATCCACATCACGGTCATACATTTAGTCGTAAGTGTACGTCTATGCTAATATCAAGTCAGGGCTATGCCACCGGCAGCAACGCTCCTGGCAGGAGTACCATAAATAAGCACTCCACTGAAGGCGATACAGCCACTGAGCCATGGCTCGCAGGAAAAGCCCAAATCATGAGCCATGCTCGCGCTGTGGCCGTCTACAACTTGGACTTTCGCGCCACCCAAAAGGGGCAAATAGGCATCTCCCTCAACGGTGACTACTACGAGCCTTGGGACATCAATGAGCCTAGAGATAAGGAGGCTGCGGAGCGACGGATGGAGTTCCACATTGGATGGTTTGCGAATCCCATCTTGTGAGTAGCATCAATAGAAACAGCAGTGCCAAAGTTCTTATGTACTAATCTCATATGTAATAGTTTGAAGAAAGACTATCCTGCCAGCATGAAGCAGCAACTGGGCAACAGATTGCCGGCTCTTACTCCTGCTGACTTTGCCATCCTCAAGGCTGGTGAAACTGATTTCTACGGTATGAACTACTATACCTCTCAGTTTGCCCGCCATGCCGACGGCCCCGTCCCTGAGACGGACTACCTCGGTGCCGTCCACGAGCATCAAGAGGACAAGGAGGGAAGCCCTGCCGGAGAAGAGAGCGGTATCCACTGGCTGCGATCTTGCCCAGACATGTTCCGCAAGCATCTCGCCAGGGTTTACGGTCTTTACGGCAAACCCATCTACATCACGGAGAATGGATGTCCTTGCCCCGGCGAAGATAAGATGACTTGCGAGGAGGCGGTCAACGACCCCTTCCGCATTCGATACTTTGACTCGCACTTGGACTCTATATCGAAAGCCATCACCCAGGACGGCGTAACCGTCAAAGGATACTTTGCATGGGCTCTGCTCGACAACCTGGGTATGTATACTAGTATTAAGCTCTTAATCTTATCAAACAGCCCCATTTCTCCCATCTCTTCCTTATCTTCCGCCCTTGCAAGCTAAAACGAGTATTTACGCCAACTAACGAATCTTCTTCTTAAAAATAGAATGGTCAGACGGCTACGGTCCCCGCTTTGGCGTCACTTACACAGATTACAAAACTCTGAAGCGCACGCCAAAGAAGTCTGCGCTGGTGCTAAAGGACATGTTTGCTGAGAGACAGAGGGTTAAAGTGGCTGCTTGAAAATTAGGCTTTTACGGTTTTTTTGGCATCCTCTTTTTTTTTTATCCCTCATCCCCTGTCCCCCTGTCATGTCATGCGTATTCTGCCGTTTTCGTTTTTTTTTTTTTCCTAACGCACGTTCCCGTTTCTTTTTGCCTGTCATTACCCCTTCCCAAGCAAGCTTCTTCTTTGCCTAAGCAGCTTTTAGCAAGTTTAGCCATGAGCCACAATAACCAATGCAATGCTACTGAGCCATTATTTAAAACGGAGGAGAGAAGGCATGGGGGAATGGCCCGTGCTGATTTGAGCTCTCCGTCTCGTATCACTCCGTACCTTGACCTCAGAATATACATACTATTCCTGATGGATTGATAAGAGACGCCATACGTGATCCGTACATAATGTCGGTAAACGACCGAACGGAGAAATCGCCAAGGTCAAGAACGTTACGTCCATGTTTCTCCGACGTTTTCCTGGCATTTCCCCGATGGCTTCGTATTTTTTTTGTCTTAAACTTCTGTCTCTCCCTTCGCTTATTCGTCTCACATGGGTGACAGCTGCATGCGTGTCTCAGGATTAGGTTTTATGCTTCGAAGTGGAGGGGAGCATTAGGGCTGTATGTATGAGGCGGGAGATCTTCGTCAATCTCAATCAGATGTAAAAGAAGAAGAAAAAAAGTATACTAGTACTACTACAATTTGCCCCCCGGTAAAGGTAAAATTACAACCACACATTGTTCGCTTTTTACCCAAAGAGAAGAAGAAACAGGCCCAACTCGCTAAGAGGAATATCCAAAAATAAAAAAAAATCCCTGTCCTATTTACACAATTAATTTTTTTTTCCCTGTCCCTTGCAGGATTTAGCCAACAACGGTGTTGGAAGTATTCCGAAGCTGATCAGACGCCTTGGAGTCCAGCCGCGTCAGAATATCCAAAAGTACTGAAAAGTCGCCCCTTGCTCGAGTCGCCAGGGGGTTATCCTGGTGCCGATGGATGATGGCTAGTAAACTAGCTCCGATAAGGCGTATCTTTTCAACCTGTCGTATCAGATAACAAGGTTAGCAAATAAGTGCCGAAGTTCAAAAAGTATAAATAACCGCAGGCATTATATAAAGCAAAAAGGAAACACAAGAGGATAGGGAGGGAGGTGTGGGAAAAAGAAAAGCAGCTTACGTTTGGCTCGCCGTTTGCTTGGAGACCCCAAAACGGCGCCTCATTCATCACTCTCAGCATATCCCTCACAATCTCCGACTTCCTCAGGTCTGCTTGCTCTACTCCCGGAGCAAAGTAAGACAGATCCTCAAATTTCTGCGTGATTACCATGCGCAAGCAGTGGAAAGTCACCTGCAGATTAGTGCATTGAATTACGTACTGCTTCGACTCCGCAGACCCATTACCCTCAGCCATAGCCGCCATAGCCAGAGTGCATGATTGGAGGTATGGCGGGAGGTCGTCCAAACAGGTAATGAACCTAACATAGAGGGAGTCGAGGTGCTGCCTGTCCGCAGACGGCAGCACATGATTGGGGGGCAGGTTCCCGCGGAAATGCTGCATCATCTGGTCTTGGAGCACCCTGATTTCCAGTAAAAGATCGGCCGCAGACTGCCAAAGCCGCACATTGGCGTTGAAGCCGGAAATGAAGCTCTTTCTGGGAGGCTCAGACGCCGTAATCAGGAACTCATCCTCAATCCCAGATGGGTACAGGGTGGTGATTCCCGTATCAAAGCAGTATTTGTGGATAGTTATGGGACGGTTGTTCAATATGGCTGCGGATTTGTCCCCCAGATACAGAATCCAGAAGCAACGCCGACGGAACTCTGCCTCAATGGGGACAAGCCCTTCCAGCGAAGCCTCCTCGTGAAGATGCATAACTTGAGCCAGGCGAATCGCCTCGCCAAAGATATGCCACGAGTACTTGGGTTTCCCCGCGGCGTGGAGGCAATTGGAGTGGAAATACCGAATAGCAATGGAGTTTGCCGTCGGATTCTCCAGGTCGGCCTCGAGATGCTGATGAAGACAGTCTCGAGAAGCTTCAAGAAAGATTTCCGAGACGGATTCTCCTTCGGGGAAAATATCTTTGGGTAGCATAAATGCTGCTTCGGCGCAAACAGCTGTGACCAGGGTGAAGGTCGAATCGGCCCAGGGAGCCAACCTGCTGCCAACAGCTCGCGAGCCATTGAGCTGTGCGAAACCGGTCCACGACTCGGCAGCACTGAGGGGGGTGGTCCCGGCCGTCGGGTCTGGCGTGAGCTGCGCGATAGGCGAGGGTTGGTTCATGCCGGGTATGGGTTGCGAGAAGATGTATGCAAGGACCTCCCGCAGGGCCGGCTCGTACACCAGGGGGGTGAGAGGATAGAGGTAGTCAAAGAAGAGGTCGATACATCGCTTCGACACTCGTTCTAGCGTCGTGTTGCGCAGCGTCATGGCCTGGGCAAGGTGTAGCCATCGCTGGCGCGTCGATATGTTCTGGATTGTGGAGAGGCCCGGCAGATCGCCCATCTGCTGCCGCGGCAGCCCGTTCTCCAGGCTGAGCGGCTCGACGGGCTCCCACGGCGTCTCGGGCGACAGAGACGATGAGTTGAAGGGCTGCAGTCCACCTACTGCGGGGCCGGAAAAGGCCAACGGCGGCGGCATCTGGGCGCCGGCTCCACGAGTCCCGGTGGAGAGCGAGCTCGGATCTGAAGGTGGCTGGCCGGGCAGATCGCTTTTCTTCCTGGCTTTGGGACCGCGTCGGGCCAGTGGCAAGTCGAAAGTGCACTGCACGTGTGCATCGCGGCAGTGCGTGCAGCTATCGACGGCGCTGAGGTATTCGCACTTTTGGTGGGGAAGAACATCTGTCAGTGGGGAGATCGCGAGCGTATCAGGGTATAGGACAGAGTAACGCAGCATTAGATAGAAGGGCGGCAGGCGAGTATGTGTGAATATGCAGATGCAGATGAAGATGTGGATGTAGGTGTAAACGTAGATTTGAAGTTATGAATCCATCTACATAGCCATGTATGCACAATGAATCCATGAATGCAGAGAGGAGGAGGAGGAGGAGAGGAGGAGGGCAACGAGAGAGGAGGGCAGCAAAGCGCAGGGACAAGGACCAGGACCAGGTCGCAAGCAAGCTGGAAGACACGGGCATTCGGGCTGCAGCTAGTACTACTCACCTTAGCTTTGCGACGACGGCATCGATCGCAGGCTCTGCTCACAAGACGCCCTCGCGGATGGTGGTGGAACGAGGATGCGGCAGGCGGCGCTACGAGCGACTGCTGTGGCGGCGTCGACGTTGAGGCTGCTGGCGAGCCGGGCTGGCTGGACGCTGTGGCCGATTCGGGCGACGTGGTGAGAGCGCCGCCGCCTGTAACAGCTAAACCGGTCGTTAGCACGTCCAAATACAGAACAAGGCCTGACGGTTTGGGGGGCTGCGGCGAGGCCACTACTGCTGGATGCACCGCAGAAGGGCAACAACCGCAACCACAGCTGGGTGCCACTGCAGGCGCAGGAACTGGAACTGGAACTGACCTGACTGCTGCCCTCCCGCTGCTACTGCGCCTGCTGCAGCTGTCACTGCTGATCCTCCTCCTAGCGGTCCTGTGGCCGCTGTGGCCGCTGTGGCCATGGCTCTCTGGGGGGCCGATCGCTGCTGGCGGTTGCTTCCTCTGGCGCTTCGCTCTCCCTCTCCAGCCTCCGCTTCCCTTCCCGCAGGCGCTCGCAGTCAGTCTCGGGTATCGGAGAAACGCAGGGCGCGCAGACGATGTCGCGTTTCCGGTCGGAAACGCCTGGCTGGAGACTCGAGGCGAGACGGGGATTTATCAACGGTCAAATACAGGGAGGAAAAGTGGGCAGAGGCTTTGATTTTTGATGTCCGTTTGGTGCCCTCCACTTTTAAGGGCGTGGAGAAGGAGGAGCCATTTCTCCGCATGGATCCGGATTATCTAAGGCCAGAAGCAGCAGATTTCGTACAGTATGCGCACACTAGCTGCGCTTGTCACTGGCAGCGAGATACAGCGCGCGCACTGCATTCTGCGCGGCGCTACTTGTGCCTGGGAGCTGGTGAGATTACCACCACTCCATCGGCTTCATTTCAGAACCTGCCATCCCCAGCCCAGCTCCACGCCGCAGCCCCGGCGCTGGTGCTAGCCGGTCGCTAGCTGCTCCTGAAAGCCTGGGGAAGACATGGGGGCGCCAGCGCGATGCAATACGACGACAGATGCGGCGCGTGTCCCGGGCTCGACCAGCACTTCAGGCTCAGGCCAGCCGGCATCGAGAATCAGCCTCTGCCGCCCATTTTCAGGGTCTTGCGAACGGTGGTCTCACTTAGCCAGTGATCAGGAGGCGCCCTTTTTAGCCATGCAGGCCCTCTATGCGTCCATCCATCCACCCGTTCCCTTTGACGCCGAGAATAGCTTCCTAATGGGCAATATTATAGGCATGCAAATGCGGGGTTTGCAGAGCCACCTGATGGAGGGTGCATGTATAAGCAGTGTATTCTTTTGGCGCTTTCACCGTGCCGTGGCTACCTGCAGTGTACTTTACCGGCTATGCACTGCGGGTGAAGCTCAAGGAATACTACCCTGCCAAGGTTGGCCCCTAACATGCTTAATATAAATTTCAGCGTTTTACGTGCTCGATGCGGACTGAAGATGAGTCGGTCCAGCTCTGGATAATGACGAAGCTGCATGTGTCGTGTCACATTGACCCCATAGTATGACTCCGACTGGCCAGCGAACGCGACTCCAAGAGACAATATAGCCTGAGCAAGTTGATGGGATCCAGGGGCCACACGCAGGACAGCAATTGAGCTTGGAGAGTTTACGATGCTATTGCCAGGTTCCCTTGCAAAGCTAATACCGGCTCGTGAATGCCTTCCTCGTACCATTGCCATTGCCATTGCCCGTCACGGCTGAATCGGCCTTGGAGGCGCGACTTCGCCATAGCTCTCAACGCAGTATTAGCTTCTCTTGCCTCCCGTCTCTACAAATAAAATCAGGGCTGGCACCTCCTTGCCGATTCGCCACCCAATGGTTCCAACGAAGGTGTCGTGTCAAGTGCCAACATGTTGTCGATGGTCTGGAGAGAAATCTGCCAGCGGGGTGCCTGCTGGGAGGGTCAATTGCATCAGGACAATGCTTGATACAGTGCCAGAAATGCGCCGCTGGCATGATGGAGCCCAGATGGACGGGCACGTGGAAGGCGAATTGGGAATCAGCCTTCACGTTGGTACTTTGTACCGCGAGCTAGGAAGTGAGTTGCTTCTCTTTGTTCAGCTCTGCTGTTGAATCTCGCAGTTACACACTATCGACGGCCGCCGTCAAGCATCTAAATAGACGCATGTATAGAGAACGTAGAAACCATAGCGGGAGAGCCGCCCGATTCGCAAATAAGCAATTTGAACGCCCACGCGATCTCAGGCTCACCGCAAGCCACCCGTCTCCTGAACCCCCACACGAGCCCCAGGCCTCCTCTGGTATTGCAATGTCATGGAATTCTATTTGATGCGGAAAACCAGCTTCCGTTACTGTAATACATATCCCGGCCCCGGAGGATCTGTATCCGTGGTATCCGTGGGTCAACAATCGAGCCAGCAGAGACAAGCTTACTGGCCTCGGATTGGGCCAATTGGTGCTCAGGGTTGGATAGGTGGTGATACGGCGCTGCTATCCTCTCGCCATTAGCATCGTCTCTGCAATTTGTTGTTGACTCCTGAATGCAGTCTGCGGATAACCGAGATTTCGCAGAAATCGATAATTTTGAGATGTAGTTGCAATTTCGCAGCTCCAATGAGCACCGACAGATATTTATTATATTTATTGATACTGGCAACCGGAAAGAAGCTCCACAGTTCTGCGAAGAAGTCAAGCAGGACCAGTTTTCAAAGGGTATAGCTGATCAGCAATCATTACAGCCGAAATAGAAAGTAAGGTTGGTTGCTATCAGATGAGCATTTAGAGGGTTGCAGCATGGTATGTTTGAGATACCACATAATGAAGATGCTAATTGCGCGTCGAGGCAGACCTCATTTTTGCCTCTTTCGCATAGCACGCAGACTATCCCCCGACAAATGATACATCGGTCAAAAAGGCTAATCTGATCTTTACTCCTTCTTATCTACGGAGTCGACCCGGAGATGTTTATTCAAAGCCAGCTTTGTTCTCCCAACAATCCATCCCAGGCCCCTGTAGCCTCTCAGTGCTGAGAGAACACAGCATGCACCTCGGCTTCTACCTCCCGGCTCGATGCCTCGACCGATTTCTCAATATAGGCTACACGTCGGTCGTACGGATCAGATCTCTGATCGTTTGGGAGGATATGGAGCACAGAGCAACGCCTTGAGGTTATGACTCTAGTGGCTACCGCTGCTAGGCAAGCCCCAGCTTTCGCAACGGCATCAGGCTCGCTTAGCAGCAGCATGATTAGTACGAAGCGCTGCATGGGTGACCACACCCTCCAACCTATTATACAACCGTGCTTGCATCCAATAACACGCCGTTGACTCCTCGCGAAAGCGCCGGCCGAGCGAAAAACAGCGGATCGAGACGCATCGTCACATCGCCGGACGAGGTAGCAGCGCATAATACCATTTTGCAAAGAGGGAAATGGGCTTTTTCCATGCCGAGTTTGATACTGCGAGCTGCTTGCGACTCGATGTGATATTAGAACGGAACCCGTTTCAAATACTTGAGCCAGACAATGTGCGACTGCCGCGCCCCCCACGGAGAGGAATCAATGATGCAGATTTCGGGAATGCTTTTCCGAGAGGCATGCGGATTGATTTTCATCCATTTTGGCGATATTGTAATCACAAATGCGACTGCAATACGTCATGCGGCTGTTTCTGACTTGTGCTGTAAGGAGTCGTACTATTAGGGCGTATAACAGTTTGGAGCATCAAATAGATACCACAACTTCGTAGGATGTAGCAATAGGCAGGTAATCGAGGTATCGTGGTTTATCGAGAGGTTGCTTTCATAGACCATTTTGGCTTTTCCACTCTCTGCCTAGCATTCCCCCTCTCTTCTGCAATGACGGAGTCGATGGATATCAAATGCCCAATTTCATTTTGAAACCTGCCTTTTGTAGGGTAGCATTATTAGTGGGAGCACCGCTATTAGTAGCGTGTTCGCAGCTCAAGACCCCTCTAAAATTAGTAATAAATGTTCTGATAGAAACCTTATTAAACTAGTGACATATTCATGGATTGTTATTGGCAATCAAACGTTATAGGGTTCATGTGATTCAACTACTGTACACTCGTCGTTCATGCTCACGAAGCAAGGGCTGCAGTGGTTTCCACAAAACTATTCTCCGCGCTTGTGGCACTTCGTTTGAATACATGCAACGAGTGGGCCTGTACGCTTTCTGAATCTTAGCAAAATTCGGCCAATGACCTGCTCCGCAGCGACGATGCTGGAGATTCTAGAGGCATATTTTACGCCATGTTCAACAACTTCAAATTGGCAACTATATTTATAGAATCATATTTGTGTAGCCTCCATCTTCTTAGCATTTATCGTGGGAATAGACGATTCCACCAGAGATATCAGTTTCTATCAAACCATGCTGTTTCTCCTTACCAACGGATACACATTCGAGTAGAAAGGATAACTTAGTATACAGTTAGTAAAATACGAAAGATCACATCCCTCCTGAGGTGCTCATTGCTTTCGTTGCAGCAGTTGGGTGAATTTGATTAAGCGACGAGCAGTGTCATCAATTGAGAAAGAGACACAACGGATTCTGGTGCAGAGTTTTCTAGACCTTCGTAGTTACCTGATGATTCGCTCGTCTGAGCTATCTTAATTGCCATCAATCTAACCTATTCACTACCTCCCTGCAACAAAGTCCACAGCAAACCCGCGTCAAGCAGCTTATCCATCTGTGGGGCACGATTGTGGAAGGCGAATAGTTTCATTTTAGCTGCCTCAAGATATACAAGAGCCCGCTTGGCTAAGCGGTATAGCGTGTCACTAGTAAATACTTGACATGACAAGGTGATCAGTTCGACTCTGATAGTGGGCATTCTTTTTTTATTTGCTAATGAACTTTTTGCTGTGCTGGCTCAATTCTAAGTAGCATGCATGACTCTACCCTGAAAATAGAACCCTGTGACAAAAGAAAAACTGTAGTTGCTGAAAGGGCAGTCCTACCAAATCCTATCCCATTTTCACCAAATCGTGAGGCATAAATATCTAGGCAAGGCATTCCTCCATGGTAAATGCAGTAACATATTTTTCTCCCAATGCTGCTAAGAGCTTGGCTTAAACGCTGAGGGTCAAGGCCAGAGAGGCATGAATGCTGCTCAACAGGGTCTGAGACTGCTGGGCAAAAGCCGGAATGCGGGCAATGATGGCACCAGCCAGGTTGACAACGGTTCTCTCAACCAGGTTCAGGACGACAGCAATGGGGCCACGGAGGAGAGAGTTGGAAACGATACCGTTGGGGCCAAGAAAAGCGTTGATGAGCTGAGTGTTGGCACTGACAAGCTGTTACGAGACAGTTAGATACTACCCGTGTTTGCTTCTTCCATTTGACGTTGAGATGCGGCGTACCTGAGTGAAAGCAGCGAAGATAGCACGCTGGTCGGCAAGGCTGAAAACCCCGATGACTGGGGTGGTGATGATGCTTCCCACATTTGTCACGAAGGTTCCAGACAGAGAACTAAGGCTGGTAATGATGTTCTAAATACACTCAGTTAGCATATTACAATAGGCAGTTCATTGTATTAATAACTTACGGGAAGCTGCTGAACGAGTGTAGTAGCGGTGATGGCGCTAATTGCGGTTCCAGTGGTGGAGAAGAGGTTGGAGACGGAGTTGAGCGTGCTGGTAATGACAGAAGCATTCAAAGTTGGGGCACCAACAAGCAGAATGCCATCTTGGGCCATCTGCTGAGTGTGGATCGTGTGCGCGAGTTCCTCAAGCTGGTGGATCTGCGTGCTTTGCTCGCTCTGCATGTTCTTCTCGTTCTGCTGAATCTGGCCTTGCTGCGTCGAGGCCATGGCATAGGCAGACTGAGCCGTCAGAACGGCAGCGAGGAAGAGAGCCTTGAACTGCATTTTTGGGGAGTTGTTGTTGGAGCTAGGATAGAAGAACTTAATGAGATGGATGTTTAGGGGCTAAAGATGTAGGATTGAGCTGACATTGAAAGAGTTTATTTTGGCCTGGATATTGCTTTTGTTTTTATATCTAGCAGAGTTGAGTATTGTGAATAAATTAAAGGGCTACGATAAATAAAGAAATGATCTTCTTTCGTGAGAATATTGTCGAATTCGCAGACTTTGTGTAGAATCACTCGACATGGAAACCCATTCCTTGAGCTGGGCATTTCAAGACACGCAAGGGAGTTCTCCAGGGGAGCAGCTAGTACCGGCTTAACGAATAATTCAACGGCTAGCGGCGAATGGACGACAAGTACAGCCTTGGGGAATGTGATGCTGATTCCAATGTTATTGTTGCCAGACTTGTGACTGACGATCAAGGAAGTGCGTTCGGATGTTGAATGAAAGGCTGAAAACAAGTGTGATCTCCCTCTTGGAGTCATGAACTCTCCGTGCCTTGGCAGCCTAGCGAATAAGATGTCCTGAATCATAGTCGTGCATTCCAATTCCGTTCCAGTGTGTCTTTGGTTATCCGGAATGTTGGCAAGGTCTCAAAGGCTCAAGAGACGGAACAAACAGCTCTCCCCCATTCTCTGCGACGCAAAGATAAAAAAAGCACAATGGTAGCATTGAGGCATGATGCTGTATAATATTCGTCACCGTTGATATTGTTCCGGGCCAATAACGCAACGCAGTACTTGTATGGCGTCTACAGAAGGGAGTGTTTACTGTTTGTATGATGACTTTGATACCGGTCCGAATTCCAAGCAGTAGCCGCCGTATATAGTTTGTCTGTTTAGAGCTAGTTCAATTTGGAATTCTCCTTTCAACTATGCTCTGTTGAAATAGGAATAGAATGAATCGTGATTCAAAGTTCTTTGTACGTTGATGCTGGCCGCTATGAATCTAAGACTGAGCTGTAATTTAGCGTCGATCTAGATGTCTCCTCATTGACCAAGACACTGTATCTGATGAATCGTGTTGGTGTCAAACGTTCATATCTTATAGATCACTTGGTTGTGTGCGCTGCATCTTGGGCTCACTCCATTACATGATTGGCTATCCAGGTAAGGCAAAGTGTATGATCTTTATCTCTGCATCTTCTAGATGGTTCAAACATTCCCTGCTTGCACGTGTATTGTCGTAGGAAGCTTAATCCTGGGACGGGAGAAGCTTCCTTTTTCGCCAATGGCCTGCCGTCCCGCGAAATATAGGAGTGCTTTGCCCCGCAAATAACGGTAGACGCCAGGATCTTGCACAGGTGAGGGGCTCAACAAAAAAAAAGTACTGCCGAAATGACAGGTTCTCAGTTCGAAAAAACCGACAGGGAAAAAAATGATCAAATGTCCGTCACTCTGTAGGTAGCTGATGATAGGGTTATTTGACGACTTTTAGTGGCTTGGATGGGAGGCGTCTAGAAGGCTTCTAAAAATGCACTTCTAAGCGCCAGTAACAGACCAAGTAGCCGCTATGCTTTTTACGCCAAAGCAAGATGGGGAAAAATTATTGGCTACCAGCGTCGGCGGAGAGAGCCGGCGGGCCGCGCGGATCCCAAGCGATAACAGCAAAGCTCTGCCAACGATTTCAAAGCGGATGGTGGTAGCTTTTCGCATCCAAGGAGCTCAGTCTGCAAGGCAGAGAAGGACATAGCGGATAGTTGCCGAACTGGGACTTACAAAGGTCTCTGGAAAGCCTGCCGAGCCAGGGTCTGCCATTGTACAGGGCGCTACGGAGTGCTGTACAGGCGATATACCTACACGACGCTTACAGGCATCGACCCAGGCATCGAGCAGCCGCCATCTCGTGTGTCTGCCGAGTCCCAGGCGGAGACGCTTCCAAAGATGCGATGCCCGCCTTCTGGCTCCTTTTCGCTGGATGGAAGTTCGTCTGGAAGGCCGACGGAAAGTTCTAGAGATGCCCCGTGCTCATGGGATATAGGAGGAAATTGCGTGCTTGGGACTGGAAATCTGGTTATCGAAATTGCAGATGGAAATTGACGAGACTGCTCAACATTGTACCTTGCATGAATGGGACGCAGAGAGGACCCTGCGTTTGCATTTTTCTTCTCGCTCCCCTTGGACCATGTCACGGCCATGGCCATGGCCCTTGTCACGGCCCACGCCTGGAAAACAAGGCTAGACTGATGGCAGGGACAGGGCCGATGCTTGCCTAAGGCAAGTCATAGCAGTACCTTAGCTTTGGGGCGGTTTACTGCCATTATGCCGCTGCAGCTACAGAGTAGTGGCTGCAATATTAGATTGAGAGACGCACGCGGTTGACAGCTTGGCAGATGGTCTAGAGCACGGCTGGACTTCTGCAGTTGCGAGGCGCTGCTCTATCCTGCTTAGGCATCCAAGTACAAGTGCGTTACTGCACGTTCACGTATCTCCAGGTCAGAGATTGACGTCTCATCTCATCTACAAAATGCGCTCCTTGCACCGGGGGTTTCGAGCGCATTACTCGCAGCACTTACCGCTACAAGCAATAGTGCCCCATACCCCATACGGAGTAATCCCGGCTGAGCACGGCAATTCCACATGTAATTTTGCTACCAGCAAGGAGACACAGAGAAGCAGAAATAAATAGATATAGACAAACCAGCCATCGTGGCTCAGACCGTCTTTTGGCTTGAGGGTGGCTACTAATTGTCTCAGTTTCACCGCCTTCAGCTCGGTACCCGTGTACTTCGTAGTGCCACTGCTGCTGGGCAGGAGATGCTGTACATAAGGTAGTATGTGTTACTTCGGCATGGCAACTGGGCAGGTGTCTCTTGCCGCGTGAGTCACGAGAGGCTGCCCTCGCTTGTCTCTGGCTTGTGCAAGTGCGGGTGTTACACCTGCTGTGATGAAGATCGGCTGGAAGATCAGTGGAAGGTGACAAACAACTGCCTGCAGCTTCCATGACATGTGAAAGTATGTGCGTATGCAGCGACGCAGACGCTGAACTCTATTTCCTGCTAGTTACAGTAAACACCATTCACCACTCGTGAACGCTGCCAAATCAGTGAGCGGATGAATGAACGATTTTCGGTCTACGAGCTAAATCCGGTCCATGCCTACTGTCAGTAGCTGACGCCCTTGCTCGCCACATGATGCTGCGGCCGACAGAACACGCATACCTGCGTATGCAGCTGAGGCGAGTGGCTTACAGTCTTGCCAACTTGCTTAGCAGACCTTACTCTCTTTCCAGGTCCAGACCGCGCAATCCAGAAGTAAGGGAAACAGAGTAGAATAATTGTCTCCTCTTATTCTTTGCTCCTACGGCCATGACGGGCTGCCTCTTGTTCTGGCCGGAGTAATTGTGGCGGATTGTTTTCCCTAAGCCCCTCCCAATCCGGCCACCATCAGCTACGGCTACACCATCTTCGACTAGAAAATGCAACTGATGATCATGGCGCCTTTTCTATCAGAAAGCCAAGTCCCATCCCGCAGCTCTCTTCTTACCCGTCTGTCCAATGACAATTCCCGGGTGGCAGCGATCCCAGCGACATCGGATGTCACTGTCCAACCACCACCCTCTAGCCGACCACATTTTGTTTCGATTCGCCCTGCTTCGGCTCAACTGCGCATGACCTCTGGCGCTCAATACCAACCGTTAGCTTTTGCATGCAAGTTGGTGCTGGTACGTGTACGAGTAAAGTATGGCGCTGCAGCGCCACCTCCACTTGGCCTGCAGCAAGCAAGGCACGAACATGTAAGTTTGAACGCCCAGAGCTGCGCGAAAACCAACCACGCGAGACCCTCCAGGGTTGTGTCGCCGCATTTGATTCGCTGCTGCGTGGCGCCATGTGCGTCCGGGCAAGGAGGCACAAGGACCCTTGCGCCCTGGCTTATTATAGCAAATGTAGCCCGTGTACTTGAGACAAGCGGCGACGGGCATAATGACGAGCTGCCTGAGCTGATCTACACACATGACAGGTACCTGTACGGTAGACACACATGCACAGATAATTCCCTCGGCTGTGATTCTTTGATTCGACTACTTGCCATTATCTTATTAACCTATGATTCCAGCACACGTATTCGCCTCTCCCTCCAGCGAAGCCCAAAGGTCTTGGGTCCTTTGTTTGCTTGGTTTTGCAATAGCGCCTCATAGCGCCCTCGTCTGTTCACCATTTCCACTTCTCTGTCATTTAAGCGTTCAAGACCACGCGAAGCGAGAGACCCGTTGAACAGCTCTCCGCTCTCCACTTCGCACGGAAGACCTAGCACAAGTGCTACTTAACAGACTGGACATCAGCTCCCGCCGCTTGGCAATGGGCCTTTCCCAACCGCCAACCCATCCTGGGCTCTGGATTCTGGGTCCAATCGATTAAACACGCGACGGTCTTTCTGCAAAGTGCCCTCTCTTGGTTACCTATTACGAGACTGGTTGCTTTTCCAACTCCGATCTCGACGCCCTCTCGACGCCTTTTACTTGACTCGGCAGGAATTCTGCTCTTCATTTCGAATAAGCGAGCGACGACTGTTGGCGCCTATCGTTACCGTTTCTGCTACCCACCTAGCGTCATAAGAGCCAGAAAGAGAGAACAGTACATGCGTAAATAGGGAGAAGATACGAAGTAGTCGCCCCTTCAAATCAGGATATCAAATTTTTTTGAATCTCGTCATCGCCCGCCAACCCTTGTTGCCGTGGTTTGCGTATTTGCTCACCGCCGACTGGTGATTCGATTCTGTTGCTCTAAAGACTCCACAACTGAAAGCACAGAGACCCTAGTCCTGCCTACTGTCCAGGCAGGGATCGCTCACTAGCAACGGGTCCCCCTACAGAGTGGCCCCTTGAACTTTTTTTTTTCTTTTTACCTGTCCCCGCTTGCCGTGGGCTCTTGAATCGGACGCCGGCAACCGAACCAATCGAGGCGTTTGCCGTTGTCAGTCGCAATCCCGCTTGTCGCTCTCATCGATTCGACAAGACTAGGCGCCTCCGCGAGACCTGGGCGTGCGATTGTTTGATAACTTTGCGTTATGATCCTCCTTTGTGGCTTGTTACTGCCGTAACCCAGACCGCAATTTTTTTCTTGCTTGTTTTGCAATTTCCAGGGGGCCTCCTTTCAGTGCGGGAACACTTGCCAAGATCCTTCTGGGTGATTACAGATATATACTACTCCATATCGTACTCTTGGAATTTTTGCCCTCACAATATTTCTCTATTGACATTTCTCGCGGTTGTGTATTAAAGCCAAAGCTGGCTGCGGCCTTACTTTGATCCAACGCCCTTCCCGGCCCATAGTTTACATCAACTATACTCGTCCTCACTTATACTGTGCCGGTCACAAACGCATCAATAAGTCCAGCACCATGGCTCACTCACCACGGCGCATGTCCGATACCACCTATCGCAGCTTCCATGATATTGAAATGGTAGACCCCCTATCATCGCCTCCCTCGACCTCACGGGGGCGCCAAACTGTCCAGTCTTTCAAGCCCCAAAGAGGACATTCTCCAAGTATCGTCCAGGTTCAACGCAAAGATTCTGGATACGAATCACACACCTCATCACCACGCACTTCAGCCACCTACTTTCGACCTAAGCCTACACGGCGTTCTTCAGGCCTATCCAAATATGGTACATCGTCTGCTCAGTCACTGAGATCTCGTATTCGACCTACCATACGCCGGCCAGCCACCAGTCAAGCCTCCGCCTCATATCAACTCCGGCCTGTTGGAGCTGGCAATCAAATGGCGTACTATCAATTCCCAGCCTCGGATCTGGTTGAAGTTACGGAGACAAGCCAAGAAGTCCCCAGTACTTGCTTGCCGCCGCAGACCACTCATTATTGGACCAGCGACAGGACTCGTCGGTTGGAGTATGCTGCCATTGACGCAGCAAGCAAGGGCGTCAAGGGTTGGATCCGAAGGAACTTGCTTCCCGACTGCTTTTCTGGAAAAAACAGGCACGTGGCCTTTGACGACGACTCTGGCAGTGTTCGTCGCTACAGGCTAGACCTAGAGGACGAACAAGATGAGAAGTGTGTGCCCGACTGTACCGCCTCAACTCCATCTCCGCACAAGAAACGCTTCTCCATCCGCATTCACCGCAAGAGCGTTAGCGCTTAACCTGTTCAATTTTTCCCACCGCTTTACACATGAACCTTTTTGCGATTTTTCAATTTAAACTTTTCGACTTTGCATTTCGGCGCACCCACATTATTCGGCGTTGTATACCCCGACTGCTTTTTTCATTTCTTTCAGGTTTTCGGACGATTTAAGATACCAAAGATTCATATACCAGGAAAGCGAGTTATTTTTTCCTTTTTGGCTTTTTAATTTTCTTTCAATTTGCATAGACATATAGGGGTGGGAAAAGATACCTGGTTTTGTCAGGGATGAAATGCTTTGTTGCGTCCTGGCTTACACACTTGCGGATGGATAGCGCCAGCAGGCTAGGCAGTGCAGCATTCAACGATCTGGATGAGATGAATGACCAATTTTAGTTTCAGCTGCTGGATGCAATAAAGAATATAAGAGGTCATTGAGATTGGAATGCAGCAGGAGTGAAGAAGCGACGATAGGGGCCTGCGTATGGCCCGTGAGGGTAAGCAAAGCAGAGCCTGGGCCCTTTGTTCCTCAATTCGTTCTTTAAGATTGAACAATCAAAGACAGTGTCACAGTTATTCAATACACAGCTTCAAAACAAACAATGGTCCATAGTTTTCTCTTGTCGTTATAAACCGGATATACCCTCGTGAATCTCGTCATTGCGAACACTTATTGAATCACTGCACTAAGTCTATGTCGGCGCCGAGCCAATCAAAACAGCGCAATAATTGCGAGTCAACGATAGGAACGGATCAGCTCTCCACTGGGCCAACAGGGAGCTCTGGCATCCCAAGACGAACAATCGCCACCCAATGCACCGCCAGTGTCCGGAACACCACTCCTTCCAGCTCTCACCTCATGTCTTTGCTTCCATCTCCGAAAGGGCTTCCGGCAGACCCACCCGGCGATGGGTCTAATTTGCGGGGCCTAGTTCGGCGGCCCGGCCCAGCACCGCCACAGCATGTTGCAGCAGTGTCAGGGACCATCGCCCCGGGATTCAGAAAAAAAGAGAAGAAGAAGAAGAAGACAGAGAAAGAAATGCTCCAAAAAGTGGCAAACTCGTCACCGCAGTCGGCGGATATACTGGATGGAGTGCCCATGGAGCTGGCGAGAACCGTGGTAAATATGCAGCAGTATTACGCGTCGGGGGTGAATGAGCTTGCAGAGAAATTAGGCACTGTGGAGGAAGAACTGAGGCGAGCGAAGGAAGAGAATTTGAGGATGAAGAAGAGGCTGGATATGCATTTTGGGATGTTGGGACAGGCGGCGGAGTTTATGCAGCGGGTTAGCCAGGGGCTTGGGATGGCGATGCCGGTGGATGAGGAGATGTTGGGAAGAAAGGGAGGAGATGAGGAGTTGAAGCAGGGCTTTGATGGTGATAGTGATTTACCAATGGAGGGAGTGAATATGGAAGTGCCGCCGATGCCGGTGGATGATAGGCCGCCTATGAGGAGTACGGGTCGGATGGCAGGTAATAGACGGATGATGCAGGAGAAGAGTCCTGCTCAGAGGAGGAGAGGAAAGGAGAAGAGGAGGATGGTGGTGGCTGCGGAAGTGTTGCCAATTAGAGAGAAGATGGTGATTCCTCAAGATGATGGAGATGATGATGATGATGATGATGATAACATTGATCGAATGAAGAAATCTAACTCGGAAATCCGGCTGGAGGAAGAGAGTCGCCATAGGCGCGAAGACAACGGCAGCGACGATGCCAAGATACTACAAGGAGCACCCCGTCTACAAGCCCTTATATGTCAAGATGCGATACGTCGAAGTGTCATACGTCAAGACATTACACGTCAATCCCGCTTTACACCAATCAACCGTGTTCCATCTCGCCAAAGCACACCGTCAGTCGACAACGACGCCGACTCAGACGAATACTGCCCTTCCTCCCCGTCATCATCATCATCATCAGACTCCATCTACGAAGAAGAAACAGCCCCATCCTCAACCATCGCAATCTCAAAACCAACTCCCTCACCAAACCATTTACTCCAAACCCCCCTTCCAGCATCATCATCATCATCATCATCGACATCGACATCATCCCGTCCTTCCAAGCCCCGCTACTCCGTCACAAGACGCACCACAATCCCCCGCTACGCATCCGGCCCACCAGGCAAACCCTTCCGCTTCCACCGCATGGGTCGCACCGTGCTCGACGTCTGGACGGAATACAAGCGCGGCTCGAAGGGGAACCCGGCCATTGAGGCGCTGGAGCGTCAGTACGGCACTGAGTGGCGCACGGGGGAGGATACTCGGGAGTTGAAATACGCGAGCAACTATGTCAGTGTGCGGCAGAAGGTGGTGAGTCAAGTAGAGGAAATGTGCGAGAGGGAAGGGATCAGTGCGATGGAGGCGTGTAGGAGGTTGGATGAGAGGGTGGATGGGAGGATGCAGCTGTTGATTTCGGCGGTGAGGAAGGGACAGGATCCGTTTGTGGTCATACCCAAGAGGTGAATTTGTGTTTAATTTAGTATTGGACAAGCATCAGATGTACGGAAGTTCGAGCCACGTAAATAAATACGACAGTAGCTATATTAAGGTATTAAAAGAAAAGTAGTGTTCCGCTTGAGACTTAAACCAGCTAGTATCTCACTTTACATTTTCCGTCGTCGTCCATTGTCCCTGTTCTGCCATCAAATCCAGTCAAATAAATTGGTATCAATTTTCATTCGTTCCTTCTTTTCCTTCATAAAGCAGACAAACTCATATCTTTAGTATGTAGCCTTGGCTCTAGCCTTCACTCTGACGGAGAAGTCAACTGGGCGAGTATTGAACCATCCGTCTTCCTCGAGATGATACTCTGGGCTCACCGGCTCGAAGTCGAACTCTCTAATGAGCATGGCCAGGATAATGAGACTCCACTGTAGAGCATACTGTTTGCCAATACACTCTCTCTTGCCATTGCCGAACCACTTCTTGGCGCCAGCGGGCAAATTATCAAAGGCCTCGCCAACCATACGCTCGGGCCTGAATGCCAACGGCTCCTCAAACACAGTGGGATCGCGGTTCACTCCTTGCAAAACGATAATCATGGGCTGATTGTGAGCAATCTGGTACTTGCCTCCGCCCAACAGAACAGGGCTCTTGTCGCCCTCTCTTGGTCGTGGTTCAATGTTGAAGCCCGGTGCGACAGAGGATAGGCGGAGTGATTCGCGCATGATGCCTTCAACGTACTTTAATTGTCCAAGATGATCAAATTCAAACTCGCCAGCGCCAATGACTCGGTCCAGTTCTTCGCGAGCTTTGACAACGACCTCTGGATTGCGCTGAAGATAGTAGATGGCGTAGACGAGCAAGCAGGGTGCGGTGCTGCTGCCAATGGGCATTGATACTATCTCATCAATGACCTGCGAAGGGGTCAGGGCCTTTCCAGTCTCCGGATCCGGAGTGGTCATCATGATGGACAGCATATCCTGTCTATCTGTCGGGTTCTCGTTACGGTACTGGACCAGTTCTGAAGCATATTCTCGCATCGCCTTGTTTGAAGACTTGAACTTGCGGCCATACACCAACCAGTTGAGCAATCTAGGTCGTGTAGGGCGCTTCATCGCCTCAGAGGTAGAGTCCTCCATTGCCTGGATCATTGGATGCGGAGGACCAGTCAGTCCATTCAGCCGCTTACCAAAGAAGACATAGGTGTTCGTCTCGAGATTTAGCCTATTGAGCTGATCCAAGGGGGAGATTGTATTGCTGCCTCCGAGGTTCTTCCAAGTATGGAAAAGTTCCCCAGCCAGATTGCGCATTTCTCTAAAGTGAGTAGACACAACTTCGGATTTCAGCTGGGGATAAATGATTCGGTGAGCAATGCCCCAGCTGGCCTCGTTGTCATAGGCCGTGAAGAGCGCATCATGGACGGCAGCTCGAATCTCGACGATGGGTCCACCGACGTACTTGCGGAAGCGCTTCTCGTCACAAAGCTCTTCGGCTAGAGCAACGCTGGCAACGAAGACGAGAGTCTTTCCAAGGACTTTGATCTGAAAAATCTCGCCATACTGGTCAGAGAGCTCCCTGAGCGAGTCCCAAGTGTTGCTGGGATTCACATCAAAGATGTTGCCAAGCAATGGCACGCCAGGTGGCTTCGGAATGGGAGTTGGTGATGCCATGATTTTCCGTATCGTAGATTTGAAAGCACGAAGAGCTATCAAAGGACAGCAGCAGAGCTGGAAAGAAAAGGAGAGGGAAGTGGAAAGAGAAGGAAAAAGGCTGGGGAAGAGGACAACTACGGACAAGCAGGGCCCGATGGGTGTAATATATGGCAGTCTACAGGGTGCCGCCAGCAGGTCGTGGAGCTGTGGCAAGACGTTGGCTTTTCTTTTCGTGCTACCACAATGATAAATACGGCCTGCTTGCTTGGGTTCACGGTGCCAGCTCATCCATGCAGCAGCCACTAGCCCTGCAGCTCCAGGCCAAGAGCAAGCATCCAGAGCTCGAGATGTCTCTGGATCTGGCTCCAAGGCCAGTCGTGGCCCCCTCTTCTCATTTTGGGACCCGCGAATTGCAAGCTGCAGACTGAGACATTCCCCGCCGCGCGGCGTCATTTGGCCCATATCGGGAATCAAGCTGTCTTAGCAGCTCCCCGTCGCAGCAAGATGTGCATTAGACAGTCTGCATCATTAAGTCAGTGCTGTGGTAACATGGTGCTAGTGCCAGCAGTATTACTCGTACTCGCGCTGCTGCTGGCATTGGCAGCAGAGGATCAACAAGCGGCCGGCACATCGCAAGGGCTGCATTAGCGCCCGGAAACTGGACTGGATAGATGGACGGCGACTGGGAATCGGCCTGGCTGTGGTGCAGAAAAGCAAATTGCCGGCCTCCTAGTGGCCACCTCGCGCCGGCAAAGCCCACTTGGATGGATGGATGCCAATCTCATCTCGGATAGCATCTGCTGCGACGCTGGATATCACCGACAGGCGCGGGCACTGGACGCCACACCTGCCAGAGCAAAGCTGAAGACAAGGGTCATTTGTGTGCAACTGGCGAAGAGCTGAAGCGGACGATCGATCCGAACAGACGGATGGCACCCTCAGACTGGGCTGCCTTTTGGGTGGTGAACCGAGCAGACCCAGGTCAAATGACGGCACAGAGGTGTCATTGTGTACAAAGCAGATTCCATACCGAACGGGTAAGAGAAAGAACAGTATGTTAGTAGTATCAAGGTTATTCTTAGGATTAGATAGCAAGGCCAGGAAGCGAGGAGCACAGCAGCGCAACAGATGATGGACATGCCATGCATGTTTGCGTGCGGACAAGCAACTGCTGCAGTTCCACCTGAGGCAGCGGCTTACCTAAGTCACGCCGCCCGCCCCTCTAAAAAATACAGGGTGTTCACAAAAAAACGCGCCAAAGCACCGCAGCGCTGCGCTACACGTCTCGCCTCCAGAGAGCTTCCCCGGGCCCGAGGCGCCACCTGTTTGCTAGAAATCACACACTCGCAAGGGGGAGACGACCGCCGCAAAAACCACCACGCAAGTCCCAATTGCCACGACATCCGGCCATCGCAGACCCCAGCCTCACGCTCATTTTTTGTCATTCTCTCTCGTCGCCCAACATGACGCGCGCTCAGCAGACTATTTCCCTCGGCCTCCTGGTCTCTTCTGTATGAGCTGTCCTTCCCCCTCGAGCTGCTCTCTTGCTCCCCTCCCCTTGTTCCGTCTGAGAGAAAGCCGTGATGCTGCGTCTCGTTGAAGCGAAACTCGATAAGCTAACCAATTGTCACTTTTAACAAACAGCTCTACTTTGCTCTCTTCCTCGAGCTCATTCCTCTCCCTCCTCTCGTCCAGAAGGAAATCGTCCCGGTGGTGCGTTCAACCCAATCCTAAGCCATCCATCTCCGAACCGATCATCATATAACATGCGACCTGACCTCAAACTAACTCCGTCGACTACTTGTAGCTTCCCTTCTGGGCCCTCATTTCCTTCGGCGCGTTGCTCCTATTCCGTCTCGGCTGGGGCGTCTTCACGTTCAACGATGTTCCCGCGGCGCACAAGGAGCTGATGGAGGAGATTGAGATGGCAAAGGTCGACCTGAGGAAGCTTGGTGTTGACGTGGATTAAATCAAGAAGCATTCGTTGGCGCAACTGGAAAGAGATATACCATAATTCATAAAATAGTAGTGGGCAATGCAATATCATGTCACTGTGGGATCAATATAGGTAGTTCTTCATATAATCGAAGCCCCTGTTCAGGCTTACTCTCTCTTTGCCATTTAATGATTTGAGTCAAGCGCTCGTCTCGAACAAGACCAAAACGCCTATTACTTCGACTACCATGGACCTTCCCTTTTATGCATCATAACTCATTAACAGAGAAGCATCTCTACTTCATTGCTCGCCTACAACTAATGCCACAATAGTTTTGACAGCGAGGGATGGGTCCTGCCCGCCCTCCACAAGGTCTTCAAACAGTTTGGGAAGCTTTCCCAGCACTCCCCGTTGATCCGCCTTTCGCCCTGTAGGTAGATCTATTAGCACTTGCACTTGAAAGTTTTGAGAACGAGCTGAGGATTAACTTACATTTGCCTGGTACGCCAATCATGACAGCCACCTTATTTTGCGCCTCCCCAATCCAATCAAAATCAATCTTCCACTCCAACCGTACCGATGATGTAGGGTCTGATCGCTTCTTCGACGGAATATCAAACTCAAATGCCTGCTGGCCCATGAAATGAACCAATTCAGCCTTCTTAAAAGATGGGGTAGATGCTGATTGAGCTTCTTTTTCCAGCTCTTCCGTTGCTGCTCTCCGCGCCGGCTTCTTCTTCCGCGCCTCAGCAATGGCCTGTAAGAATTCTCCCTTGGACGCCAGTTCGCGATCTAGTTTAGACCACAGATATGCCCTTTGAACTGCAGCCTGGTACCATTCCCCCATAGCCCATGAGAGTATCCCTATGTTACGCTGCATGCTCCTGTTGCAATCGCCCTCACATAACTTGGTAACAAATGGCCCCAGCTCAGCCCTTGCTGAAGGCTCCAGGGAATCCACCTTCAGCTCCATGATGCTGGAATTCATTGCGTTCACCACCATCTCGATCTTAGAGGTAAAGAGTCCAGGCGCATCTTTTGACCTGAACGTCATGATGCGCCGTTGTCGCAAAGGCTGTTCCCCATCCGAGTGCAAGATAGCCACAGTCGATGTAACGTCGAATGGACTAAATAGCTGTAGGTATGGCAACTCTTCCTCTGCTGTCATTTTTATGGGATGGTGCGACTTGATATCTGTGATGTTGACTTCATCTTCTGCTGTGGCGACAACGGGAGTCGTTCTCCCAAAGGGCAACAATGCCGCAGGGTTTAATGCCGCTTTCAAAAGTTGCTGCGATGGTGGCGGCGGAGGTTGTGTTTCGGAGTCCACGAGGTGCCGTCGCACCACATTAAACACCTCTTCTTCATCTGCAAAGCTCAAGATACGGCCAGAAGCCTGCATCAGCCGAATTCTATCGTTCTCCTTGCTCACAACCTGCAGATCCCGCTTCAATTTTGCAATCTCTTCATCCAAGGCTAATTTTTCTTTTCTCTTGTCCCCATTTGGATCAAATGCTAAGACTTGGCGAGCTGGGTGGGCTTTATCGTCCAAAGAAGGCTCTTGTATGCTGCTTTCGCCTTCCCTTTGCGGTGGTTCGAACCTATGCACCGGCAGTGCAGATTTCTTGCTAGGTTTTTCGAGGGGCCGACTCTTTGAGGGTTTTAAAGGAGAGCTGTGTTTCGTTCTAGGCTTGTCTCTCCATCGCGACGGACTGCTGTGTATGCCTTTCGGTGGGGTGAAGGAAGTGGCGTCTGGGATAGATGGCGGCAGCTCAGGCTCTGGGTATAGAAGCGGTCGGCCGGTGTTTGGTGATCGTCGCTGTCTTCTACCCCAGAATGAATCCGCCTCATCGTCTCCCTCAGGCGCTGGTGGTGGCAGCGGTCGTGGCCTCGGTTTGAAAGGCGATCTTATAGGTATGCTAGGCAAAACGTCGTCGGATTGTCGTGAAGACGGCAGCGACCCAGAGCTCAACGCAGCTCCATTTGTGCCTTGCGCCGGGTCACTCGTTGCTGGCGTAGGAGCGTTGGCTGAGTCGCGAACAGCCTCTCCTACCTCTTTCTCGCTCGAAGATGAAGTCCGCTGTGACCCTGTTGGTGCAGGCCGCGCCTTATCCAGACTCTGAGGCGGATGACGAATCTCATTAGCTCTCGTGGTTGCATCGTCCAGAGGGCGAGTTGTCCGAGCTCTTGCGGGCTTTGAAGGTGTCGACGTCGCGTCGCTGCTGCTGCTGTTGTTGACAGAAGAATTGCGTGGTGAGACCCGACGTCTCTTTGACGCGGGCTCATCCATTGTGGCAGAGCAAGGGAGCGGTGAAATGCAATCCCATCCAACAAGGTGAGGTGTTTGTTTAGCTATGTAAATAAAAAACGGGAAAAGGGAAAATTATCGCTGACCGGAACAGCTTGGCCATGCGGGATGGTGTTTTTGGCCGGATGGAGCGCGTCACAGCCAAGCTGCAGCCCAAACAATGCGGGCTTGGACCGAAGCGGTAGGCGGTAGCTGCCGGGGTGTCTGAGCACTACCCGCTAGCTTTCTAGTGGCCTTAGCACCATCAGAGTGTAATCAACGACTGTTTATGCAGTTATTGGAGATGCCTCTCTCAGGTGTTTTTCTCTCTTTCCAAGCAAAAAAAGAATAGCAAATTCTAATTTCGATTTTGAGAAAAGAAAGATAGTGATTCTCTTAAATTCAAAATCATCCACCTTATGGCACCGCCTCTACCGTTTCCTCTTTCAAGGAGCGCTGAGCCGAGCTCATGAGCTGAGACCCCCATTTGCTCTGCCATCACGTGCGGCTCTCCCAAAAATCCTTGCCGGCTTCCCGCCGATGACGTCCGAATTGCCCCCCACAAAAGCTTTGCGACGCCGAACTGCGAATTCCGGATCTTTGCGTGTCTCTCTTCCCCGGCTTTTTTTTTGTCTTATATATCTGCCCTTTGCGCTGCGTCGCATCTAGCCCGGCTCGATCCTCAAAAGCCTACCAAGCAGCTCCCACCATGTCGTCAAGAACACTAATATCGCGGATGGGCCTTGTACGGCCGGGCGCAGCTTTGTCGCACGGGCAATGCTGTCGACGATGCTTTGCCAGCGTCACGGGAACTGGCGCAGATGAGCAATGGCCTCAGAAAACACCTCTTGGAGCATACTACGAAATCATCTTTAAGAATCCTACCGCATATTCACCTACTGCAACACTAGAGAGGGCCCCGTCCCCGGATCAACCTCTGAGTCACAAGCCTCAGGGCAATACGGCCAAGCCTTTGTTTGGTCATGTAAACCCAACAACCACGTTACCGTCTCATAAAGAGCCTGTGCCGACAACCCCAGAAGATAGAGCGCGTGTCGTCTTCGGCTCCCGTCTCCTCGGTCCCGCCGAAGAAGCAGGACGTCTCGCCGCCAAAAAGGCCAAGTCTACATATGTCGCCGGCATCTTGATCCCCCCTCGCCCGGAAGAGCCAGACAACTGCTGCATGAGCGGCTGCGTCAATTGCGTGTGGGACCGTTACCGGGAAGATCTGGAAGAATGGTCGATGAAGAAAGCAGAAGCGAAAGCGCGACTAAAAGCCGGAGGCAGCACCATGGATGCCGACGGCGGCGGATCAGAAGCCGCCTGGGCGAGCAAGATTTCAAAGGATATGTGGGATGAAGAGGCCTTTCAGAATGTTCCCGTCGGAATTCGCGAATTCATGAAGCAAGAGAAGAAGCTAAAGGAGCGGCACCAGCGGGAAGGCACATTAGGGGGCTAAAGAAGAAAAGGAAGAAAGAAAAGAAATAGACGGGTAGACACTGGGTCGGAGCTACAGCGGGCGGCATGTTTTGACAGTAAACGGACCTACACGGAGTATGATAATGGCATCACTCATAGATTTTAATATCCAGCATGTAACAACGTGTTGATAGACGTGGGGGAGAATACATTTAGAGCAGGAAACAGGAGCAATGATATAATTGGTATCTTTCACTATTTTTTTTTTTCTTTTTTTTTTTATATATTTCTATATTTTACTTCCTGGCAAGCTTAAACGACGTGAATGCATTATGCCTTCTGCTGGGCAAGTCTGTCGTGCTCGTCAATGTCGATCGCCTCCCATGGGTAGTTAATCCAGGCATCGCCGCAGGTGACGGCAGCGGTGTAGCGGCTCTTGACCATTTCCTCGGGCAGCTGGCCCTTCTTGGGCTTGTCCTTGTTCTGTATCGAATGTTAGCAAAAGTCACACCCATTTACCACACTGCAAACATGTCCATCAACGTACGTGGAGAACAAAGATGCTGAACTCGGCCTTGGGCGCATCGGGTCCGAGCCTCTGGCGGGCCTCCTCGACATCCTTCTCCAGCTCCTTGACGGCATACTCGAGCGTCGTCCGGGTGTCGTCGACCTCGTCCACGATCAGGACACGCTTGCCGACGAGGTTCTCCATCTCGCCCAGGGCGGAGAGATCGAGCCACTGGGTGCGGGTGACCTTTGTGCCGATCTCCTCGACCTCGCTGTTGCCGAGGGACTCGTACAGGGAGAGGCCGATGGCCTGGATGGGGATGTTGGGAGATCCGGGCTGCTTGAGGAATGAGCGCAGGATACGCGCAGGGACGTAGCCGCCACCGCCGATGGCAATCATGAGCTGCGGCTTGAACTCCTCGAGGATCTTGGGAGCGGCCTGCTGGCACAGCTTGTGGACCTGCAACAGTGACGCCGGGTTAGCGTTTGTTCACCCTGGGAGCAAGTGCGGAATATCCAGTTCTTTCTGGGGGGTTCGTCATACATCATTGTACGTAACGTAGAGCTTCTCAACCATTGTGGCGGCGGTTGTTAATAGCGAGTCGTGATTCGTTAGGAGGGGTATAAGGCAAGAAAATGAGGCACTATATAAGTGATTTATATAGTGAAAATACGAAAAGATACGGGACGAAGCTGGTGACTTCGGGAGCGACGCAAAATACGCAGAATGCCCAAGAGGAAGAAAGAAAAAGGAAGAGGAGAGGGAAGAAAAAGAAGGAAGAAGAGCGAGGCAATCACCAGAAAACGGCTGCCCACATGCTTTCGGCGGCTTCCGATGATTTTTTTTTTTTTTTTTTTTTTAGACCCATTTCCCCTCCCCCACCATCGAGCGTGCCATCACTTTGTCTGTGATTGACTTACAGCTTGGCTTGGCCTCAGCATAACCCTTGCATGGCCCCATAAGATGTGGCGGACAATTTTTTCATTTTAGGTTAGAGGATCTTGTGTAAATAAGCATTGGCTTAGCGAGAGTTTTCTGCCACTTTATATCCGGCCTTTGCTAATATCACCAGGCACTCGAAGACAGTCATTATAATACTGCCGTTGTGCTAGTTCGAGTCAAAGCGCAAAGAGGAGAGACAACCTCCGAGCGGGAAAGGCCGCAGGCAGCAGCATATTATCCACCCACATGGAGGGAATGGAGGAATACAGGGCGTGACTTAGTCTGTTTGTGGATGGTTTACTAGCTAGGTTGAGAATAGTTGCTGCGGACGAATATAATCATGTCCCCTTTTGGCGTGCTAAAGGATGTGACTAACAAAAGACTTGAGGTTGTTTCCAATTCACCGCCTCAAAAACGATTCAGCTGTGATTTACCCCAAGAATCTTGATAGTTTCACTGCTGAGCTCTTGTATACCATGTGTCTCAGTATCACTTGTCGAGGTGTAGACACACTGCCATATACACAATCATTAAATCATTAAGCATAGCTCATGACTGAACGTGACATCAATAATAGATTGAAGAGCCAACCGAGTGCATCTACCACTCAATGCAATGACGAGGGCTACATAAAGTCTGGTACTTTTATAATCCAAAATCCTATTTAGTAGGCAGGCATAAACACCTCTCTCACTTTTCGGTCCCAGTTATTCTCGTCAGCAAGCTTCCGCATTACGTCTGCCAGGCCATCGCAATACTCATCCATCTCTTCCGCATTCAGCTGCGCTGTATCCCATGAAGCAATGAAAAAGAGATTCTCTTGATCGACCATGAAGGCGCTCCAAAAGAGTCCACTAGCAGCCGGTTGTTAGTCCATCAATCCGTAAAGCAAGTAGCACGATAGATAGTTTGTTGATGAACCTACCAATCTGGCCAGTCATACTTGGCTACTGGCTCGAGAGTGTCAAAATCACTGCGGAATCCTCGAGACGCTGCGACCCCCATGCTCACATCCCACACAAAGGATTGTCGAAATGACGCATCCGTTGCCACTTCGCCTTCTTCTCGAAGCTCTTGCACAACCTTTTCCCACGGTACGTGTTCATGGCGCTGGATATGCTCCTGCTCAAGAACCATGCGCTGGATAAAATCCACGAGCGTCTCTTCACCGTTTACCTCAAACATGTTCAAGATCCATTCGACTGTGGGACCATCTATGCTCATGGCGGGCTGAAGCGCGTTTGCTATCCAGTCAGGCACAAATGGCCATGAACGAGCACTCTCCCAGGAATTGAATAGCGCCACTGGCGACCTTGTCTGAATCACATTGAATAACACCAAAGCGCATTTGGTGAACATCATTGGCTCCAGGTTATATGAGCTGCGCAATTTGGTTAGGCCTGGTAAGCGAACAATTCTGCTCCGACGTGGGAATCGAAACTCTTCGGCTCTTGCCTGCCATTCTCCTTTCCATATACGATTTCTGGAGATTTGGCGCTCCGAGAAGAAGAATGAATCTTCATCACCGGCTATCATCATTCCGGGGGCGCGTTGTTTGGGCCATATTGCGCTTTTGTAGCGGGAAATACCTCGCAGTCGCTGAACGTGGAATGAAATTGCTTGCTGAGCCGGCAGGCTCTCCTGGTATCCTACGAACAAATCTGCGAAAAGTCGATAAGCCGTTTGTATGGGTATTATCGTGTTGCAATTGTGTATGAGTCGGTCGATATCTCGATGCCAAGAAAGGAGAGTCAAGGCATCCACTATAGAATGGTTATACGTCAGGCACAGGAGGTATCGGCCCGTCTCTTTCGCCTTTATGATGGTTGCATTGAACATGAACATTGGAGAGTGATTATCTGCAGAGCTGTTTTCATAAACATCTTTTGCTTCCTTTTCCGTTTCTGCGGTGACCTCGCGCACTAGTTTGTGAAAGAGATTGTGACTATGTCGCACGACAATATGATAAAGCAATCCTTGGGCGCCCAAGAGGATTGTTCGTAGGAGAGGTCTATTTGCCAGCCATTTAAACAGTCCGTCATAAATATGAGAAATGGTTGCGTTGTGAACTCGAAAGACAATGCGAGTACGATATGACTGTGGCCTTTGACCAACGACTGCCCGATATATGGAATTTCTTATAGGAATGATGTCCTCAACGTCGGATCTATCCAGATCGAACTCCTCAATTTGATCTTGCGCAGCGGCCAAAGTATCGACAGTTTCGACTTTGGAGACCAAATGTCGGTCAGAGCTGTATCCTTGCTCTCTCCTAGAGAGGGCACTGTGGCCATCATTTTGAACGACGGCTTTTGGTTCGATTCCAGCCCCTGCTCTTGGTGATGGATCTCTAGCAACTAATAGTTGGGCCTGGCCTTCGATTGTATTGCATCTACTTAGATCTTGGAGATAAAGGCGCTTTCCATATACTCGGAGAACGGTGTCGCAGTATCGAAGCAACGTGATGCTGTCAGCTAAGCAGAAAATATCATCAGTCTTAATGGGGTGAACTCCCACCAGCCGTTTCCATATCTCTCCCAACCCTTCTTCTAACATGGCTACTTCGTTATCTTGGCTTTCCATCTCTGAGATTTTACTTCTGCCAACATGCCGTTTTTTTATCACGATATCGGCTAGCATGGCTCTCTTTGGCTTTCCAATAGAAGTTGCTGGGATGCCCCTAAGGCCCAACTCTTCAAGCGTGTATACAGTATCGAGAGTATACTGAGGGCCCAAGAGCCTTGCCTTCTCCATTATTTCTATTTTAGAGACCCTTGAAGCAAGTTTGACAATAGCAACAGGGATTTGACCAGCAATTTCATCTGGCACTCCTACAACAAATGCCTGTGCATCTCATTAGCCGTTGCCCTCTCAAGGTGCTGAGTATAAAAATTCGCCTACTTGCTGAAGACCTGGAATTTCGGACAATGCAGATTCAATTTTCCAGGGATTGATATTCTCGCCTCCCCGAATTATCAAATCGTTGTACCGCCCAAGGATATAAACAACCCCGTTCTTATCAATCATGGCTTGATCCCCTGTCTTTAGCCACCTTCCCGAATTGTCGTTGTAGAATTTTTCTTCGTCATCTCCAACATCACCAAAATAGTCATGTATTACCGATGAGCCGGATATATGGAGTTCTCCAACTTCCATTCGAGACAGAATCTCTCGACTACCCTGACGACAAATTCGAACAGCCGCTCCAGCAAGAACTTTGCCAACCCCGGGATGGTAACCATCTACAAGCATCTCATCCTGGCGTGACCAGCTTATGATCGGTGCTCCTTCACTCATCCCATACGCTTGGATAGCATCTCGTGAACCGAGCCCCTCCTTGCACAGACATATATGTTCTGGCCCAATGATTGTCCCTGAAATGGAGACGATAGACAGGTTCAGATCCCCGGGACTCGGAAAGGAACTATGAGATAACAGAGCCTTGACTAGAGTTGGAGTGGCCGACATGACAGTGCATTTTTCCTCAACCAAGGCCCTCAGCGTAGCGTCAATGTGGAAAGACTTGGCCGCGAATACGACTGTGCCGCCATGCCGCCACGCACGAAGCGCGTTGTTGATGGCAAAGACATGGCACACAGGGGTGTGGACCAGCCAGCGGTCGACGAACGACGAGTCGACATTGGGATCGTAGTTGTAGGTCTGCGACACCAAGTTGCGGTTTGTGTGAGGGCATCCCTTGGGCTTCCCGGTGGTTCCACTCGTGAAGACAATGAGGGCTGGAGTGTCCCCGTTACTCCCGCACATTCCGTTGGCTCGGGGCGGTCCTTGATCGTCGTCTGTGTCACCAGGCCACTGATCCCCCTGAGATGAGGAATCCCAAGCCAGGAGGTCGTCGAGGCCCATCCAGCCGTCAACTGTGCCACTCATTCCGCAATGGATACGGATGACGGTGCTCGGGAGGCTGAAGTTTTGCTTGGTCAGGTGCGCGGCCGTGTCTGCATCCTGGACCACCAGTACCCGTGGTGTGGTTGACTCAAGCATATAAGCAAAGTCATCTGTCGCACGAGCATCAATGGGAATGAATGTGGCTCTGGTCTTGGCGCAGGCCCAGAAGAAGAGGCCCCATTCTGCGCAGTTCCAAAGGACTGCGGCGACGTGCATGCCAGCGCCGATTCCTAGTTTCTCCAGAGTGTCCGCGAGATGCTCAGCTCTGTCCCGGAGATTTCCATACGACCATCTGAGACATTCTGATTGCGCGATCGGATTGGGATCATCTGATGGTCGATTCAGATCTGCAGATTGCCAGAGAGAGACTATTGCTTCTCTGTGGGGATGAGCAGAAGCTGTTGCTGCGAGCATATCCCAGAGTTGCTGATCGAGATCTGAGAGGGGCTCGCCGTGGATCTCCGCAATGGCAACGTTGGAGGAGGATGCGGATTTGTTTATATGGGTAGTCATCTTGAATTCGTTTGTTTGAGAGTTGAATTATAGAATAATGGATGGTGATGTTATCGGAGGTAAAGATGAATAGAGTCTTGATGTCAAAATTGACGTATCAACAACATATATAATTTAGTTGCTAATGGTAAAATCCAATGTGATAAAGAGCAAATATATTTGTGAGATTTTTGAGTCATCCGGAACGCTTGCTCTTTTACCCCTTATCTCTACTCTTCTCTTTCGATGCAACTTCTAGGTATTCATTAGAAGATAACTCTCTGTAACGATCGTGGGCCAAACTGTTTCATGCTCTTCATTAGCTTGGGTACCTAACGCACATTTGATCCACCTTGCAGATGTTGGTCGAGACATACTGCACCTTTGTAATACAAGACCCGGCATCTCTCCTATGATTTGCCAAGAACAGCGCCACTCGCCCTGGCAGCGAACCGAATAGAATCTCTACATGAGGTAACACCACCATACCAAGTCCCGGCAAGTAGCGTATGCATTTTTAAGACAGGTGATTCAATAAAGCGTAGGGTATGGCTGAATCTTGACGGCAAATCGGAAAAGGGGGGGGAGACAGAGGGCTGGCGGTAGCTGAATGTTCCCGTAGCTAACTTGTACGAGGCGAAAATAAATAAGCTCTTCAAGGCATGGATTGCTGGTCCGAAGTTGCACACATCTTAAATGTCTGAGACTCTCTGCAGCCATGAAAAAAGTCTAGATGGTACTGACATACTCTATTTCTCGTAGGCAAAGTCAATGTTCGCTTGGTATCCAATCCATTTTCACTCAATTTGCATTCAACTGGGATCTACCATGTTGATACCAGGCAGTTTGAAGGGCCAGTTCAGGCTATTAGCGAAGATTAAATGATAAGTAGAGGTAATACAGGCAGTGAGGAGCCTTCATCCGATACATGACATGAGCGTAACGTAGCAATTAAGCAGAAGCGGGTACGGAGGAAGTATTAGCACCACCTCATCTTTTGTCTCGACCGATGCCGTCTGATTTTTTGCTTTGGTTAAAATAGATAAACAGTTCGTATAGAAACCTTTGATCAAAATTAATTTGGCGGCATTTTGACAATCCCCCCCCCCCAAGTCAAACTCGACTGCTTCACTATAGATAGGTAGTGATCAAAGTAGATTTACTGGGAGATGCCTGACAAATAATTTAAGAACCGATATATTATAGTCTCATACTGTGAATACGGCATGTACTATGTCATTGAGAAACGCATCTCTGATCCAATTCTCCCAAGTCGTGTCTCGAGTGGTTGCATCTCGTAATATCTTCACGTCACTCACACGAGGAGAACCAGCGCCCATTGGCTCCACGTTTCTGCGGCTAACCACTTCGGCGCGGTAATTCCCGGGAGAAAGGGATTGCTTATGCCGGATATCTGCTTTCCTCCACACATGATGGCGTGCAATGCCACTGTCGGATCGGCGTTGAGCTATCTGAGCAGCACGATCCTGTATGGTTGCGAGACATACAGCTGTCAGGATCTTAAACATCCTAGTTTTACATGCTACAAGTAGGCAGTAGATATGAAATGCTGTGTGTGACTGCATGGTGCGGAGAAGGCTAGTGATTGAGATTACATGTTTTCAATCAAGAGCTGGGCCGAGTTTGGATCCAGAGGGGGGGTGCTGTCGAGTCTTCATTAAATGACAGATCACAAATGTGTCAAAGCATTTCCCCTCTGTCATAAAATTTCTATTATTATAATCCTTGACTGCAGATAGAAGCCAATGACTGAACTTCTACGCGTCAACAAAGGCTTCCATACATGCTTAGCTGCTGCACCCAAAAGTTCCACAGCAGAAAACAGGAACACGAGAAGGAGACTATTGATATTATTCGGTCCTATGTGTGCAAGCACTTGTTGATATATATTGGTGAAACACACCTTTCTTAGAAGTGCTGTGACGTATGTGAAAGGGCATAGAGCGAGCCCCTTTTCCCGAAATCTTGCGTCCGTAGTTGGCTGCCAGGGCCCATGTGCTCCCGGGATTCTGTGCATGCTCCCATGACTTTGTTTCTTAGGAAAGTATGTATGCTGTATGGCAAAGTACCATATATACGTATCGTTCTGAGTCGATTATCGATGTGGCCCCCCAAGATCTGAAGGATGGAAAGCGTGCTACTCAGAGAGATGGCCCCAAAGGAAGAGTCGCGATATTTCATCTTAGCACACCAAGACGCGCCATCGGGACGATTAATACTACTATTTAATTTTGAATTTAATTCCTATACAAATTCTGAGTGATGTCTTCACTTCTTGATACTCGATGTTTAATACTTTGTCTTTTCTTCCTTCTCGCCACTTACACTTTTCACTATATATGCCATCAAATCCACCAGCGCCAAGTTTCACGAGCAAAAGGCTGCAAGGATGCTCAATCCAAAGCTCCAGTAAAAGACCGCTTTATTGGATTTGACTTTATTTACGATTGCCTCTTCACAAAGCCCATCGACAAATATCTCGACTACACTTATAAAACGTTTCGGCAACTGGGACCGACCTATGTATGCCAAAGATGGACATGGGAAGCCACCTACACATGTGATAGCCGGAATATTAAACACATTCTGGCTTCTGGCTTCGATGACTTCAAGCTTCCCCGCCTTCGCGTGAATGCCATGATGGGGCTTCTCGGAAGTGGCATCTTCACCTTGAACGGACACTTGTGGTCACATGCTCGAGCTGTCTTGCGACCTTGTTTCGCGAAGCAGAACAAGGACGACATGGTCAACATGCTTGAAACCCACTTTCAGGCTCTGCTTAGGAGAATCCCTCTTGATGGGGCCACGGTTGATCTACAGCCGCTGTTCTTCTGGCTCACCATGGACTTTGCGACGAATTTCCTCATGGGCCACTCGACGCATGTACTTGATCGCGCGTCCAGCCATGCCAAAGAAAAGCAGTTTGTAGACGATTACTTGACGTGCTCTACGGAGATTGTCAGGAAAATGCAGCTCGGTCCGCTCCAAATGTTTTCATTCAATTTTGCGGCAATGAAGGCACGAAGCCGCGTGTTCCAGTACATTGATGAGTTTATCAGTGCGTCTTTGGACAAAGAGCGAGAGCATGATGAGGCCGCAAACTCTGGACTTAATGTTCTGCAAGGTTTAGCAGCCCTGACAACAGATCGGAAGCAGCTGAGAGACCAGATCCTCCATATACTGGTTGCGAGTCGAGATACCACAGCCTGTCTCCTAAGCAACTTATTTTTTGTGTTGTCTAGGAAGCCGCATATCTATGAAAAACTGAGATACGAAGTTGTTTCAATTGCGGGTACTAAGCCAGCAACAAGCAATCAGCTGAATAGCATGGAGTATCTGAAGTGGTGTGTTCAAGAATGTAATTTCAGGGTGCTCAGTTCGTCATATATGCCATTTAGCTAATGTCGTCAAAAGCTTTGCGACTCCATCCTGTAATTCCGACCAATGCTCGAGAGGCCTCGAAAGACACGATTCTACCACACGGTGGCGGTAAAGACGGCAATTCACCTCTTCTCGTCAAAAAAGGAAACCTCGTCATGTATAATATCTACGCTATGCACCGAGATGCTGGTGTTTTTGGACCTGACCCTGAAGCATTTGTGCCTGAAAGGTGGGATGGACTTAGGCCAGGCTGGGGATATCTGCCGTTTAACGGCGGGCCACGAATCTGTATTGGCCGTAAGTATCGTATGAGAGCTTAAGAGTGTAATGGATACTAATACGCCAAGACAGAAAAGTTTGCCCTCTTGGAAACTCATTATTTAGTATCAAGAATGGTACAGACCTTTGAGACGATTAAGGCAAATGAAGATACAGAGTGGATTGAACTATATGCTCTTGCGACAACTTGCAAGGATGGAGTAAATGTCAGCCTAAAAAGATGATAATATGCGCCAATATCTGTTTAATAGACCTTAGTATGGCGTTTAGGTGCTTGATGATTGTGATAATATACAGTGAGGTGTATTGTGTCTCTGAGCGTGTAGAAATGCATCAGATGGAAACTCTGTAGATCGTATTGTCGGTTAATTTCCTACTTGTGGAAGCGATTGCAATGTATAACAAGCTATTCAAGCTTTTGAATCTAATAGTACCTTCTAGATAAGTCGAGTCTAAATATACCTAGATAATAGCTGCTCTCTCATTCTTCGCGCATGTACTCTCATGAACTGGTGTATGCTTCTTAATCGAGTCAATTTCATTCATGTTCGAAATTGGGAATGACAGATGACTCGGTGTCTCTTTAGCTTACAATCCTCGTCTTCTTATCATCGCCGCTGCCGCCAATGGGTTGTGAATCAGCTTCGATATTACTTCGGCCTGTCAAAGAAGCCTTTCCGCCTAGTGTTATAGCCTCGTCATTAGTACAAATAACCCGTGTAGGGGAGAGTGAAACATGTACTAAAGCCGTAGAGTGCCTTGTTATTATTAGCACCACGCGTACGTTGCTGTTTATTCTACATATATGCGCCTTGATTGCGATTCATTGCAATTCCAAAGAAAGTGCTCTGTATCCTAAGAAGAATGCTTCGCAGCCACCTGGACATTTGCTTGATGGCAGATTCGGAAACTTAACAGTGTCAAACCTCTGGGCAGCTTCCCTCATTTGGTCACGTCTACATTCCAGCCAGCGGCGTTGGACGCGACATTGACAAGCCTTTGGGAATGATACCGACAACAAGAATCTAATGACCCGCGAGACAAGTGTTTGACCTACTAGGAATCGCTGATTCGCAAGAATTTTCCTCTCTAGGCTGCAAAGTTGACTATAACATGACCGTCGTCGAAGTCTATACTAGCCTTGCGAGATAATATATACAAAGAAATGGCAATCTTGATCATCTTAACCATGTACAATATCGCAAGATTGCCTTGCTGGGTGCCCGATTGGACGAATCAAGGAGAGATGCCAATACATTTACGGGCTCGAACCATGTCTAGCATTTCTTTCAATTATCCAAGACTAAAGGTCCATCGCCGAGCGCGCAAGATCTCTAGCCAATCTGTTTGAATCCTATTCTGCAACCGCTCTTTCCATAAAACTCGAAGTACTTCCTCTACAGAGACTATATTCATCATCTTGCTGGCCTCCCTCATGCTCTTGAGTTTCGCCACACACAGTGTCATGTCCACCTCAGAGTTCAGTTCAGCACCAGCCAGGAATAGAACCGGAGTCAGAACAGAGACCACCGCACTGGTCGGGGTTATTCTGGAAACAGTGCACATGATTTGCGATGCTATATGTGGTAAACAATACGATCGGCTGGAATATCGCCGATAGAGCAGAATTAGCGCCGCAAGACGATGACAATCAGCAAGTGCGATCAGATCCAAACGGGTGTTGAGGTCTAAAGTCGATGCCATTTCATCGTCGTACTGCCAGTTTGAAAGGTCAGCTTCAAGCTTGAGAAACTCAGGCGCATCCATGCCAATGAACTGCGAATCTCGACTGGGCAAATCTCTCAGCCGAGTAATGATGCCAAACAAACCCCTGGACAACCCAACGAGGCAATCAACGCCTTGAGCGACGTTTTCGCCCTGAAGAAATTCCAAGGGAGGGATGGCCGCCGTCGCAACCGCCCGGCCCAACAGATCCTGCGTCCGTGGTGCCGAGAGAGTTGCGGCGCAGTCTCTAAAGAGACCGCTTCTATTCAACAGATGCGCTCGCGTGTCTGGGTCCAGCACATCCTCCATGATGAGAGCCATCACATCGTGATATAAAAAGTGTCTGTGAACGCAATCCATCTCCCATGCACTCCATTTTTTCGCCGCCGTTGTTGGGTATGTTTGAAGCAATTGCCGTACGCAGTTGACCCGTTGCATCCATCTCAGACCTCGACCTCCTGCTTGAGTCTCTAGCCCAATCAGGAGCAAGAGGACGACAACAACCTCAAGCGTGAACTCTCCCGATTCTGAGCGTTCGGGCCGCTCCGTATGTTCTGTTATGAACTCACGCGCTCGCTGCTGGCGCTGGATGGCCATTGAGCTGAGCTCACGGGACTTTTCTGGTTCGCGTACTGACTTTGCAAGATGAGCCGCAGCACAGGCGATGATGGCATCCATGACCCCGGTGCAATGGAAGACCATGGGAATGTATAGAGACGTGAAAAAGTTGGATGATGACTGGACGACGGTTACTTGAGGAATGAAGGCATGGATGTAGTAGGTCAACAAGTGGCGCTCGAGAGAAGCTTCGGCAGGGCTGGACCGACGTCCAGACGTTGTTTCAACGGCCAAACTCCTTGGTACGCTTCCATGTGCAGTCGTCGATGCTGTCGGATATGCATCTGCTGCCCAACCAACGTCGACATTGCCGGCCTGAGAACTGAACAGTTCCAGATCCGCGGGGGCTGTAGTCGCCGCATCCCGGCTTCTTGGAGCCTTTGCTGCACTGCTGGATCCTGGAATCTGAAGCTTGTCCGGCCACCGGCATTCGGCGTTGAGACGGGTGCAAGTGCGACAAACGGGACGATGAGCGTCGCAACGCTTCCGGCGGGCACGGCAGGTGAGGCAGCCTTGACGGCTTCGCGGAGCATATCGTCTCTGGCGTTGTTGCGGAATCGCATCTTGCTCTGGAGTGCGAGCTGGATGAGCCACGGGCGAGGTGGTGGTTTCTGGCGTTTGCAGGAATGCATCGCACTCCGACTGCAGGCTGAAGGCCCCGTCAAGATCAAACAGGCTGTAGAGGTCGGGGGTGTCCATGGCCGTTGATGCGGGAGATGTATCTTGAATGCCACCTCTCGACAAGACTGCCCGAATCTTCGTGGTGAGCTGGACATGGATGGAAGAGAGGCGATGACTGGGCGTGTATGGCGTTTGCGGCGTCTACGGCGCGGTGCTAACACGACCTAGCACGGTCAAGGATGGTCCCGCCAATTCGCACAGAATGCATGAGATGAAATGGCAAAGGCTCGGTTTATCATGAGTAAAAGCATTACTGTGATGGCATCCGTCATCTGCAGAAATGGTCCATTTCATTTCTGCGGTGTGGTGTCTCCTGATACTCGCTGTATGGATACCTTCTCTATGGATCGGATATCTCGAAGCACTTATCTTTGACAGATGCAGTCGCAAAGAGGATGCCAAATTAAAATGGCTAGACTATGCCGCTCTACACGCCGTTGACGCCGTACTTGACTCGAAGAATGCATGCGGAGGTGAGGAAACGATGTTTACACAAGGAATATACTTGATCATATCAAGTAGATTCCCATTCTCACTTCAACCCTACGTCTCTAGAGTGATGAAACATCGTCGGTCTGTTAGCGTTGCGCATATGAACAACAGCATCTTCGCATCCTCTTACCGAAATATCGCAAACAAGCCCACCATCATCCTCATTGGAATCAATCCAGAATGGGTGAAACCCGTCCCGGCTGCAAAGAGGACTTTTGTTCCGCTAGCCAAAGTGACGATGGAACAGCATTGCCCCAAAACGATAGACATGATACCATGAAGCAAGACTTCGACACCGGTGTCAAAGCTTGGCTACAAGTCCTCGGGTCTTTTTTCCTTTACTTCAGTTCATGGTATGAGTGCACACTGTTGTCTATTCTCAATCTTTGTCTCACGGTTTCATATCCAGGGGAATCATCAACTCCTTTGGAGTGTTCGAAACGTACTATGAGCAACGCATTCTATCACACATGTCGCCGTCATCCATTGCTTGGATTGGATCCGTTCAGTCAGCCCTGCTCATGGTAGTTGGCGTCATTAGCGGCCCGCTCTTTGACGCAGGATATTTCTATCTCTTTTACCAACCGGCACTTTTCTTCTTGTTCTTGGCATGATGATGACGAGCCTCTCAACAAAATACTATTAGATCATGCTGGCACAGGGCATCTGTGTTGGGATTGGAGCTGGCTTCTTGTTCGTTCCATCGGTTGCGCTCCTACCGCAATATTTTCACAAGAGGCGAGCTCTGGCAAATGGCATTGCTGCATCCGGCAGTAGTATTGGCGGAGTCCTTTTCCCCATCATGTTTCGTCAGCTTGAAGTAAAGATAGGATTCCCCTGGGCGACCCGCACTATTGCTTTGCTTTCTCTCGCGACTTGTGTCATTTCCATTGGTGTAATGCGACAGCGTTTCAAACCACAGGAAAAAAGAGCGCTGCTGCAGCTTTCTGCATTCAGAGAAGCTCAATACTCGCTCTTTTGCTTGGCCTGCTTCCTAGGTTTCCTAGGCTTTTATAACTTTCTAGTTTACGTACAGCCTTTTGCGATCGAAACTGGGGTTGTGGATGCTAACATTGGCTTCTATCTTGTTGCAATCTTAAATGCTGCGTCGACATTTGGCCGGTTCGGTCCAAACTTTGTTGCGGATTACGCAGGGTCACTTAATATCCTCTTCCCAGCATTGACTATTACGGCTATTCTAGCATACTGTTGGGTTGCTGTAAACAGTGCCTCGGGAATCATCGCGCTTTCTGCGTTGTACGGATTCTTCTCAGGAGCGTTCGTGTCCTTGATAGCGGTGGTCATGATGGAGATTACTCAGGACATCCGCAAGCTTCGGCTTGGGATGTGCTTTGCACTCGAGTCTATTGGGTTACTGATTGGAACTCCAATCGGCGGGACCATAGTCAATCGTACTGGGTCGTATCTTGGTGTCCAGTTGTTCTGCGGCTCGTGTCTTGCTGCCTGCGCTGTAATTCTACTCAGCGTCCGGTTGTTGCGGAGTGGGCCGACACTTATGTACAAGACATAGTTTGAAGTTTGCGTTGTGTAAGACACAAGATTTCAATAGGTATTTATCCTGCATAACATCAAGATGGAATAAAGCAGATATGCTTAACAGATAAACGGAAAATTTGTCTCAAAGATTCAGGAAAATATTCCGACATCGACGATCACTGACCCGGAGACGCGCGTTACATTGTCGGTGGAAGATCTGATTCCTCCCACGGCATGACTCACAATACAGGACAATTGCTACCATATATCACTTTGCGTGTGATGATGGGAGCTAATGGCCCCTGTTATCCAAGTTGACTGTTTCGCAGTGATGAAGCCAATAAAAACCACAATGCAATCAACAAACGGAATATATCATACTGTAACTCAAATTTTGAACTTGTTTATTATATGGGCCTGGATTCAGAACGCACAGTTACTTTCGTGGCTGATTGTTTTCCATCTTCATTAGTCCATCTCAGGCCACCGGCTACCCACGAATACATGAACAAACAACCCATTATACGATATGACCATTACGAGAAAGACGGCTTATCCCGCAACTCTCTGGCTCACACCAGCTATAGATTGCACCCATTCCACCCTCGAGCGCGTAAACACCTCTGCATCAAATACCGCAGTTGATATAATCCTGCGACTGTCATCCAAAGTTCCAGCCTTGACAACTCTATTGGGCCCGCAATTAGCAGATTCACGCCATATCGTACTACCGCAATCACCACAAAAGTAGCTATTGATAATGTTGCCAGAATCAGCAACTTTATTGAACACTTTTGGCGTACCAGTAGTTACTTGGAATGCCGCTTCAGGAATAAGAAGATTAACACTATAGTTGCTGCCACTAATCTTGCGGCAATCGCTGCAGTGACAGAGAACCTGTGATTAAAGTAACCCCAAGTTAGCCACTTTTATTGTTCTGATCGTCCAAAGGATAAAATAAAAAGAAATACTGACTTTCATTGTCGGTTCTGCGCTATACATATAACGGATGTTGCCACAGAGGCAGCCACCGTTGTAGGCGAGCATCTTTCTACCTATTAGTATGGGCTAGGCGTATGACAAGTATGAGATAACTGCTTTATTTAATTAGCAAAATGTTAAAAGAAAGCAAAGCTGGGTGAGAATAGAGTAGAGATGCCTATCGATGTCTCTTATATACACCCAGAGTAATTTCCTTATGAATCAGCTTTCTTAGTAAATGCATACACGATCGTATTATACATATTTCATATATATACTTATAACCCAAGAAATCGGTACGTAAAAAAAAATTATGAATCACTGGCTGAATCGATTGCTTTAGATCAGACTAGCCAGCGACTCTGGAACTCCAGCATGGATAGGAAAATCCAAAGACCAACACAAGGTAATCACAGGTGTTAATGGCTGGATGAGTCAATCTAAATAATAGCATTTGGGAAAAAAAAACAAGCATATAGGGCGTGTAGAGCGTGTAGGGCGTATACAGGAGGTACATCTCAGTCCACATTTACCAAGAACATGTCACTTCCACAGAAGCCGATTCAAAGAGTTATAACCATGAAATTCGCAAGCAAAAGCTATAGTCTCATTATTTTATCATCTCGTTATTCCATTATCCTGCAACGCCATGGCCTCAGTTGCATCAAAGTCGCTGCGTTTCCTGCGTAAATTCATCTCCAACCACCTTATAGAAGACGTCATCCCGAACACGAACATCCACACGGAATTCCATATCTCCTGGACCAGAGACAATGCGAGCCGGAGGCATCTTGATCCAGTCAATCTTGGTCTTGTCGAGGCAGCCAAACCTGCGATCCACCCAGACGGTGCCAGGCCGCCACTCCGCCTTGTAGTTGGCACTCCATTTCATCCGGACGGACCACATCCCGTTGGCCAGTTTCGTAAAGTGCTTGGCCTCGAAGCCGTTTGTGAACAGCTTGCCCTGACCGAATCCCTTGAGGGAGAAAAAAACCGCTGCGTTCCAGACCATGTTGTCCTGCGCCATGTTGATGAAGACGCAATGCTTTTCCATCAGTTCCAAGGCGTCATTTAGCTGGGCGAACCTCCGATTGCGTTCTCGGGTCAGCTCCCCCAAGGCGGCATTGTCATCATTGTCTGACTTTCGGGCTGACTTGATCTTCTTAAGCCGAGAGGAGATTGACTTGCGTTCCATGGCCTCTTGTCGTTCCTTTAGCGCTCTTAGCTGTAGGACTTCTTTGACGCCCGTTTCGTATTCGTTGGTGGCGAATTTGGCCAGGAAGCGATAGAGCCGTATGTACTCTTCCAAGTCATCTGTGATGCAGCACCCGTAGATGCCCGTAGTACCCTTCATCGCCGTGAGTACGATTTTGGTGCGGAGCTGGTGGAATATCACGAGGCCGTTCGATATGGCCTCGTCTAGGGTTTTGAACGACCCCATTGGATCTACGGTCGGGGTTGTGAGTTTCTCGATCTCGTTGAGTCTCATAAATTCCCTCATCCTTGTGTTGACGTAGTCTCGGCCATCCTTGGTCGTAAAGCGGCAAGGCTTGCAGCTGGTGAGGTAAGGGCATGTAAGTTCTATTCGTCTTGTTTAGTCCAACTGATGACAAAAGACAAGCGCATAATGGTACAACTGGCTTGAAATAGAATACATACCTTCACCCTTTTGTTTCTCTTTTATGTCCCCAAGGTAGTAGCCTCCCGTTGGGGATGGCATGGCGGGGTACACTTGATGAGGCATCTTGGAGGTGTCGAAGTGAGATGAATGGTAAGAGCTGAGAGAATTATCTGTGCAGTTTGGCAGATATAAAGTTCTGAGCTCTTAATTCGCAAGATGGCTGATGGGGGAAACGAAACGAAACAAAACAAAACAAAACAAAGTAGGTAAGGCGACAGAGCGGTCTTTTATAGGGGCGGGGGGGACACCTTCTGATTGTAAAAGACCAACAGAGGTTTTATTTTACTTTCACCATTGCTATAAGATGAACAGAAAAGCTAATGATGAGAATTTAGACTAGTTTTACAAAGTTCTCTAGATTTCTTCGAGATTTATGTTGCAGCGCTTTGGTCTCAAATGTACATGATGTAGATGAGACTTCGATATATGGTTTAGCCATGTATATACGCTACCAACTGTGGTGAGATAGTACGAATGCGGAAATTATGTACCAAGTCAAACATATTTTCGGCAGTAAGTTCAAGGTTTACTCTGGTACCATCGGCCTAGATATTTATACATGCAAGTATTCGTTCGTGGTGGTGCAATTTGATCGAATTCTGGGTGTATTTATTTGTCTATAGTCTACCTATTAATCCTTCATTCTTCTTTTTCGTAACCCCCAACGTGATGCCTCGCATGGTAGCAATCGCTTGAGCGCTACTTAATATTTACAAAAGAAATCAGCAGCAAAGCTGTACAGGACAGCTATTGCCACGAGCACTGCGAAGGTTGTTTTTTTCCGGATCCAGGTCCTCCTGCGATGAAGACCTTGCCCTAAGTCGTAGTCTTCAAAGCTTCAATAGCTTCAGCGTGTTGGCTTTTTGAAGCGTCCCTCTTCCACGAAGGCGGGAATGCCGGGGAACATGGCTGTGAGGCCCAGCAAGCGACGTTTGGTGAGGGCGTCGAAGGATATCATGTAGCTCCACCATTCGGTGGTCCAGGACGTTTCTGATACGTTGTTGAGCTTGTTCACAGCACTCTCCTCATTGCGGATGGACTTGTCTTCGACTTCGTATTCGAGGCGGACGATCACTTGTTGGACACTGCGGAGAGGTGTCGTCAATATATTGGCCTTCCCCAACCCAGACCTACCGGTCGCAAGAAAGAAGCACTCGAGGTAGCGTCAGAAGTAGTCAAAAACATTGAGTAAAAGATGTTGTTGTAGGAAACTGCTATCGGAGTGCATCAATGTCAGCATAACGTACATATATATTATATAGTTCTAGTAATAATCAACTTCCTAGATTACACTTAATCCAATCAACAATTCATTTATTATTGTTCAATGAAAGAAACTGAGCAAATAGTCGACGAATACATCACTGTCAACGTCGCGGAGCATCAGGACTCAGCTTCCAGCACTAACAATGCATGGAGCACCGACACTGTCACTGAGAATCAAGACTCAGATTTATCATCACCACTCTTTTCAGTTCCCAAGTTACATTTGCTTGTTTGCATTCGATCTCAGCGCCTTTGGTATTCTAGCTTATTCTCCTTGTTCCCTCATTTCCTTCATTCTTCTTTTTGCGGTCCCCACGTGATCCCTCACATATAATATCTCAACTCACAGATATTGAAGAGTTCGTTGCCTCGGCATTAAGGCGTAAAAGCTTAATGGGGAAAATAGAAATGCCGAAATGGCGTTCAGACGGATACCAGATACGAGACGAGGGGGCAAAACGGACCGAGCTGTGACTTATCGAGTCGAGTTTGATGGGAAATTTACTGGGCCATTTCTGCTTCTAAGTAGTATCGCGAAGACTCTAGTAGATGGAAAGTTTGCTATTTACTAAATATGGTATAAAACAGACTCTAGAGGTATTTCTATAGTACATGTATTTGTATATTTATACAACAATCAAGGTTCATTCATCTCTACGTAAAGTTGTACTCGCAAGTATAGCCTGTTACGCCAGCCCCTTATATCCTCCTTGCATTATCCAAAAGCATATAAATCCACAAACACCACACGTTTGCACCCAAAGAGTTTCTAAAAATCCAGCTACTCATTCCAACACAAACCGTCTCATAATTTCCTCTTTATAGGAATTCGTCACTTTCCACGCCACCGCCGCTATCACAAAAGCAAGCAACGACATCCCGCTGAACAGGATATTGATGCCCACCAGGATAAACTTCAGCACCGTATTATCCACTTGTATGCCTCCCATCCACATAAAAGCTGCAGTAACGGCGGTCAACAGAAGAATAGCGGCTTGGAGGTAGAGAAGCACTATTTCAGAGAGAATGTATATCGCGTGCGCCAGAAACGCACAGAACGAGACGACGAATGCGCAAACGGCTGCCACGAAACGTATGATTTCCAGCCTGAACAATACGCTTGGTTAGTATCCACCATTGGGATTCAAAAAATAGAAATTGCAACGTCAAGACGGGAGGGAAAGAAAAGCATGTATGCAGGCATACGTTTGGCTGGACTCATCACCCAGATCCCCTTCTTCGGCCTTCCACAGGGCCATGCACACAAGCAAGCTCACAATCACCATTGCAAGACTGGTCTGCAACAGCAATACCACCCCGTGTATCCCCGAGTAATGGGCGCGAAACCTCTCCATTTTTTTCATGTATTCCAGGAATTGTAGCGGCGGATCTTCTTCGTCAGCGTCACCTATTGTAGAGCTGGGTAAGTCCAAACTCGGCCAAGAAACTGGAGAGGCGACATTGCTTGCAGCCTGAGACGTGGCCATTGTGGAAGTGGTTGCCATGGAGGTTATTCGTACAGTCTCAGAAGAAAATGTGCGCTGAGACGGATGGCTTGAGATAATGGGGATGATGCCTCAGCGAAAGCAACGTATGATATAAAGTTGTATAGCAAAAAGAAGATGGAAATTGGAAAAGAAAAAGGGAAAAAAAGGAATATCATAGGAGCAAAGTATAGGGAATCAAGGCGTAACCGAGCAAACCTATATATAACAAAGTTAGAAGCCAGTTGTAGTTCGACAGCCACCAGCTGGTTTATCACGACCTCAAAAGAAAAAGTATAAGTCTGAGCTCTCCACAAGTGGGGAAATGATAACATTCTATTTGTTACAAGAAACAGATTCATCATTCTTCATAGAAGCAAAGGTATCAAGGTATATATGCCGATACCGTATCCGCTACTCCCGCCAAATCCAGAAACCCGCTAGCCATGCTGCCACGACAAAAAAGAGGACTGTTGTTACATTGAAAAAAAGAACCTCAAGCCATGTACCCCCCTCCCGAAAAGTCAAGTGTTTGTTGAATCCCCATTCGAAAGCAAGTAGTCAAGTGGGCGTCCCAATAGCCCTTTATTCCAAACTCATACGTGCTTCGTCGCCAATACCCCACTGGCCGCCCTCTTTGCCTTGCTTTTGCAGCTCAAGAGCGACTGAGAAGCCTAATCTACTAGGATCATCTTCCACAGCGATGTCACTAGCCACGTCGCTGGTCCTCCTTGGCCTCTGGCTGCCACTTCGCCGTTTCTCTTGTTTCTGACTGTCCAGGCGGAGACTATCCCCCGACTGGTTAGTTGTGCGCCGTCTCAACGTTGGCCAGAACCGCGATGACGTTGAATGTAGCGATACTGCATCGTCTGCAATCTTTGTGCTCAATTCATCTGGAAATTGGTCTTGGTCTTCATCCGGTTCGACAATCATGGGTTCGGCCCGCATCTTTTCGTTGGCGGTGCTGTAGGACGTGGTATGAAGCGTGGATGAAGATTCAGTAGCATCGAGCTCGTGAGCAAGCTGAGATTCATCCACTTCCACCAGTTCAGCATCGCGATACCACTTTCGGCGGCGCGTCCATCGACCCCAGCCATCTAATCCGCGCCGTCCATTCTGCCACTATAGGAATATATATTAGTTTGACTAATGGTAGTCCAAAAGGCTAGAGATTCGTCAAGTTACCTTGTTATCATAATATATCCACCCATTTTTGCCTTCGGGGCCATCGTAATCCACCGCTCCTTGCTCATCAGGCACGCCGTCGACTCGCCATCGGCTGCCTTCCACCCATCGCCACCGCATTCGACTTCCATCCTCGACTTCAGGAAGTTCAAATTCATCTCTTTGAGGCACCGCGTTGTTGTGTTCGTCTGTCCACGCAGGTCGTTCGTATGCGAAAAGACTGGACGTCCACCCCAAGCCGATCCACCGCCGCTGATTTTCGTATATGATAAATGTGAATTTGACGCCGGCGCTCTTACCGCCCTGTGCGGCACCGTTTCGGCGACGGCTCACTTGTAAGGTAGAAGATCCCAGAAATGATGCCTTGCTCATTTGCGATTCTTTTTCCTTTGCGCCGTCTTTGCCAGAGGCGGACTTGGGAGGACTTTCAAAGTGGAGGCCAGTAATGGCTCCAGCAAGTTTTCTAACAGTTGCGCTTCTCCAAATGATAGTTCTAGAAACTCGCATCACTCTAGCATGCCATGTCAAAACAAGTGTTCCAGCAAGTAGCACAACGCGTCTTGTTGTGATAATCTTGAAAGGTGACATGGTCAAAGCCACCCAGAATGGCGTCACAATAAGAAGACGCATAAACATGGCTGTAAGAGCTGGCCGAGTGGTTGCGCTGGTAGGGGTTCGTTGGGTGCTTAAAAAATCGGTCATCTCGAGAAGAGGGTCCATCAGAACATTGCATCTGCCAGTAAACTCTTTAAGTGTATCGACAATTTCATCCAACGTTTTCTGATGCTTTGTATTGGTGATTTCGGATCTAGCCCTGGTATGGCCCGGCTGCTTTCCGCTTGGTGTCTCCTCTAGATGACTGCTACCATTGGCTCCATTCTTTTTGGAGGCGGCAGCATCTTTGGTTGCCCGTGCCGGCTCAGTCCAGCCACTGGTGCTCAAAGGACTATAACGTCGGCCATACATGCCTGCTATCAGCCCCATGCCGACGACGATGGGGCCGGCTCTCATGAGCACTACATCGCCATATAGAACGACGGCCCAAAAGGCAGACAGCAGCAGGAAGCTCTGCCAAGGATCGCCAGTGCTCCATGTCAGCAGCCCGACGAAGGTATTCAGCGGCAGTAAAAATGGATGGCTATAGGCGAGTGCGCGCGTGATCTGCGGAGGGGTGGCTAGGAGCAGCGGGCTCTTCTGATGGACCAGGACGGTAGATCGACGGCTATTCCTGGAGGGAGTCGTCGCCGAGAGCGTGACGGGGGAGAAGGCAGCGTATGTCGGGGGAGGGGTGGCGCCGAGAACTGGATGCGAGTCGAAGGATGGCGGCGAGGCGCCTAGAGAGGAGTCGTCGCGCGAAGACATTGGCTGGCCAAGCTGTGAGATCCACGGAAGGTCCTGCGAGTCGAAGTGCGCCGCAAAGGGCCAAAAGTCAGCAGTAGTCGCGGGAGATGTCGCATGAAGATGAAGAACAGGCGCAAGGCACCAGCAGCGAGATGGTTCAAGACGCAACGGCACGCAGCGAGAAGACGCGGCCAGGCATCAGGTCTGAGCTTTCGCGCAAATCAAATCGTGGCGTCGAGAGAGCTGACAAGAGACACGAGCCAGCTAAGCCGAGTCTTCATGACATCACTCCAACGAGCCCTATAAAAAAGTGCGGGTTGCCGATCCAATGACGGGCAGCCTTGCATGAGAAAGCATAAACGAAAACAGGGCAGAACAGGAAAAGAACGAGCTGATCCCAACAGCTGGACAATGAAGTAAAAAGGACAGAAAAGCAGGCCAAATTAAAATTGGAATATGGGAGATTGAAGCCTCGCAGGGGAGGCGTACCCGAACCAGCGTGTCATGCCCAGCCCAGGATATGAAAGCGCTGGGCAGTGCTTCAAACAGATGATGATGCAACGCAGCAAACACCCTCAGCAAGGGAGGAAACTCACAATGGCAGCCATCTAAGGCAGTTGAACGTTCCGTCGCCTCCGCCTGTGGTCGAGCACCCCGGCAGCCCAAAACGTCATTGGGTGGTCGCGAACGGCCGCGTATCTGTCGGAAGGGAGCTGTGCGGCGCTGCGATGGTGACGGCGGCGTTGCTTTCACATGAACCTCAAGGCCGGGTGGAACATGAGCAGAAAGGAATAAAAGGAAAGGAGCCAGAGCAGACGGGATCGATTAATACTTGTACATCCCACAGGCACAAGCACCGGGAACGGGGGTCAGCAGTCTGCATCTTGTTTGTAGCTGAGGATGACAGCGGGCGTGGCCACGTGAGACCACTTGAATCGATTTCACATGTGAATCCTGGGCAGCATTCCCGACGGTAGCGGTGCAGAGCAGGTAGCGGGTAGCGGGTACCTAAATTGCGGTGAGGGGAGTGGCCAGACAGGGGTACTGAGTACATTTTCACCCCACCGCCTACAGCTACCAACAGCGAGGCGCTGAACAAACACGAAAACGCAGCTGGCAGGGGAGCGCCGTCAGTGCCTTGCAGCGCTCCATACGAAAGCCTAGACAGGCGGTGATGCCCCGTAGCTCAGGGGGTCTTAGCGGCGGTACATCACTGGAAGCTGCACTTGGCAGGGTGCCCCAGGACTTGTTCGGCTGGCAGCGAGTGCCAAATCTGGGGAAATCCTGGCTGCAGAATGCAGGGTCCCGCTGCAGTACATTGGCACATTCACACGAAGATGAAGCATGCACAGAAAGAAGCATAGAGAGAAAGAAAGACGTTGATTTTATAATTATTTATTTTAACCCAGAGTGATTGTTATCCCAAATTCCCCAAAAGTCCTAGTCGAACGCCAAAAAAGAGCGATATCCATCTTCAGATGCCACGTCGGCGTTCTCTTGCGAGCAGTAGTGTATTGTATTGATTGATGTTGTTTAGCAGTGCGTGCTGTAACAAGCCCAGCTATCGTTTATTAATAGGAGCAGTTTGAGCAAGAGCCTGTAATGCGTGTTCAATTAGTCAGATGCTCCATCTATGGCTGATGTCAAAGGCGGAGACACATACAGCTAGAGCCGCAGCCGCAGTCGGCAGTGGAAAAGCAGCCACAGTTTCCCCGGTGCATGTTGGATGAGGAGTTGAAGAAAATAGTAGTGATTTGGTAGTAGGAAGTGGAAATGCTTGTATTTACTTGTTTGTTTGCTTGGTGATGGCAGATTGGAAATTGCACAAGAACAGAACTCGCTGGTCTTATATACATGTTCCCAGCGCTGCGTTGTTTGTGCCGAGCTATTTATGCCGCGCTATTTGTGCTGAGCTGCTTGTGCCGCGCCATTTGTGCCATTCCCAGGCTTTCTAAGCCAAGATGCGTGGTTTGTGCCGCTTGTGGCGGTGGCGGAAACCACCACTCGACCTCAGCTCCATCATTCTAGAAGTCTCCCCAGATGGATGTAACCACGTCTCCATCATCAATCTTGCGATATGATCCATGCCCATATTGTTTACCTGATTTTTAATGATTCCACACAAACTCAAATTACCAGATTCCGTCTTATCAATCAGTGGCCATGTCCCTCGTGGCCCTCCTCCTCGTCATCCCCTGCCCAATCCGGAAACCCATCCTCAAACAGCTCCTCTAGCATTTCTCTCCTTTCTTCCTCCTCTATGCCGTCTTTCCTCATGACCCCTTTCCAGCTCTCATACTCATCATCCGTAAGCAGACACGCATCAAGCATCTGCTCCAAGCCATCATGATCCAGGCCCTCTCCGATAAACACAATCTCCTGCCGTCGGTCTCCCCACTCTCCCCCCTTGGCAATGTCATGCTTGACCAAGGCATCGACATCCTCGCTTCCTGTGGTGTATTCCTCAGCGGGCAAGGTGCAGAACCAAGCTCGCCCGCCGGTGAGAGTGAGCATGGCACCGGCTTGAGACCATTCGCCCGCGCGATGTGGTCTCGTAGCGAGGAAATACTCGCCTTTGGAACGGAAGAGCCGAGCCAGTGTTGGATGAGCCCTCTTGTTGGCTAGAATAGCTTCATTCGAGGGCATAACCATGTCGAGCTCCATAGAATTGCTGTCTTTGCTGTCATCGTGAAGAGACGGAGCGGTTGCAGGAGTTGAAGGGGCATGAGAGGGAGATGATGAAGAAAGTTGCTCGGTGATGTCTCCTGAGGAAGACTCAATGCTTGTGATATCCTCGTAGTCTACCATCTCAGCATCCTCGGTATCTGATCCTTCTTGTTCTTCACCATCCTCTTCGCCATCGTCATCTTCCTCCTCATCAGGGTGTTCCATCTGCAGGATAAACTTATCGTACACCAGAGCATATAGTTTTCTCGGGTGAAATGGTCGGTATCGAGTATAAATAAAGCTTTGAACATTATACTCTTCAGTCTCAGGCTTAGGCGTCACAACATTCTTGCCATTGACCTGTATGGCAGGATATCTTGGTCAGACTAAATGGGGAGAAAATCCTGAATGCGGCTGGGAGCATACCTCGCGAACAGTCATGGCATGCAGATCCTGCAGCCAACCATACCCTGATTGTGCAACTTCAAGTTTGAAGAGCCCAGTGTTGACTAGCTCTTTGACATCCACTTTGCCATACTTGGACTCCAAGATCTTGGCGCGATGGTTTAGCTGCTTAACGAGATCAAGGATTTTGGCCTTGACCTCATCGTTTACCTGACCAGTCGTTGTTAATACTTCATCAATATAAATTCTTGCTGCGTCTAAACTTTACCATATCGATCTTGTTCAAGATAATCACATCAGCAAACTCAATCTGGTCAACCATGAGGTCCGATACAGTTCTCTCATCTTCTGGAGTAACATCGTCTCTTCGACCAGATAACAAATCCGCCGTATCAAAGTCATTGAGCATAGTGAAGGCATCAATGACTGTCACCGTGGTATCCAAGCGAGCAAACTTATCAAGTCCACCAGCTTGCTTCCTATATCACCCCATCAGTACATTAGTGGGAAAGAAGGAATAATAAGTCCCAGTTTAAGCTTACAGCTGGTTCAATACTTTGACCATGTCCTCATCTAAGCCAGCCGTACCCTCGCCCTCGGTCATCAGACTCATCTGTTCCGCCAAGCGCGAATCAAAAGTCTCGGCAACCTGTTCCGGTTCGCTAATACCACTGCTCTCAATGATGATGTAGTCGAACTGTTGTAGCTGGGACAAACGCACAAGCTCTTCCAACAAGTCTCCTCTCAGTGTACAGCAGATGCACCCGTTTTGGAGCGCGATGACTTTTTCTTCAGTCTTGGTAAGACGATGTGTGCTTTTGATGAGAGAGGCATCGACATTGATTCTATACGGATATCAGTATTTTCCTCTTTGCCTGTCCATTGGCTAATATCATGATCCTTACGCTCCAATGTCGTTCACAATGACGGCTATGCGAAGGCCATGATTGCTTCGCAAGATATGCTGTAGGAGTGTAGTCTTGCCCGCGCCCTTGGAGAGAGTTAGTCCACGTAAACCAAACCATATTGAAGGCAAAGCAGGTGGGTCAGCTTACCAAGAAGCCAGATAAGAGTGTCACAGGAAGAGGTTTGGACGGCACTACAACATCTTTCTTTGAGCCTCTTCGACCTTTACTGCTCTTCGCTTTGGAAGTTCGTGGTTGGCCCATTGTGACAAGAAGTGAGTAAGGAGAGTTGTAAACGTTTCTTTTTTTTAAAAAAAAAAAAAAAAAAAATTTAAGAACGGGAACCTCGGTATACCACATTATATACTATAGATAATGAGAGAAGAGACAATCTGCAGTGAGCCATCAAGGTTGCAAAACCCGTAACCATCAGGGTTGTTGGTGATAGTGGAGATACCCTCACTTACATGCAGTCATTACATACACTAGTGCTCCTATTGGACGGCTTAACGCAGCAAGGAATTCGCTCTTTGGTCTTATCACAAATGAATACTATTGTATTTTCATCTGAGCATCTCGGTGTACCGCCGCACATTCAAAAAATTGCTATGCTATCAATAAAGAATGACTGTATATGCGTCCCGTCCATGTCAAGCAAGGTTCGACACCCAAACTGGTAATATCTGTCTGAAGTCTGTGTACCTGAACAAAAGAATACCTATTCATGAATTCATCCCAAAACCAACCGTAAACTCCACATCGCGCAGGCTTGCTCAGCAAATCGCAGGCAATGTATGCAAAAGCTCAATGCATTCCAAATTCTTTGCCAAGCGGACATATGCACATATCGTTTCACACTCACATAATGCAACAATTTCCCGCATTCAAGCCGTATCCCGCTTGGCACTGCTCCAAGTAGCCTGCATCTTCAGGGTTGCCTTCAGCGACATTGTACTTCCGCACCAGACCTTTGATCGTCAAAGTCTGTTCTCCTTCGGGATGCCACCACTTTAGGAGCTGAAGCAGTGTGCCCTGACTGTTATCAAAGTTGATCTCCCATCTGCCGGCTGAGACTGCGACTTCGCTTTCCTGCTTGGGGAAGTGATATTCGGGAAGGAAGATTACAGTAGGTGTATCGTCAGCCGCAGCCTGAGCAGCGGAAACTTTGATGTTAAAGGTACATTTACGTAAATCAAAGCCAGAAGAGATTAATTTTCCAGCCACAGTTGTCGGTGTTGGTCGAATAAAGGCTTCTGCGGCTCGATAGCCAGGAGCATTTGTCAATTCTGGGTCCTTGTCGGAGGGAGCAGAGCTGATCGATGGATTCGTAAGTGTTCGTTGAAGATTTCCTGGAGTGACGCCCACTTCTTCCAAAGTTTCTGCTGTCACAACAGCAGAGCCAGCTTTGACCAAGCTGGTGGACGACTGGTCGAAAGAAGGTTCACTTAGTATAGATGATGTAGCAGGAAGCTTATCATCGACTGAAATGATGGACAAATCTTCACCGTTCCATTGGTCTCCTCTTTCATGGTCGTTTGTGCTGGAATAGACCCAGAGACAGTATCCTTCCATTCCTGATCCTTCAGCCGCAAAGTAATTGGCATCTAATGCAGCTGATTGGCTGGAATAGTCTCCCGTCTTGTACGCTTTCTTGTCATCCATGTCGTATGGAATACCAAACTCTGTCATCAGACAGGGATGGTTACCCATCCGATCAATACCCTCTTGCCTGAGAGTTGCTAATTGGTCCCTTAGACAATTTCGAATTGCCGTCTCGCCGATTTTGATAGCAAAAGCGGGATGCCAATACTTCCCTCGCAGGACACCGACGACATCGACATTCCAACTGCTATTCCAATGCTTCGTCATGAGAGTAATGCCATCATAAAAGTGCGGCGTAAAAACAAGCTTTGGGTCATCATCCTCGGTACCCTTGATCTGGGGAGGGAGCTCCAGAGTCGGATATTGCATCAGCATGATACAGTCTTTGTGATGATCTCGGCACGCCCGTTTATATTTCCTCCAAAAGTCCATAAAATAGGTATTCGTGAATTCTGGATAATCAATCGTTTTCCCAGTATTAGGATTTTTGGCGAAGTAATCCTTCCTCAGGATGGTGTCCGTCGCGATGTCCCAAACGCCATGCTGCGCCCAGATGCACTCGCCCAACTTCCATCCAGCATCGCGCTTCCATCCATACCTTGAATCGTCATACCCTTCGGGTAACCATGCAAATTCGCCGTGCGGGTCGACGAGCTTGGTTCCTGTCTTGTAAGGACCGAGTCCTCCCATATCCCAGGTATCGATCTCGCATGCTCTGCCCATTCCCGTGAGGAAAGTCTGCCACATAGTTGGGCAAGTTCCCTTTTTGAGAGGATGCTCTTTAGGAATAACGGTCAAATCGGCGTAGCCAGTCATGCCTCTGTTTGGCTCATTCATGCTCTCCCAGCCGATGACGACCTCGTTCTCGAGATCCCCCGCCTCATGAATGCGCTTCGCAAGATGCGCGCATGCGTTGATAAAGTGGCCCTGCAAGTAATCTTGGATATTCACGCCATCAATGATGCATTTCGGAGCAAAATCCTTGCCAGCAAAGAAAAGAGTGAATATTGTCCCGGCAGCAAGTCGATAGTAGTTGGTAGACCAGATCATCTTGGGGAACTGGTCGGGCTCGGGATATGTATTGTGAACAATCGAGGCTTCTGTTGCTGCGAAGCTCTGGGGATTCAACCCGCAGGCGTAGAGCGTCCACATGGGGGCTCCAGAGCCGCCGGTAAACCTTGACCAGACGTCCTGGTGAGGGTCCATGAAAACGTAGAAGCCATAGTGTTTGGCAATTCTCAGGATCTCAATGGTGTGCTTGATGTATTCCTCGTCGTATATCCCCGGCCCGGCCGCCTCAATGGCCTCCCACGTAAACAGGTATCGGATCGTGTTGAAGCCAAACCGCTTGATTCTCGCAAAGTGCATCGGAGCGTCTTGTTTGCTAAAGGGCCGCTCGTGGAACGTCACGTTGTCGCCATCGAAGAAGTCGTCGCCCACGTGAGAGGGCTGGTTGGGTTCGCTGGGCAGTTTGGTGTCTCCAGCGACGTTGATGCCGCGGAGAACGACCTGCCGGCCCTGGCCATCGCGGAATTGGCCGTCTTCGATTGTCAGGCGAAACGATGCCATGATAGCCTTCCGCAGACAATATAGAGCAGTGCGATGCAACGCACTCCTCGACAGCGACGATAAGAGATGGAGTCAGTCCCGGGGAAAGTGACAGACAAAAGGCTGGAGTGGATGACAGACAGTGGTTTGCATTGGGGCCCGAGTAGAGTATGTCACAGGCGCCACTGCAGTAACAGATGGCGGTCTCGCAGTCGCCACAGCGGTGCAGAATAGGCATAGCGCGCGCAATTACCCACAGCGGGCGTCGAAGCCCCGATCTCGTCGGATTCTCCAAATCGGCAGATCCGGCCGTGGAGAAGATGAAGCCGCCCGATGACGATCGCGAATACGAAAGTCGAAACTCAATTCTGGGTGCATGCTATCGCGATTGGCATATTTGTAGTTGATGGCTAAAAGAGCAGCAGGTTGGCAGTCTGGGGTCGATACAGGCATTCATCATGTTCAGCTGCATGTACGCATCACCAACAGCACTCTGCATCAATCAATATTAAATTTCATGAAACAAACTACCCCACTAAGATATTACTAATTTCCATCTTCTTTCCTCGTTATACATAGCACAATAAACATTACACATCTATCAGAGTTAACATGAGATCTCTTCATCGCTTCATCCCTCCCATTACGCCCATCTAAAATCGGGTGCTCACAGGCCCGGCGTTGTTTGTTGCCTTCAAGTCATATTCGCTGGATTTGGCCCTCGCCTTGATGGGGGGGAATTCAAAACCGCGATTCTGCGCTAATTCCACCGCCTCTGGGACTGTTGGCTCATGATAGCGTCCTATAGCATCAGCAGCCCGGAATGGCGACAAGTCTTCGCAATCTGCTGAACCCCAAATCATGTCTTCATAGAGCTCCGGCTTAGGCTGCTTGCTTCCAAAGATACGATGTCGGATTAGCCACGGGAGGTGGTCGCATAACTGGTAGCGCATGAACTTTTTCTTGGAAACAGCAAAGATGTGGTCCAGCTCTTCGAGAGTGCGACGCTTTGTCTCTTCGACTAGCAAAAAGACTAAAACAAAGGCAACGACGTTGAGAACTGCGAAGAGACATAATGCACCAGCTGCTTTGATACTTGAATCAACGCTTTATAACGATTAGCTCCAGTTGACCCATTGTTAGACAGGCGTCTTCGACTTACACTGGGAAGCCGATTGACAAGACACCGGCAAAGGCGAAATTGATGGAAATCGCCCAAGACGTTCCCTAATATACAAAAGAGATTAGCTAGATAAAGCATACAGGTAGTTTGGTGGTGGCAACTGACTGCTTCTCTGTGGGACAAAGGAAAGCTTTCTGACGCGAGAGTAAAAGGGATCGGTCCTAAGCCCGGAGAATACGCCGCTGAAAACACTGTATGACCATTAGATCGATTCCCAGTAGGAATTTAATGACGAATTATATACGTACTGAATAAGAAAAAGGCAGCAACGCCGATTCTAATTCTTGGGGTCTCAATTGTAAAAGCCAAGCCTGCACCGAGCATGAATAGCGCCATGAAAGGAAGCGTTGCCAGCAGCCATTTGCGTCTGCCCAGCGTATCGATACTTCTCACAGCAGGCAGTGCAAACAAAAAGTTGATCGCTCCTATTGAGTTGAGTCGTTAGCTTGGCAGACTATGATGTGAGAGGCCAAGAAAGGATTGTTTACCGAAGCCAAGACTATACGACATTGATACTATTTTCGAGTATTCGCCGCTACTGCCAACGCTGGTGAAGAGGAATCCTGCAACTTGTTAGTATTCTCAAAAGAAACTAAGCGCACTGACCTGGCGTGGAATTTACCAGAGTAGAAAGCCATAACATTGACTGCAGCAGAATTAGTACTTGAAACCACCAAAAAAAAGTCACCATTTTAGGACTGTCTTACTTCCACAGAGCTGCTGAGCCAAATTCACAGTCGAAGCAGAGATCAGAGCATTGTACAAACGTCTCTGCTGAAAAAGCTGCATATACTGTCTAAGAAAGTCTCGGATGACCCAAAAGAATCCCGGCGATCGAAACGCGTTGGCGTCTAAATTGCCTAGACTCATGGACTCATTTTCGAGTGACTTATACACGAGATACATGTCCCGTAGTGCTTGTAGCTGTGAGTCTTTATTAGCCATTTGCGAATCGCGCCGCACGGGACCAAAGGCACTACGAACCTCAGTGTTTCGCAATTTTGTCATACTGATGAATGCTTTTTTGACATCATAGTTGGGGCCTCTTGTAAGATGGTATCGGGGAGATTCAGGGCAGAAGAACATGGCAATAATCAGGAGTATCAGGCTGGGTACCATGGGTGCCGCATTGATAAGAGCCAGTGTAGTTGCGCCCGTTTTAGCTTGTGCGAAGATGACATTAAAAGCGAAGCCAATCATGATGCCAAACGCGACCCTTTGAGTATATGTCAGTCAATGAATTGAACGAGAAGCTAAAGCATGCTGTGTACCATAACTGCCACAGCAAGATGGCAGATCCTCGCCAGAACCCAACAGCAGTCTCTCCGGCTAGAATTGGCGTACTGACGGCCTTGATTCCCATGCCTTGGTACATAGTTAGTGCTAGGACAGTTAAAAAAACAAAAAAAAAAAAAAAAAAAAAAAAAAAAAAAAAAAAAAAAAGGCATTTGGTATATATCCAATCAGAGCAGCAATTTGACCTACCAAAACGCTGATGGCTTCTTCAAATGAGTGAGTAGCTGTGGCCAAGCTGGCCTTCATTATCATTAAAAAAAAAAAAAAAAAAAAAAAAAAAAAAAAAAAAGATTGAAGAAAGACGCACCGATGCCGTTAAAGACTCTAACGCCTAGCAGACAATACCAAGTTTTTGAGAAAGCTGCCGCTATGGAGCTCGCGAATATCAACATTGCGGCAGCACAAATGCCTCCACGTCTGCCAAACCAGTAATTGATTGGGAGAGCAAGAGGGCAGCCAATAACTGCGGCAACAAAGAAGGGTATTGCGTTAACAGCTCCGAATTTCCAATTCTCAGAACTGTTGATTTTTAGTTGTTCTCCAAGTCCCCACTGTTCTCTGTATAACCCAGCACCATTAAACGACGATTGGACGAAGCCTGTTGCGAAAAATAGACATTAGACATGGATAGAGTTGGCGGTAGGGATCTGTGCCCACCTTGTAGTAGAGCGGCAATGGAAACTGTGATGATGACAATCCGCATGCCCCTTTCACTAAAGGGAACATCCCTTTCCCGACGCAAAGCGCGCTTCTCATCTTCCGTTAGTTGCACCAAGAGGTCGGACTCGACGTGGTATCCTTCTTTCCTCGCAACTTCGTCATATAAACGGACATCTTTCGCAACTCGAGCAGCACGTATGAGATCCTCGTATGCAATAGACGGTATGTGATTCTCCACGAAAGACCGGACGTCCCTCTGCAATTCTTCATCCGTGAGATGGGCTACTTCTGTTAACAGCTTCTTTTCACAAATATTGGTGTTTTGACAGTCATACCTAGGGGATTTTCAATGATTGCGCTGCCATTTGCGCGTCTACCTCGAGTTTGAAGAGAAAGTCGTCCTTCGTTGCGAGTCGACGCACTCGTATTTCGGCCTGATGAAGCCATCACGAACGGCAGAGTATGTGGCCAATTACACCTGTCGCCCGACAGAGAAATGTTGAAAAGATGTTTCTGACAAAAATGAGCATGAGGGAGCGGGCGACCTGTTATTCGAGTGAATAGAAAATAGCAGCGGTAGTGAAAACGCTCGAGGCACGTAGACGACCGGGCGCCTTGCGCATTTGCCTTGCGACCAACTACATCGTATCAATCCGGCTGTCGCCTATTTACTCATCCAGACTGGTCTGTCGAGGCAAGGTGTATTCCTTCATATTTACCAATCGGGATTTTTGCCTATAGAATCGTAGCACAAGGTGTATCGGCATCAAAGCCCTAACTAAAAAATCAGGCTTTCATGAAAATCATTCGCGGAATTATTAAGAACTGAAAGGCTCGGCTACAAAGGAAAGCGCCTGTATAAAAGAACAATGGGCTGTGCGTGTGGCCGGGCCATGAGGCGATCCCATGCTTCTAGCATTTTAGTATTAAATAGTAGATCTTTTCCTAGCCAGACATATGTAACAACTGCGCGGCAATTCTTTGCACTCTAGGATGGGGCATGTGTCAAACTTCTGTTGGTTGGAGACAGATCCAGCCTGGGTGTAGGGTAGGCTGGTCCCATTTGGAACCTCGCAAGTTATTGACATCACTTATTCTACACTCGCCCAATGGAAGGCGAAACGGGTGTCGCGAACCTATACTTTAATTAATTAGTATAATGATCAACCGTACAATACAATTGTGGCTGGTTTAGTATGGCACTACGGATATCGTGCTACAGAAGTGCCGCAGCAATTAAGAGTGAAGACGCATTGGGTTTTGATGACTCGGACATGGATCCAGAACTCTTTGTCATCCAGCCGACGAAAACAAATGCACGAATACATGTACTACTCTGACCGCGGCATAGGTATTGTCCGGCATTTGCCATGGAGATATAACCGTCTTGCTTTGCTGTCATACCATTTGGGTCTTCTTATCGCAGATACCTCCAACTTTTCTTCTGGAGTGACGCCAACAGCAACAAGCCGGACTCAAATTAGCTTCCAGCGGCATCCAGATTTCTACGGGTTGGGCGGACTGATGGATGAAAACTACATGTACTTATGCCTAGTAGAAAAGCCTTGTACTGGAGAAATGGGCGAAAGGATGTGACTATAATCCCTAGGTAGTTACTACCACTGAGAATATAAGAGCATTGGGTACTATTCCTATTGCAAATAATCTTGATGTTTCAAACTCGTGTTCTATCTGAAATATCTATAATTCTATTCAGTTCTGCTTTATTTGATCCTCAAACTCAAGTGATTGTAATAAGATGCACTCTGCATAAGAGTATTCCTATAATATTCAACCTTCTCTTCCCCCTGCATAGCCGCATTAGGATTCTATATAATACAAGCCGAGTAGGCAAAGCGTCTCAAGGCCCGAAGTCATCAGATTTACGCGTCAATAGTTCCGGTATGAATATTTTATTACTGCTGGTACCCAAAAACAGCGGGATAAAGTCAGATGGAACGCGCCAGGCGGATCCACAGTCCTGGACTCTAAACCAGAATACTGAATATATACTGCAAGTGTCAATAGTATTAAGCATGCTTCAATGCCGTAAAAGATGTATCTTTTTTTTTTTTTTAACCGAAAAAGCCACCATACCAATTAAAAGTAGCTCGTCTTTTAGGGCCGCATCCAGAGTCGTTTACTAAACCTTTAGAGTTAAACGAAGCCCGACAGAATTGCTCTCCGGTTCGACCTGGTTTATGTCTGAGACCCTTTGTACCTTGTTGCTGGAAAATCGCGAGACGAAACTTTTTTCAGAATTACTCAGTCTCTAGCAATCCTTGATGTCGTATGATCCTGGGGATGTGGAATGCATACAGCCAGCGGGCAGATTCTGAGACATAATTCCATCAACAGCACATCTGAGACTCATAACATTAATTCCACGGACACTACTAGTAGTTATAATTTTCCGAGCGATACAAGACACTCAATTTTGTCAAATGCCTTTCAATTTATAGACTCTCCTACGATTGTTATAAAAGTGACCGTTAATCCTCACGATCTCCTAATGAATCCAGCCTCGGAACATCCTGAATGCAATTGACTGCATTCCCTACACTCATTAATAATTCGTTGCGACATGGCTGTTATCAGCAAGCTACTGCCTGTGGCAGCTGTCTTGCTAGGTTGCGTGAACAATGCTGCCGCTCTAGCTGTGCGTGAGCCTGTAGACAGGTTGGACACTTACTACCGTGTTGAGATTGGCCCTGGTTTCACAAAGACTACCTCGTCACTGTAAGTTTTCCAAGCATTGGATGATGCGTTTTCTCAATCTAACAGATTCGGTAGCACGGACCTGGCTAGTAAACATGGCTCGGCAGGTATTGGGAAGCGAGGGCAGGAAGACCACGGCCCCGACTGTGATTGCAAACTTCACACAGTATACATGACGCAGCGGGACTTTGACAAGGTCAATCGTAGCGAAGGAGCTATGGACCAGCCTGGCAATGGAAACTCCGTCGAGAGTGATAATGGACCTCGAGGAAAGACTGGTTATCAAGGTCCACGAGGATCTCGGTTTGCTAAGGCTGCTCCTTGGCCGTCAAACCAGAATAGCACCCAGGTAGTCCAGAATTCTGGTTATCAAGGCCAGAACAGCGCACCAACTTATCAGGGCCAGCAGAATAGCGCACCGACTTACCAAGGCCAGCAGAACAGCGCACCGACTTATCAAGGCCAGAACAGCGCACAAAGTTATCAAGGCCAGCAGAACAGCGCACC